ACAAACATTTGTGAAAGAATGGGTCACTCTCAGGAGCTCAGTGAATTCCAGCATGGTACCGTGATAGGATACCACTTGTGCAACAAGTCCAGTCGTGAAATTTCCTCGCTACTAAATATTCCACAGTCAACTGTCAGTGGTATTGTAGCAAAGTGGAATCGATTGGGAACGACAGCAACTCAGTGGTAGGCCACGTAAAATGACAGAGCGGGGTCAGCGGATGCTGAGGCGCATAGTGCACAGAGGTCGCCAACTTTCTGCAGAGTCAATCGCTACAGACCTCCAAACTTCATGTGGCCTTCAGAATAACTCAAGAACAGCATAGAGAGCTTCATGAAATGGGTTTCCATGGCCGAGCAGCTGCATCCAAGCCTTACATCACCAAGCGCAATGCGAAGTGTCGAATGCAGTGGTGTAAAGCGCCCCCACTGGACTCTGGAGCAGTGGAGACGTGTTCTCTGGAGTGACGAATCACGCTTCTCCATCTGGCAATCCGATGGACGAGTCTGGGTTTGGTGGTTGCCAGGAGAACAGTACTTGTTTGACTGCATTGTGCCAAGTGTAAAGTTTGGTGGAGGAGGATTATAGTGTGGGGTTGTTTTTTAGGAGTTGGGCTCGGCCCCTTAGTTCCAGTGAATGGAACTCTTAATGCTTCAGCAGACCAAGAGATTTTGGACAATTTCATGCTCCCAACTTTGTGGGAACAGTTTGGGGACGGCCCCTTCCTGTTCCAACATGATTGCACACCAATGCACAAAGCAAGGTCCATAAAGACATGGATGAGCGAGTTTGGTGTGAAAGAACTTGACTGTCCTGACCTCAACCCGATAGAACGCCTTTGAGATGAATTAGAGCGGAGACTGCGAGCCAGGCCTTCTCGTCCAACATCAATGTCTGACCTCACAAATGCGCTTCTGGAAGAATGGTCAAAAATTCCCCTAAACACACTTCTAAACCTTGTGGAAAGCCTTCCCTGAAGAGTTGAAGCTGTTATAGCTGCAAAGGGTGGGCCGACATCATATTAAACCCTATGGATTAAGAATGTGATGTCACTCAACTTCATATGCGTGTGAAGGCAGATGAGCGAATACCTTTGGCAATGTAGTGTATTAAGGACAGTGTTCAGTCACTTTTTCAAAGTATTTTGCCCAACACTGATCATGACTTAGTATCACGTAACTGTGACCTAGCATATCATAATTATGACACAGTGTCTCATAATTATGACTTATTTTCCCATAATTTGGACTAGCTTATTATATATATATATATATATATATATATATATATATATATATATATATATATACATATAATCTTATTATAGTGACTTACTACATCATAATCACGACTTACTATCTATTATGATCATCATTTAGCATCTCGTAATAGTGACTTACTATGACATAGTATCTCATAATTATGACTTTTCATCTCATAATTATGACTTATTATGACATAGTATCTCATGATTATGAACTAACATCTCATAATTTTGACTTATTATGACAGTATCTCATAATAGTGACATGACATCTCATGAGAACGACTTAGCGTCTCATAATTATGAGAAAATGTTCTTATTATTATGAGATAGTAAGTCATTATTATGACATACTACATGGCCCCTTTTTCCAAGTGGCAGAAACAGGCTTTCAGGTGAGTCAGAAAAAAAATCTCATCAGTTAAATCTTCTTCTGCTGCAAAAGTTTCAGTGGTCTTTTGCGTGGGCTGCAAGCTGCAAAAGGTTGGGAACCCCGGAGATACAGTATGTAATTGAACACCTGAAAAGTGGACCTAAAATCTAGGTGCAGCTCATAAAGTGGCCTGTCAGTGGAAGTACAGGGTAGGTGTTTCTAGGGTCAGAACTCTTAAAGTTCAGATTTTGCCTTTTTGATCTACATCAAATTACACAGACACATGGGAGCTGAATCTGAATCAGTATGTTGATCTCAACACTGAGCCACTAGTTTCTCTGCTAATATGAAATGAGGAGATAAACAAGCACTTGACTGACCAGAAAAAAATGGACACCTATGCATATTGATATCATAGTTCCACTCCACAAACATGTCAGCAGATCATGTCGAGGCCGAAAATAGAACACCACAGCGGATTCAGAGAAGCAATTCGTCTCGTACAGTAGATTTCCAGCCCAATCTCTGAGCAGAATTGGCTTCACCTCTCCCTCCTGCAGATATATTGGGGTGCAAATTGCAAATTGGAAACCAATCTGTTGTTTCAATTCCCTCCAAAGTTTGCGAAGATGCCTGCTGATTCAAAAATTCAATCAGGCACCGTTTTCCCAGAGAGAGGATAAGTTATGTCGTCTGTTTCTGCCTTTTCCACCCTGCCTGAACAAGCCCACCTTCACCACACGCTCACCTGCTGCCTTTCTCATTTAGACAGTACGTCCATCCATTACAATCTCTGGACAGGTTTCTATGGATACGAAACCTTAGAACGCTGAGTCACAAAAGTACTTTTCTTTCTTCTCCGTCCTTCGCATTCTTTTTTTTTCTCTGGCATGGACATTCATCCATGCTTCTATTAAAGAACAGCATGATATTACTGTGAGTGTTAACAGGATGAACATGAGAACGTTACATCATGGGCAAAATTAAACTCCTCGCTGGGTAATTTTGTTGATAATGTATCAACAAGTAAGTGATGATTCATTCAGGTCGCTGCCTTATCAATATTAATAAGCCTGGAACATGTGGAACAAAACGAAAAGCACAAACAGCCTCTTCACACGCATACAAACACCAGTATTACAGAGAAAACACCTGGGACACGACTAGGCCGTGACTCCATGCTCTAAACAAACACAGTGCTGTGTATTCCTGTCCTTGTGGGGTGTTTCTGTGTTCTGTATTTAACTGCTGTTGCACTACACCTAACCCAACCCCAACAATAAAGGGGAATTCCACCCATTTTTTTTTCAAATATTCTGGACAATTAAATGGTTGAGATGTTAACAAAGTCATTCAGAGTGGTTTGCCTTAAAATGTATTTTTTCAAATTCTTCAGTGATGGAGAGGTACCTGCAAGGTGTTGTCAGGCAAAACAGTACCCAATGAAAACATATGTTGTCAGATTTACCACTATTTTACCATCAACATTACATATAAAAACATATGATAAAATAGAAGACTAGTGTTATATTTGGGCTGCAGACATTTCAACCCCTGTAAAAAAAATCCAAGTCGACAGGTTTTGCTACATTGAGAATTTTAGTGAATAAATATTTTATCGGTGTCTAAAATGTTGTGAAAACCTCTTTGAAAACATTTTTTTATTTATTTATGTAGTGTTGTGACAGACTTCCCTTGTGTGCCTTATACAAAAAAACACAAACAGCATGGTGGAGAGGTGGACTGAGGAGGGGACGAGAGTCGCCTTAAAATGAATGCTGCACTTTACAGTACTTACAAACAGATATGTCCAGAAAAGGCTACAGGCTTTCTAAATAAAAGTGCCCAAACTGCCCTATACAGTACAGTTATGGGGACGTTAGGAAGGCCAAAGGTACACGAGTTGCGACATATATGAAGTTCAAGATGGAAAGATGTCAAATCTACGTTTTTTTTTATCGATAAACCAAACCCTCCTTTTTTTGCAATGACTTTACAAAAAGCATTGTTATCTCCAGAACTCTGTGGATGAAAAGCTGAAACACAGTTTTTTTAAAGCACATTTCCATTTTATCCCTTGCAATTTGCACAGAAAGTAGATAAAAACATAGCTAATGATCCATTTCACACCAAAACTCTCTGAATGAATTTTAACATCTCAGCAATTAAAGGTCCCATATCATGGAAAACCAAACGTCCCTATTTATTTATTTTTTTTTAAGTGTGTTAAGTAAAGTGTAATAGTCAAAGTTTCAAAACATACAATTCACTCTCCAGTTCATACAGTCCATATATGGAAACTAAGCTGCAAAAAAGCTTGTTCTGAATTCATTGTTTCTGTGATGTCACAACAATTAACTCATTTACATGTATCCACCTAATCAGCGTACAGCAGTTTAGCCTTGCCTATTCATATTAAAGCGTTAGGTAGTGTTTCAGCTCTGAGTACTTTTTGAAGTAGGCATAAAACAGGACAGCCAATCAGAGTTCATTTATCTTATATCTGTCTTAAGGGCACAGTAACAGCCTGTTTAAAGGTAAAAGAGAGGTTGGAAAATGGTCATGTAAAAATGAATTATGACCATTTTTGGTATAATACACTTCACAAATGTTATAAGTGGACTGCAAAGAAAAAATAAAATACAAGAAAAATGTATGATATTGGCTTTTTAAGTTCTGGAGAAATTTTGAACAATTGGTGGATTTCCCCTTTAAATCTAGCAAACAAAAGCTTTATTTTCTTTCCTTTTTAGTACTGAAAGCTGCCTTTTTTTATAAAGTGGCTGCCAAATGTTTTATGTTCATGTTCTTCATCATCCTGCAGACATTTGGTCTCCACAAAGTGCTTGACACGAACATACACACGCACACGTGCACACACACACACACACACACACACACACACACACACACACACACAAGATGGTCTTGCTTTGTGTATCTGTTTGCCTTGGGGCAGGTGCTCCACTATATGAGCACTAAAGGCCACAGAAAGACACTGTAAACAACCCCACAGACACAAAACGCTTCTTTTGTCAGTCTGACAGGTGGTGCGGAGCGGCTTACACACACTCACACCAACACCCCCATTAGGTGCGTGGGTGTATCCTATCAGTAATGCACGGTTTCCCCGTCTCTCTTAGCTAATATGCACTAATATGCTGCGGTTTCCAGGCACTGGAGGAAAGACAACACATCATTAGAGGGAAAGCCCGGCTCTGTGGCGTGTTTTTCTCCGTTGCTGGTTTGCGCTGAGGCACCATGGAGGCTGGAAAGTTCTTTAGGTCAGCTTTGTAATTCAATCTTTTACTTACAAGACACTGTGTGCTGCATCCAGCTGGATTTAAAACAGTCACCTTAAACCAGTGTTTGCATCTTTAATCCACACACACATCACTATATCAAAATCACGTCAAAACAGGGTCACATGCAGAAAATCAGATGCGTTCACATAACCTACATTGTGAAAATATGAAGTACCAATCCATGGTTACACTCAGTCATTCAGGAGATTTATTACAGGCTTCTAAATTTTCAGGCATATGATAAAGGAATAGTTTATTATGGGAATAGTGAAAAATCAGGCTTACACAATTTCCCTTTACCATAAATGTATCAATCAGCCAAGACATGTTTACTGTTTGAAGATTGCTCTTTTCATTTTGGAATGGAGCTACGAGAATAATAAAGCTAACAGGTAATCGGAGCTCATACCTCACTCAATAGCATGTTGCCTAGCTAAAACAGTCATAGCAGTAAACTCAAAGGCTGAATTGTGACTATTTTTGTCTATTTTTAAGGCAGGTGTGACCATGTAGGGGTTCCTGAGTGGCGCATATGTCTAAGTGTTGGTCCTGTCATTGGGAGACTGAGTTTGATTCTCGGTCATGCCACAACCATCCATGGCCAGGACTTCAAGAGCACATCATAATAAAGCAGATATCTTTTGGCCGATGCCAAGAAGTTAGCATTCTCCTCCAAGCGTGTTGAGCTGGCCAGTGCCGTTACATTAGTGACAGCTGGCTTCACCCTCAAAGTTTGGTAGTAAAGTGTGATAGGTGAACAGTGAGTAGAACTGGACATGAGTAAACTAAGCATTAAATTAAATTTAAAAAGTAAGAATTAAGGCGTGTATGATGCTAAATGGGTGGGGTATAAACTTCCATCTCATGCAGGTGTGGTCTGCACTAGGCAAAGGTAGGCAGCTGCCTAGGGCCCTAATGAGCCAGGGGGCTCATCGCAATACAAATTAGCTGTCTGTGTCAATGTTAAATAACCAATTCTGAGATATATATGCACATTATAAACAGCTGTTGCATTTGTAGCAGTTTTTATCAGTAATTTCAGCTACAATCATGGTTAGAATGGACTTTGAAAATTTAACCTGTTGAAATTTGCAGGCAAAAATGTAGGTCACTTATAGCCTTCATGACTTCTGCACGGTTTAAACCACAGACATGATGCACGTGTCAGGACATTCAGCAGACCCAGCCCAAACTAGCTTGTGTCATCAAGCTGCTTTTAGCCTTCATATTGTAAACAAAGGGTCAAAACAGCACCATGATTCACACATCAGATCACTCATCAGTTTCTGCCCTCACCATCCAGAGTGATTTCATTCACAGAGTAATTTCATCACCCAAAACCCACTCGCTCTGTTATATTACATCTCTGCTTTTAGCGACATGATTTACAAGCCAGAACACTCAGAGGAACCTGCCATCTCTAGTCAGAGTGAGAGAAACCAGCTCTAACATCCCAAAACCCAGAAATATAGCACAAAGACACAGCCAGATCATGGTAAAAACCTGCTGTCAGCTCTCTGCTTTAGCCTTCATACGGCAACAAAAGGGTTAAGCGATAATCTACATTATGGGTGTGCTGAGTGCTGGCTCAGCAGATTGTACCTAATGCTAGTGTTAATGTTAGTATAGATTAGCTCCAGTGTTTGAGGGAATTACTCAAAAAAGTAATCCAATTCAAGCTGCTTCTCTCAAACTGTGATGATTGTTACTCCCTGGAAAAAGTAACCTCACTACTTGTTACTTTACTTCCACACTACTCAGTAACAAAGCTCTCTAAATTGGGAGATCATTTTGCTTCTTTCAAGCATATTTCCTCAAAACAAGCAAAATTATCTGCCAAGATAGTGAAATGATTTCACTTAATAAACTTACATAAGTCAAAAAAATCTAAAAATACGTTAGTCTTATAATACTCTTACAACATTCTCAAAATGAGAAACATTAGATATATTGATTACATTTAAGATGACTTAATTAGACAACGTATTTTTTTTGGCTGTGTAGATGGTAGCTCAGAGCCGCAGCTAATTTAAAAAGGTGCCTCTAGGTGGCTCCATTCCTGTCTTTTGCACAGAGCCCGAGAATCACTAAATCCATCCCTGATCCCATGTTGGCTACATTAGCCTCAAAGCTCCAGGGCAAAACTAATGAAGCAAACCTCAGATATCAAACATGTCTCGGCTGATTGGGTACATTTCGGGTGAGAGGAAAATTGTGTAAATTTGATTTTTTTGCCAAAGTATGGCTTCAAGCCTAACCAATCTGAATCATACAGACTAAATCCTTTCTGTTTTGAACAGTCGTGAGCAAAAGTTTGAACACCCCTGGTCAAAAGACATTGATTTTCTAAGTGAAAATCAGTTTACACATCAACACAGAACACACTTCTGCACATTCGAATACACAATCACTGTTATTTGCAGATTTTTACTTATTGGGGGACAAAATAAAACATAAAATGTGGCCTGTGCAAAAGTTATGGCACCAGTTATACTGTATATTTTATTTTTTGCCAATATGTTAAATTAATGGAAAATGTGCAGTAAAATTTGAAAAGAATTTTCCTTGTAGACGACATGTTAACTTATTTTCACTCAGAAAATAAACAAATCGTGCAATTGGACTGGGGGTGTTGATATTTTTGCTTACAAGTGTACATTAGTCTGCTATGTCATATCCCAAACCTATGCTACAACTACATAGTGATTCATATAGCAGTGTCTATATACATTAGATTGCAAACATTCATGTCCATGTACCACCACATGCGATATCTCTACACATGCAGTATGAATCTGTAAGTGGACTGAAGCTAGGGCTTCATCCCTAAACAAAGGGCCAGCTCATTCTTCTGGATCTTTCCATCTTTATTTATGTCGCAGTGGCGCAACAGCAGAACACGGAACTGATCCAGCTCCGATCCACTGATGCTGGGCTGTAAGAGAGAGAGGGGGTGGGAAAGAGAGAGGGGGGCAGGAAGGAGTTAAATGAAAAGCTAAATTAAATTCAGGTGGAGCACCTGTACTACTGTTCAGCATTCACAAGCTCACTCTATTAGCATGACTGGAGGATTAGTGTGATTGTACTCGACCTACACTGGCTTATCTGATATCAGCACTATAATGATTAACGCACTGTTAGACTCAAACATGTGGTAGCGTGTCCACTCACCCTGACCAGCTCCATCATGTCTTTGACAAAGCCGTCCACCTCTGGTCCCTCAAGAGCTCCCGTCTTACTCTGGAAGAGAAATGATAAAGCAATACAGTGTAAACAGTTTAACCTTTACAAGTCACAGATATCAATGACGACAAAAAAGCACATTGTAATGTGTATTTAATGTGTAATGGGTAGCTCACTGAAACAGTGGGGATGGCACGATACCACTCTGATATTTCTTTTTAAAAACGTTTTTAAAGCTTTAAGATGCGTTTAAGATGAGTTATTTTACTTCACTTAAAGCAGAAGATTCAACCTAATGAAATGACAATGACATCTGAAGAATTAAGACCCGTAAAGGCTCTCTTACAGAGAGATATTACATGAAATGGTTCTGAATACGCTGCCTGATGCTGGAACACTGTTTTACGATTTTGGTCGTAAACATATTGTTTAAAATCTATTCAATGTGGAGTGGTACATGCAGGGTGTTGTAAGGCAAAATAGTCTATTTTATTATGATCAACACTGCATATAAAAACTCAGAAGACGTGTATGTTCACTGGTTATTTTGGATAGTAAATAAAAAATGGCTACATTTGCATTGTAGACATTGTGACTCCTGGTTCCTATCGCCACCACTGTAAAGAAATTAGTCAATAAGTTTCTCTACAGTGAACCATTTCACATCAAACCACTCAGAATGTCTTTGTTTACATCAAATTTTGAAAAATAAGTGGAATTACCCTTTAAGATGATCATCTAAAGGTAGGCTATCATAATCAAACTACTCAAACACTCAACGACTGCACAGGAAGAAATAGGAGATGTTTTATTATAATTTGCATTTGAGGAAAAGTTATTGTTGCGTCTACACAATCAGAGAGTAAATCGTTCTTTATGTTTTTGCCACATTTTTGTTTTAGCATTTTTCTTGTTTTTTGTTTTTGTTGGAGATTTAAAGTGCAGTAACCTGAACTGAACAGTAACAAAAATATTTAATTCATTCTGTAATTATGTAAATATTATCACTCAATATTAACCTTTGTGTTAATTGTTATGCATATAGGAAAGAAAAAAATCTTTACTTTTCTTTTTTCTTGCCATTTTCTGTCATTGAAAAATGGCAGAAGTGCAGAATCAAGCAAAATTGACAATAACAGTAATTCAGCGCTAACTATATAATTCATTTTGCAACTGCATTTTAATAATTGTGTAATGTACATTAAATGTACACCCTTTAAAAAAGACCCACAAAGTGTTCTTTGAACAATGCCGTAGAAGAACCACTTTTGGTTCCCTAAAGAACCATGTAGATATATGAAATGTGTGAATTTGAAGAACGCTTTAAGGATTTAAACCTTCATATATGATGAAAAGGCCCTATATATTTAAGCCTTCTTCCTAGAACCTCTACATTATGTGGATGTTCATTAAACACATCTTATTTACGAAAAATGCTTCTCGAAAGAACAATCCATTGAAAGTTCCTTAGGTAAGGTTCTTCTATGGCATTGTGCACCTCTGTTTCTATTTTCAACTGTTTTCTACCCTCTCTTTATCTCGTAATATGGGTCCTTTAAGAAGTTAAACACCCTCCCAAGTCGCTCTTTTCATTTTGAATGTGGCTTTTCACATAAAAAAAAAAACACACTGGCATATCACTTCTAGCCTCACCCGCAGTCACGCAATAGAGACTGTCTGCGCTGAATGTGTTCAAAATCAACGAGAGAGGAAGCGTCTCCGCTGTGAAGAAAACATAAAGGGCTCTGATTAGGCAACCCGCAACATCTCTGTACTTACCACATCGTAGTGTGTGAATATTTTCTTGAAGTCGCGCCTTCTTTCTTCCAGACTGTTCGCCTGGGGGACACAGAGGACACTTTCTGAGATGAGCGCATTTGTCAAATTAGACAATCTCTGAGATGTGCACTGCACATGATATCAAACAGATACTGACATCTATCTTGAACTGCAACAGGAAGTTCTCCTGCAGGGCCAGGATTCTATTGGAGAAGGAACACCATAACCAAGTTAATGTCATTCAACCTAAAAAATATATGAACACAAGCATCAGGCCAAGAGTCCACTAACAAAATCAGGGGCTGGTCAGCTAAATTGAATAATGCTCTATCACAATAAAACAGACCTCAATGCTCTTCTTACATTACCTGAAAAAAGAAGAGCAATCAATTTAGGAATTAAACTTAGTCAACCACTTTTATTGATTTGGGTATGTTTCATATCTATCTAATGGATCTTGATTGATCTTAATGGACTGGACATGATGTTTATGTAGCACAGAACCTTCCTCATCTTTTTTTGTGGTCACTCCACTGATTGTTTCTACATCTCACAAGAAGGGGAAGCAACTCTTAACACTGTCACAATGCCAACCACAAAACTCTTCCAGTAAGAAAAAGCACAGAGAAATTCTGTTGAAAGTGTGTATGAGAGCCTTGATGAGCTCGTAATGCGTCGAAGTTGACATCCTATTTAGATTTGCATCTTACCACTTGTGCTTTCCTTGTGAGACACAGGATTTAAAGGAGATGGCAACTTATTTCATTACTCTGTTTATGCTTTTAGCTATAGGGTTGAGATGTAACAGAACACTAGTGTTGGCAGTGGAGGCAGAATCTGTAAAAGTAGCAGGTGCTGAACACGTTACCTCGCCAAGTCGTTTAGATCCAACCGGCCGTCTTTGTTCTTGTCAAATATATTCATCTGAAAATAAATAAACATAGCAAACATGTTAGACAACCAACATACTCTTTCATTAAAATCTTGAGGCCTTGCCTTCTTATGAAATTTGAATTTTCTCACTGTTATTTTGTAAATTACTATCACTTTATAACAGGAAGCAGGTATTGTATATTATGTATTATGTATTATTACTAATACACATATATTCTGCAACACAGTTCATTTTCATCAAACTGTCTTCCTTAGTATGAAGGGTAGGTTTTGCCTAAATTATGTTTTAACAATTTTCTTTTCCAAACTATTGTTCAAAGCACATACTGAAAATCTTTTGGCACAAATGTGGGTTAAACCGCTGAAAGTTTTGGTGCTGCCATCACAACAAAGGGATAAAACTCTATCTATTCACATTTTAAATTCATAACTTTTTAAGACACAGAGAAATGGATTGGGATAACTGTAGCTCCATTTACTAAGGCAATGTTATATGTCCCAAATCTATAATTGTGCACTCATACTGCACTCAAGCATAATGTTATAAACCAGTGTTTCTTAACCTGGAATCATGAGAAGGCCTGTTTTTACATATTCCTCAGAATGACTTAAGGCAAAAATGCAGCTCTTAGCCAAGCAGCTAAGCCAGCAGCTCACCTTCTGAATCTGAATCAATAGCATTTAGAACCCCTTGTCCTGGGCTGAAATGAACTAGGAGCCACAGCAGAGGCCCTAAGTTTTGAATCAACATTCAGTGAATATTTGAATTCACATTCAAATACATTACATCATTTAATTTTGACATCCCTGGTGTACTACTGTTTTCCTCGAAATGAACCTGGTGAGTCTTTAATAGGTCACAATAATGCAAACAATAAACAAGCAAATAAAACATGCTAATTTTTATTAAAGACAGCTTAAATAGCCAGATGTAGGCTAACCAAACATCTAATGGGCAGTGGATCAGTCAAATCCATCTAGTCTTCTTGCCTAGCATCAGTGAGCAGGGACCACTCGAGAGTGAGGGGTAGTAATTGTGAGTTTGAGGCCTGGGTGAAGGGCAGATTGTGTATTAAGTGGCTGTCTGTGTACGCTGGCTCTGGGGGATGGAGCCGGGCGCCGGCTGTTGGGCTCTGGAGATGAGTGATCAGGTGCTGTCAGCTGCCGCCCAATCTAACCCTGCTCTGCCTGCGCCATCCCAGCCAAGATTGAGCCATCTCCAGCTAAACAGGGTCATGGGCAAAACACTCAAGCCAGACGCCAAACACTGAGGGTTTCATGTCCGCATACACACGCAAGCAGTCATTTCGGGGTGAGGCAGACTGTCAGTTAACTGGAAAGTAAAACAACTGCTGTTGTCATGGTTCTGTACTCCAGCACATTGAATTTAAAATGAAACAATGACTGTGATGTTAAAGGTACAGTTTATTATTTGTCATGTTATGCAGTATTCCTCACCCTAATCAGTTTGACAGAACTTATACTTTTATACTGGTTTTATGTCTTTGTGCAGCAAAGTTCTCTCACTACACTAATCCGCATGCATTAAGTAAGATTCCACTGGGAATCCCTACGGTGTCAACCAATTCTAACCTCTACCCTATAGACCAATTTGGAGTTGACGTCACGGATACATCACTGGCAGTTGTGTGTGCCTTGAGGTGGCAGAAAAACAGCAGAAATAAGTGGACAGAACAAGTGAGATCCATGGAATAATGACCAAAAATGTCTTGTTGGATGCCAAAAAAGGCCTGGGAAAACAAATGACCTTCATTTTCATAGAATACCACCATCAAATACGCCCTTTGAGGCAAAATGCAGACGTTTATGGTTGTCCCTGATGTGCGTGCACCGTCTGCCCTTTCCACCCTGAATACAGCTCAACCTTAAAAAGCAGTGCAGCTGCATGGCATGACTAGCCTACATTAGAGCATGAATTTGATGGATACAGTAGATCTAGATAATATTCAATTATGCAGTTCATAAAGGGCAAACTGTATTAGCCCTACATTAGCCTTACAGCATGAAATAGTATTTAGATCTATAACTAGAAATAACATTTTCCTGTAAGCATAGATAATGGTAGCAGCAGTAGTTCCAGTGATTTATGTTGTTCTAACATACATTAAACAATGAAAAAAAGTCATGCAAGTGCAGTTTGCTGTCAGTATATAGTTGTTTGACTTGTTTATAATAGCCCATATCTTTTTTTATAGCTGTGTTTTATGTCCTTGTCACTGGCTAGATAGTACGTTGGTCCATAATACACAAAAACCATTCAACAATTCTCGGTATTCAAGGTCCTGGACATGACCGCTAAGTATGAAATTGTATGCATCAAGAGATTTGTATGTCTTAAATTTTTCCTTTGTGTAGGTGCTGGGTTTTACCACAAGGTATATAAAAATGCCTGGCCACTGTAAATCTGGCCATTTAGTTGGATTCTTGACCCTTGACCCAACATCGAGTACAGGTCAGAAAATCTAATTGTATTGCTAAGGGTTAGCTCATTAGTGTATGCCAACCTGTCTTCTGCTGGAAACCCCTAAAAGAACTGGAGAAGGTGTCCGCATGACCCATATTCCTAATTCCTACACCTGACACCGCTGTCACTTTCTGACACCAGTTAAGCCCCGCCCACACAACACATCATCTCTGTTAACAAACACGAAAAATGGTCAATAGCTACTGATCTATAGGCCCAGTACAACCTAGCATTAGTGTAACTTACCTCAGCTGTCCCTCAAAATCATAAGGAAAACAGTGATGCTATCTTTGTTCTGCACAAAATGGACACCAGAGACAAGTTTTACCCTTTCAGATGGAGAAAAGGAGCCAAGGTAAAGAAATATAGATAGCTAGGTAGCTACTTTGCTAACTGTAGCTTTTAGCTTGTTGTAGTCACGATTTGACGAGGCATTACTGTCGTTTGAGCAATCCAATCTCTCTTTTGGAATAATGTTTTAAAGATCGAGACTACAGTTTTACAGCTGCATACATATTTGGCTTCATAGCAGTAACGTTAGCTATCTGCCTTCCTTCTGAATTTGCTAGCTAAAAGGGAAAACAATGACTCAGAACAGAAATCCATACCAAAAATTGTTTCAAAATCAGTTGCAATTTTTCAAAAGTTCCTCCTTCATGATACATCAACACTTCCAAGTCTTTAAAACTGGAAAATTTCACTCTAGAGATACTGTGGCTTGGCAAAGTAGCCATGTTTCCCTTTAAAGCACAGAATTTAGAGTAGATGGTAGACGTGCCTTTGCATCTACAGCCTGTTGCTATTGTCTCTCAACATGAGAACTAAAGAAGTGTCAAAGGCATCATGATGCTAGAAAATCAGAATGAATTAATGTGATACAGAGCCAAATTGGTACATAGTTAAGAACCAAGAGTGCACTGGGAGGTTTAACACTGGAAAAAGCTCTGCAGTGTTTTCATCAGGATAAAGGAATGTTTTGCGTGGTGTGTTTTTGATTTGATGATTTAACTATAGACTTTATAGTAGTAGATTTTTTAATGTTAATGGATCAGTCAAAGTGCAATTATAGCACATAGAGAACAATGCAAGCTCAAATTCAAACTCATCTCAGGATAAGTTGTACTATGTACTCACATAGTTTTCATACAAATTTTGTGAACATCATTTAGTGAGTTTATCACGTTTGGTATCAGTTAACTCTTCAAAATTGTTGTTTTCCATCTTAAAGAAATGAGATGAAATGCTGAGGGGGAAAAAGATGATTAGCACTCCAGATTAATTGCTTACTCTGTGTAAATTTCAAATCACATGTGACCTGCTATGGCATTTTGTGGTTCGGGTCTGTATTTAATTTAATGCATTAAAAGATGATGAGTGGTGCTCAGAGACAGTGAGCAGCACTTTCATTAAAAACTTCCATGCTTCTTTAAAAACAATGGTTTGGGGTTTTTTTGAATGCAACATGTCGTCAAGTGTGCCTTAATGTAAGCCGGGCCTGGCAAATACCGAAGCGCATAGGAAAAAATAGTAAAAATGGCCTATTCTCCATTGCATCCCTCACTACAAAATTCCAAACTGTCTCTGAAAGCAACATCAGCACAGGATCTGTGTACTGGGAGCTTCATCAAATGGGTTTCCATGGCCGAGCAGCTGCACACAAGCCTAAGATCACTATGCGCAATGCCAAGCATCGGCTGGAGTGCTGTAAAGCATTGTACCACTGGATTCTGGATCAGTGGAAAGGTTTTCTGTGAAGTGACAAATCATGTTTCACTATCTGGCAGTCTGATGAATGAACCTGGGTTTGGTGGAAGCCGGGATAACGATACATACCGGGATGCGTAGTGCCAACAGTCTAGGGCTGTTTTTCAGGGTTTGGGCTCAGCCCTTTAGTTCCAGTGAAGGATAATGTTATGCTACAACATACAAAGACATATTACACAATTATATGCCTCCAACTTTGTGGCAACAGCTTGGGGTAGGCCCTATCCTGTTCCAGCGTGATTGTACCCCGTGCACAAAATAAGGGCCATGGTTTAATGACTTTGTTGTGGAGGACCTCCAGGGGAGTCCTGACCTCAAACCCCACTGAACACCTCCAACATCAGTGCCTAACATCACAAGTGCTCTTTTGACTGCATGCCCCCACCCCTGCACCTCTTTATATTTGTACTGAAAAATTGCAACCATAACAGCCATATGTAAAGCACCCCATTTAAATGTTTCAGCAATCCTGTAAAAACAAATCTGGCACCACCTCTGGCACCAACCTTATTGGTTCCCTGAAAATGGGAGACTATAAATAAAAAGGCTATATGGACCTATGTGGTCCATCCAATATAGATGTAATTACCCTGTAATTAACGTCATAATCATTGTTTCACATTGTGTCTATGTCTGGTTACTTACTGACCGAAGTGTATGTTCTTTATCATATGTCGTGAGCTGCTCGGAAAGAGTAGCCAAAGCTGACAGTTTAATGACTGAAATAAGCGGCTGGCCTTTGAGCAAGTCTCCTGTAGTGAATTAGAAAAGGCTACAGGCTGATGTGACTCATAAGTGTGTTCAAGTACCTATCCAATAGTTCAAGTACATATTCAATACTTGTAAATGGCAGAACAAAATGTAAATGTTCCACAATCAATAGACACAAATGTCAATCACCAAGCAGCATCTGGGGTACGTAATTTCTACTTTACCTCTTCCTGCAAATGCAGGAACATTTCAGTTGAAATGCTTTACTTCCGTTAATAATTAGTAGTAAATAGTAATTTTTTTAGTAGTAAATAGTAATTTTCTGCAGGAAGAGGCTCTGAGAATGTGTTTTTAAAAGCCTGACGTTCATGGAAGTTGGATTTATCCTGCTTTATTTACGAATTTGAAACTCCTTTTTGTTAATCCTCTGATAACATCAGGCAGGAGAGATGCTCTCCAACGCAAATCTTATCTCACTGATTAGTTTTAAGAGCTTGATTTCCTGGAGTCCATCGATAAATGACTCACGTAGAAACAATTAAAGAAATGTTACCATGGCATCTGTGTATTCGTCCAGCTTGTCGGAGGACACGTCTTTTTTGTGGTGTTTAAACAGATCATGGAGGAAACCCTGTAAGAGAAGGCAGGAAAGAAGCCAGAAAGTCAGGAGAATCAAACAACATTTTTTAGTACATAAGAGAAGTTAGACATCTCTACTTTAGAAAGGCCTCGCATTGGTTAAGAAAATCTGTGAAGTTAAAGTCATTTCTTACACTTTAAATGAACTATGCTTGACCACTGTGGTGACTGAACACAATCAAACCCATAAAAATCCCCATCGCTTAAGCAGAACAGTCATTCAAAGTGTATTAAAATGAACAATGAAGCAGCCTAAAGGAGAATCCGCCTGAATAAGAAGAATGGAAGGCTTAAAGCAGTCTGTTACAGCTGAGATGAGATACGCTGAGAATTGGCAGAAGAATCAGTGTTCAACCTCTAAGGCAGTAGGAGATAAAAACAGCCTCAAAGGGCCTTGACTGACTTCACTCGCACAACCCACATTGTGTATTTTTCTTGTGAGTACATGTACAGGATCAAAAGGCATCAGGCTGTGACTAAGCGTCCCTTGGAAAGATGTGGCGCGGCATAACTTACTAGAGGGTAACTAAAATGAATAGCCAGAGTACCACAGCACAGAGTGTTCCCACCTGTTCAGTGAACAGATAACTGACTTGGTGCTATAAACTCCTTTTGAGGGCAGCTGTGAGTAATGTTTTTCTGATTGAGAGTATGTAATGTCCTCACACTGCCATGCAGCACACTTTTGAAGAAGATGGACGAAATAGTTGTCTGTCTTAGTGCCTTTGTTAAGGTGTATCATTGTAGCGTTCTCTCAAAAAGTGTCTGTTGTCAGTTGGGACCTACTAAGTATCAACAATTAGAAGCAATTTGGCCAATTTAGGCTTGTACTTTAATAAATGCATGCAGTTCATGAAAAAGACAAGTTGTTAATTATTTATCTGGCAATTAGGTAAAATGATCGTGACAGGCCTAAGTGTTATTATAAAAAATGAAATATTGACAATGTTGTATACACAGAATGGTCATTACTTAACTATTTTTAGTAGCATAATTCACCTACTACATAGTTACTATGTCTTGTTTTGTTTGTTTTTGCTAAATGTTTTGTCCTTCCTGTCCTTATTCTTGTAAATTTCCACATAATGGTTTTGAAAGCCCATCCCCCTTTTAGCACTTTATGCTACAGAGCGGCATGGTAGTGTATGTGGTGCTTAGGCCTGTCATGATCATGAAATTTTAGATGACGATTAATTACTATACAAACAATTGCAATGTACAATGTAATTGTCATCTTGTTCACCATAAGCAACTATTAAAGCAGAAGCCTGAAGTGGACAAACTGGCTGATGAGCTATTTTGCTTTCTGGTTGTTTATACTTAGTAGCTCCTGGAAGAAAACAGGAACAGCTTGAGCGCAAATAAACATTATTCACAGCAACTTTGGTTGTGTCCCGATAAAAGTGTTTGCCACGCAAACATTCAAAACTGTTTCAAATAACTGCAATTGGATCAACTAGTTGCGATTAGGCAGTTGTGTAACTGCCTGGACTGGTACGAGTGTACTAGGTTTTGTTGGTAAAGATTGGTCCACCACGCTAAATATCTAGTCTTTGTGTTGTCAGAAACAACAGATGACCGGTCTCAAATTACACAGTACAAGATATGGGTTTCTAATAAAGTGGCCAGAAATTTTGTTGTGAAGTCTCATCTGTATTAATTCATTAACTGCTGCTGTGCTACCTTCAGCTCTGCTGCTGATATGTATCCACTGCTGTCCGCATCGTACTTCCTCCAGATCTGCATAGAGAAAGAGGAAACAACTTCACCCACATGCTGTACCAATCTAACAGACAGCACCACGCAGACCTCAAAGGGAGAGAAGCTCTTATCAGCTCTTTTTACACGCTAGTTTCAGTGTACGCTAGGGTTAGCATTAGCATTGCTAATAAGAACAGGTAAGAAGAAAAAGGATAAGGTGAAGGATGATGTGATGGTGCGGGACCTCACCTTCATAAACTCCACACTGTTGTCCAGCGGAGCCTCACGGCGGAATATCAACAGGAAGTTCTCATCCTCTGGCAGGATCATATTAGCGAGCTAGCAGACACACCATAAACACACAAAGGAAACAATATGAAGAGCAATAAGGTCACAATAGCACACGACTGCCTGGTTAGCTTCAATGAAATCGATTCAAGTTCCAGCCTTGAGGCCCCATGGTTTCTTTGAGTGGTCTTCTGGCTAGCGTTGTACATGCCAGATGATTTCTACTTAGATTAAAAAAGCCTCTTAATAGTCCAACAGCAAGTCATGCACTGCTCTATTCTTCCCAAAGGACATTTCAGTAATTTAACAAAAGACGGCCACATGGCAGGAATCCATTCCCCCAAAGTTTGATATATGCAATGCAACAAATACATTTGAAAGAAAAGGCCCAAGATACACTACACTCAAACATCTTTGCATCTCACATGCTCATACTTTCAAGTGGCTTGGCACCAACACTTCAGTAATAGGCCACTAACCCTGAAATATCCACCACCTTCTACCACCTGCGTCTCTTCTTTAGATTGCTCTCCTACACGATGACTCACTCCTTGCTTATCAAACTATATAGCTTTATCCTCTTTTGCGTCAAGGACAATATGGAAATGGATTTTTGTAGCTGCCTGATGGCTTGGCATGAAACTCAGAGAGAGAGAGAGAACTTGAGGCCTCCAGAATCCACCGCCCCTAATTACATTGCTTTCCATTAGACTTGGACCGTGATCAACACTCCTGTTAACAAGGTGCCAGCAGATACAGGCCGTAAATCATAAGCACAGCAAAGTCCACAATACGGCATGAATACATAACGACTACTCTCTAGAACGTCCCCTGAATCCTCCCTTTAGATTCTTCGATAATATCTGGACGCTCCTAAAACCACTTTAAAACCTTTCTTTCAGCAAACATAGGCCAATGAGCAGTCGCATGGCAGTCACAGATTATTTATAATATTAATAAGCATTGCTGGGATGATTACTTAAAGAGCTAATCTGTTATTTTTTTCAAACTGTAATGGGATTACTCACAGGAACGTGGAAAGTGATATCAGGATTGTTTAATTACAACTGCTAAAAGTAATAAAACAACAAAACTATAATATAATTTGAGCATAGTAAAGACCTACATGCTCATTTTGTACAATTAAGTTTGTATTCATAAGTTTTATTCATGTATTTTTTTTAAATCTGCAGTAGCCGTGCACTGTTTAATACTGCTTTTTCATTGCAGTGACTCAAACTATGTGCATGACAATCAATGACTGTCACATATCAACAATCAGATTGGTCATAGCTCAGCTCATTTGCATAAAGTTTCTCAGAATAAGCCAGAACAGGGCTTGCATCAGCAGTTTCTGTGCTGGGTATATATGTAGAGCTACACTGTCCTCATTATAGCATATTATGGCACATTCTGGTTGATTAAATTCTGAAAACTATTAAAATGAAAAAAAAGGCACAGCATTGATGTACACACTGTGTATCACTGTGTGTATATTCTGCTTAAATTTCAGAAACACCCCCCACAAACACCTTCCATTGTTTCTCTTTACTGATTACTTTCTGGAAAAATGACCGCACTACTCATTACTTTACGTCTAAGTTACTCTCTAAAATCCACACACCTCTGAGAAAAACACATTCTCCATCGATCTGAAGAATGCTTTCACACTGCAAAGAACCTTTTAATCATGCAAAGGGTTCTTTCAGTGTTCATGGTTCTATATAGAGCCATTTTCTTTACTAAACAACCCTTGAAGAACCATTCTTTTTAAGTGTGTACTAATTATTCGAAAGCTGTTAAGTTGTACAGGGCTAACATATTACAATCATTTTATAGACTTGTCTGCAACCAAATTGGTTTTGTATTACTGAAAACATTGATTTCACACTTCTCAGATTTCTCAGAGGATCTGGTATCAGGCATCTTTAAGAAAATAAAGACCCACCATTTTTATGATGCGCTTAGATGTAAATCACAAAGCTGCTCTTAGCTAGATACGTTTCAGTGGTGGACCACGCCCAAACTAGCAGTGATACTGATGTGTACAAAAACTCCAGAAACATCCATGCCAGCACCACACACAATGCCATACCACTACCATGTCACATGTTGAGAATGGTCCACTGCCAAAATAATAGCAGTCATGTGGTCAGAAATGGACCAATGATCGATGGGGTAGAGGGGTGTCCATGTCAACAGATGGGCTAAACCACATCTATATAGTGGACCTACAAGGTAGGTGGATCTTAAAAGTCACCAAGAGAGTTTTAATAAAGTGGATGGTATTACTTTGGTGGGCTTTGGGAAGGTGTAACTGCTGTGTCTTTTGGTGCTTATGGTTAAATATCATTAATAATGTGTTAGTGGTACATCATCTGGTTCAAGCCTGCTGTTTATAAGACATTTGGAATGGAAGAAACTAGGTTAATTAGGATGCTGCGACAAAAGCCTGTAATGCTCAATCCGAAGCTAGAGGTGCTTCCGTGCTGGTTGCCACTGATCACAGCCACAGAGTGTAGGGGATTGATTTTTCCTTCTGTAGAATCTTTCAAGAGACTTTCAAAGCTGCCCAGATAAATGATTCCATGTTGCGTTCTTTTAGCACGTAATTCACATAATGCCATTTCTTAGAAATGTGGTTTCAAATGTGCAGCTTTTTAAACTGTACATATAAAATCAGACCATTTTTCTGTTTGCAACTTTCAGCACATCAGAGTGCTTAGTGTGGTTGAGGGAAGTACCATGGTGATGCTAATCTTCTCATCTAGTCATAGTGCCAGCAAATTATCAGCTAACTCAGCGGCATTAAAACCTTTAACTTTCTTTAAAACCTTTACCCTTCATAGCCACCAGAACCTTCATTTCTGGTAGAGCTGAATGATATTTGGAGGGGAGTCACATTGTGATATTGTGATAAATAATGAGATTTTTAAAAGAAAAAAAAAACTGTTCTCATATAAGCTGCATGCTATCACCATACCTGTTCAGCTTGTATGCTGAGCATATAAAAAGAGAAGAAGGACTGAAGGAAGATGATCCAAGATTCAAAATCGGTGGAAGAAACATCAATAACCTTTGATACAGGGATGACATGACACCAGAAAGTCTAGAAGACCTAATAGTTTCTTATAAGGAAAGCTATAGAAGCGCTGAAAAGATTTTGGCTCAATATGAAGAACACAAAGGTTACATTGCAGTATTTTCAAACTGCATTGTGCCTTCTACTATACTGAAAACACATTAGGGAACCGTTGATGTGACACAGTTAAGAATTGGCCTCCATTATTATTGACCAACATTGTTGATTCACATGTTTACTGCTCAACATATTGTGCACTCTTGATTTCGTCAAGATGCTCACAGCACACAATAAAAACATTTTCAGCGACTGGTTAGAGGCTTCTTTGCATTGCGCAGCCTTATGCAATATTAGCCGATATTGTGAGGCCTGATGTCTCAACAATGATTAACAAATGACATACTGTGACGCTCTAGATGATGTGAGTGTGGGACTCAGCACTGAGCAGAACTTTTGAGGTATATTTTGGCTTAAATGTAACTAAAGCACTGTTCAGAAGATGGAGAGAATGTAAAAAGGGGGGGTACCTCCTGAATTTGCAGGCGGCCATCAGCGGTGACATCATAGGCAGACATAAACCTCGTCTTCAGCTGCTGGACTTTCTCCTCAGTTATGTTGTCCTGAAGAACCAAGGACAGTAAGGCTGTTACCATGACCACTCTAAATCTGTTTACCCAGCCCTCCCTCCCACTCACACACAAATACATTAAGGTACGTGAACATGCGCATCAACGTGGCTTTCCTTACAGGAAAAGTTCAACAATTCTCCTCAAAAAAACTGGTTTTTGGCCCAAACTTTTATTTTTATTGCTTCTAAAGTAAATATAGTGCAAAAATGAGCTTCCACAGGGCACAGAACTACATCCTGTTTCAGGCTCAAAAAATGATGTGCAGGTATTATTATGTGAATAATGAAAATAAAAGTAAAGGTACCACAAAGTGTTCTTTGAACGATGCTACAGAAGGAGAACTTTTGGTTCCCCAGAGAACCATGTTAGAAAAACGTATTTGTGAGTGTGAACAATAAGAGCTTTCAAATATATACTGGATAAAAAATAACATTACGTAAATGTGCTATACCAATTTAAGGTTTCTTCCTAGAAACTTTGCATTATGTGGAGTTTCTTTAAACTTTAAAACTCGTGCATCTCACTAACAAACATGGTACTCTAGAGAACCGTTTCTTTATGCTGTTGCTTCTACAGAATTGTAAATGTAAATGTGCTATACCAATTTAAGGTTTCTTCCTAGAAACTTTGCATTATGTGGAGTTTCTTTAAACTTTAAAACTCGTGCATCTCACTAACAAACATGGTACTCTAGAGAACCGTTTCTTTATGCTGTTTGCTTCTACAGAATTGTACAAAGAACCTTTATTTTTAAGAGTATAATTCAACATACTCAGCTATTTCAGCAAAGTGCTGTTTCCTTATTAGTTTGATAACTAGTATTGTAGCTGTAGTAGCTTCAGTTAGCTGTGTTCCTCCAAAAGTGGAAAGTGGGGAGCGATGCCGTACAGAGACACAGCACTACTTACAATATTCAAACCACTCCAGAGCAGTAAGATAGTCCCGGGTCATTAAGATACTGTACGTTAAAAGATTGCAACAATACTATTGCGTCACCACATTAATGGTTCATGAGAGTTTTCATTTCTCTATGTTATTCTATATTAGCCCATTTCACCAAAAGCTGCACTACAATCTTCTCCAGCATGCACTGCAGCATAATGTGCACTCCCACCCCTCCCCCAACAACAATCTATGGGACAGAGATTACACCACATCACATACGGCCACATCAGTCATACCACCGAACACACTAGCTGCGTTTCAGCTGCAGTTCCACCAACATAAACACTATAAACACTTAGGCAGCTCAGAAACTGATATTGATGAACTTGCAGCAAAGAAAAGATGTCAGGTGACTAGTTCAAGGAAATAGGTAGGTTTAAAAGACTCACTTCCTGTGGACATTTAAAGAGGTTTAACAGCTAGCTAATGTAGCCTATAGATACATATATACAGATATTACAGATAACCATTAAACCTCTTCAAATGTCCACAGGAAGTGGGTTTTTTTAACCTACCCATTTGCTTAAACTAGTCATCTAGCATCTTTTTCTTGGCTGCAAGTTCATTAAGTCTTGATATATACACAATTTTTAAAAAAGATTTTGAATAAACACTGGCCAGTTTGAGTTATAGCAAAATGTTATATAAAATGAAACAAGAACGTAGGCATTCTCTGACCCATAGATTCGTTGAGCTTTTTTAATACGGCCCTTTTAGCGGTTGAGTTCGACATCCTTTCTCTAGTCCTTCACCAGTGGGCACAGGATGCTGGGCACAGGATGTTTTTGGCTTGATATTTTTGGTTGGTGGACAATTCTCAGTCCAGCAGCGACACTGAGGTGTTTAAAAACTCCAGCAGCACTGCTGTGGAGTTAACACTAACACACCACCACCACCATGTCAGTGTCACTGCAGTGCTGAGAATGATCCACCACCCAAATAATACCTGCTCTGTGGTGGTCCTGTGGGGGTCCTGACCACTGAAGAACAGGATAAAAGGGGGTTAACAAGGTATGCAGAGAAACAGATGGACTACAGTCTGTAATTGTAACTATAAAATGCACCTATATGGTAAGTGGAGCTGATAAAATGAACAATGAGTGTAGATACAAGGAGGTACTTAATGAAGTGGCTGGTTGGTGTATATGTATTACCATAAATAAGCACAAGCACACAGCCCAGCTATAAAGAACGTGGGCCAACACGCAAGTGTGATTGGTATCGTTCAATACGCTTAACCTCAGCTTCCTGAAGACCTACAGTGTGATTTCCTGTGAAGATGCATGTTTAAGTGATGCGTAGTTTTCAGTGCTCTGCCATGCAGCAAGGCCGGCTATAAGAGGCTCAGAGATGTACATCTCTGCATCTCTCCAACAGAGCTCTATAAATGTCTGCTATTATAATGCAGTTTAACTCGTCAGCCCAGGATTCATAGCCAAAGGGAGAGCAAACAGATGTTAAAATGAGACAAAACAGCTGCAGTATTTTACGGGAAAGAGAACTTTTATCAAAACAGTATCCCTGTTACATTAGACATGACTTCATGCAGGACTGCACCTGTGCACTAAGAAAGGTTCTGCATTTGAAAATACGTCATCATCCAGTTAACCAATATCTTTTGTGATCAACTTATCTGCTCTTCCTGCCTCTGTGCCAACCTGCCCCATGTCCTTAACTGGCAGCAAATAATAAAAATATGATTCAAGAAGTACTTTTCAAACCTATCTCTATATTTTCTTCTGTAAGTTGAACTTAGGAAAAACTGTTGACTCAAAAGACACTTTTAATAGAAGTCAAATGAGCTGAAAAGACTTCCCGTTGGCTTCTACGATAAACAGGTTTTCTACTTTTCTAACCACATTAAGAAATGCCGGGCAGCACGGTGGCGCAGTGGGTAGTGCTGTTGCCTCACAGCAAGAATGGCCTGGGTTCAATTCCCAGCTGGGTGACCAAGGTCATGTCTGTGTGGAGTTTGCCTGTTCTCCCCGTGTCTGCGTGGGTTTCCTCCCACAGTCCAAAGACATGCAGTCAGGCTGATTGGACATGCTAAAATTGCCCCTAGGTGTGAATGTGTATGTCTGTCTATGTCTGTTTGTCTGCCCTGCGATGGACTGGCGACCTGTCCAGGGTGTATCCTGCCTTCTGCCCAATGACAGCTGGGATAGGCTCCAGCACCCCACTGCGACCCTGAAGGATAAGCGGTTTAGATGATGTATGTATGTATTAAGAAATGCCTGTCTCTGGTAAAGGAGAAATTAGGTTAAAGAAATGCTTGAATGCTCCTTTCAAGAGCCCATATCGTGGAAAACCAAATTTTCCTTGCTTTTTTGGAGTAAACAAGTTTGATGTAGAATGTAAACACTGTTACAGTTTCAAAAATACCATTCATACTGCCATCCACACAGTCCATATATGGGAACTTCATGAAAAAACAAATAATTTCCATTTATCCACCTATTCAGCCTATAGCAGTTTAGCTGCGCCCCTTCATGCTGAAGTTATCACAACAGAGCTCATTGTCTTTAAGGAATAGTAACAAAAACAACCTGTTTAATTCTAAAAGAGGTGGGAAAATAATTAAGAAAAAATTAATTATGACTTTTTTTGGTACATAAAATCACACAAATGTCAAAAGTGGAGCTCAGCGAAAGAATAAAATGCAAGAAAAATAACTATTAGTCTGCATGTCTCATACCGCGGGTCCCAGTTTGGTCATCATGTGACGAAAAAAGGCGTCCAGCTCTTTTCCCTCGATGTAGCCATTATCTGAAACACAGTTTCAAAGCATTTCTCAAGTGCCGGCATGTATCACACAGTACACACACTACACCTTCACAAGCAGTGAAGACACACTTAACTATCTTGTTTAAATGACACTTCTCAGCTGAATAAAGCAAACAGAACCAAACTGCTGCATGAATGTCATGAACACTCACCGTCTGCATCAAAGTGTTGCCAAATCTGCAGAAATCCTGCCGCGTCCAGGTTGTCCAGAGCACAGTCCATTGCAGCAGGTTAGAAAGAGCTGATACTCTAATAGACAGAAAGGTGTGCTGAACAGAGCTAATAGTGAACACAGAGTCAGAGTAACGCAGCAGCTGTGCAGCAGCTTCACTGAGAGACTGTGTGGAAGTGCCTGACTGACTGCTGCTGCTGCTGCACGATGGCAACCAAAACTCCTCCTCTTTTTTTCTTTTTCTCTTTTTTTTCTTTCACAGCAGGATCTGGCTGACAGTTCCCTGATCAAAGTAGTAACCCATGAACAGTTACCATAATTGATTATTATTTTTACCTTATTTTGTTATTTTAATGCTATTTTCTCCTAAATGTATTATATTTTTACTACACACTTCCATTCAGAATGTGATGTCCTACTAAACTATTAACCAAAACCTTAGTAGCACTTTAAACTATTATTTAATTGGTTAATATAAAGTACTTCCAAGTCATTTTTTCACTTTGTGTGTATAGACTGTAAAAATGGTTAAAAAAAAAAAAAAACACTTCATGTGGTAACAAGCACTTTGCTGCTGCCGTAACAAAACCTTGTATCTCCATTTTTCAGTTTTTGACATAATTTGAAAATGCCAGTTGCTCTTTATACAGGGTGTCCCAAAAAATTGACATCATTTCGTAGTCTAATAACGTAGCCAATTCTCCCTCAAATGATCTCAAATTTTAACAAAATGTGTAAAAACTAACCAAGTTTAATTTTGAAGGTTTTTTCAGGTTGAAGAATGGCGTTCACTAGAAATGAAAAGGCACTTTTGTGTGTTAGAATATGCTCAAACACAGTCAAACAAGAGTGTGCAGTGTGCATTTTCGAGAAAATTCAATAAAAATGCACCAACTGGAAAGCAGATTTGGACATGGCACAAACAATTCAAAGAGGAAGGCTGTCTGTGCAGGACAAAGGGATCTGGACGATTACCAGTATCGGAAGATATTACATTTGTGAAGTTTTGTGAAATCGGCTATAAAATCTACATCCCTCTGAATTTCTTATTTGAATTCTGAGAAATAAATCTTGTATTGTTCAACATGAAGCCTATTTAATTTCATTTGCCAGGACATGTAGTTACTCAGATATTCACATCTCAAATGATGTCAGTTTTTTGGGACACCCTGTACTGTGTGTAAATTTCATGACAAATGAAATTTCATGATAAATATTTAGTAATACTTAGTGGTACTTTGCAAGTTCAATATGCAAGTACTGAGTAACTCATGCGACAAAGCAGATATATTTCATCATTAATGCTAAGAAGTTACAAAATAGTAATAAGTACTATAAACTGCTTCAGTAAATACATGCAAATACATGCTTTAGGTCACTGTGGATTCAGCTGTTCACTGAAGATTCTGTAGATTCAGATTAACTTTTTTCTCCACAGAATGGGATGAACAGAACTGCTCCCCTACCAAAACACTGATCATAGTTCAGACACACGTTGCTGCCACTTTCTCCAGTTCGCAGAAAGGTCTTCAAAGGCAGTGTACGCAAAACTGCGCTCCACTCGTGTTAGGGTTGATCGTCTACCCTAGAGAGGAAGTACAGGGCCCATGGTGACCTCACCTCCCATTGTCTCAGCTTATTTTGTGCATTTTCTGCTTGATTTCAATAAAAGAGCACTTATTCATAGCAGAAACAACGGCCTCTCCTGCGTCCCCTTCTACACCATAATGTATCTATTATTAAATTAAACTGCACAATCAGAAATGCAACAACAATAACAGAAACTGGCTAAAGTGGCTTTTAGGTCGCTAGGGGTCACTTGCTTTCAGCTTTCTTTCAGTTTCTCAAAGAAATCCGCAGATTTTTTTTTTCCACGCTTCTTGTAAACACCCTCAAAGATCAGTCTTAGACACCGGCTGCATTTTCCTTTCATAATCCAATTATTCCAAATTACAAATTTAGTCTAATCAGTCCAAAAAACCTTAATGCAGTTTCACTGTTCTACACAAATACTCTTCTTTTTGTCTGTTTCCTTTTCTCAGTAACAGCTTCTTGAGAGCTACACATCTATATCTATATATATATATCTATATATATATATATATATATATATATATATATATATATATATATATATATATAGTGAGAGTGTGCGTGTGTGTGTGTGTGCGTGTGCGTGTGTGTGTGTGTGAGAGAGAGAGAGAGAGAGAGAGAGAGAGAGAGAGAGAGAGAGAGAGAGAGAGAGAGAGAGAGAGAGTTTAGGTTTATTTTAATGTACTACTGGCTGTGACATGACTGCCATCTTGTGGTGAAATATGGAATTTGAACACAGAAACTGTTGTTCTCACACAAACCAGAGAACGCTTCAGTAAATATCATGTTATTAGATAATGCCCAGAATAACTTGAACAAATACATTAGATCCCAGTTATCTGTATCACACCAGTCAGACAACTAGACAACCGTAGGAAAGGACTTGACGTTTCCTGCAGGTATGACTGTAGAGTCTGAAATGAACTGAAACAGACCAGGCTTAATAAACGTGTAAAATCAGTTTTAATCAGCTTGGTAGAAATATACCCAAAAAGATGTCCACAGTCTACAGAACACATGAGTGAAAGATGTTAGAGTTTGATTATCACCAAAACCAGATTCAAAATACTGCATGATGAAAACACGATGAGCAAATCAAACACGCCTGCAGCTTTTAAAATAATACAAAATCTCATTATATATTAACACTGAAGTACCACACTCATTTTACACAGATGCCTTTCTCCTCCGAGAATAAAAATAACACTAAATCATTGTGCCAAGCAGTGTGCAATAACAAAATTAATAGAAATTCTTTTTGCACCGTATCCACAAAATGTACATCCTAAGTAAAGAGGAAGAGCCAGTTGTATTGGATTAAAAAAAGCACCAACCACCATTTATCCATCTTAATAAATTATGTAGCTGTACAACTCCCAGTCTGTCTTTTTTCCCTTTTTTAGTGTGCTTAGTACCTTATCAGTATACGATCTGTGTACACATACGTATGTGTGCATATATATTACGTGTTAATATTTGAAGCCTGTATATATTAAACGTATGCATATATACACACATACATGTATGAAAGCACATTACTTATATACACAAGTGGACATCACATGCATGTGGGACAGGGACTGTCCGTTTAGGAGCTGACGTAAAGTTTTACTGCAAAAACGGAAAAAACAATGTTGGGCATCAGAAGAGGAAAAAGCCAGCTGCTTAAGTTACGCTAAACAGAGAAAGAGAATGGACAAGAAGAGGCTGGACTGTGCTCAGAAAGAAGTCCAGTGCTGAGGAATCTGCTCTCTGATCACTGCTGTTCTTCATGAACACAAACCCTGATGATTTAGACAGGCAGGGAAATAACAGGTACACATCTCCTGCATTCAAATACATTTGGACTTGTACAAGTGGCATGAACAGATGAAGTCTGATCTCTCCTGCATTAAAGGAATACGCCAACATTTCTCAACCTCTGTTTGCTGCATCTGTATCATACAGCTGATTACCACAGCCAGTAATTTGACAAGAACAGAAAAACTTACAATGTAAGCAAACTGGCAGGTGCTGAATTTGGTCAGTAAATGTTTATGAAAAACATTTTTGTACTTCTATGAATTCTTCCATTTAAAAATATCAGATTTTTTTTCTATGTGATTTTAACCAACATTTTTCCTCTGCTTCAGTTGTACCCAATTCCCACCTAGAGAGGTCTTCCCTTAAAAATGACGCTACCAAGCTACGAGGTTGAGGTGACCACATGCATCCTCTGAGAATCATATTGGCAGGTGCTGAAATCTGTCAGTAAATGTTTATGAGAAACACATATTTTTGTGGTTAAAAATTCTACCAAATTTTTCACTCCAATTTAGATGTAGCTGATTCCCACCTTCTACATAGGCATTTAACATAATGCTACCAAGCTGGGAGATTGAATGTGAGCACATGCTTCCTTCGAAGCCTGTAAAGTCAGTCACTGCATCTTCTTAAACTGCCGTTAATGCAGTGTGAATGGACAGCTCAACACGCCTGAAGGAGAATGCTAACTGCCATTTCTGTTACATCAGGTAACAGACATCTGCCTTGGCTAAGATCATGCTGAGGGATAGGGGGAGAGAGAGGACCATCCTACCCACCCAGATAGAGTGAGGCCCATTATGCTCTCTTGGACGGGTGGCTATGGCATCGCCAAAGATCGAGCTCATGATCTCCGGATGATAGGACTAACGCTTAGGCGGCTGCGCTACTTGAAAACCCCCGAGATATTTGTGAACAAAGCGGTAAATCTTTATCATTTGTTCTTTCAGAGACTGCACGAGTTTTCCTGAGGGAAGAATTTTTGGTAATATGTTACCAGCATAGTGGTGAGAGTGGAGTTTTCACACGCCCCTGTGTGATCGCATATGGACACCTGAAAACCTTGGAAAAAGCAAAAGTAACCGGAACTACTTTTTTTTTTTTTTTCAACACTGCACTGCTACAGTGTTGGAAAGTTGGATAAAACTTTCCAACAAAGATAAAAGAACAGCCTTGGCAAGACATTCCCTCACCTGTTAGAATGTAATGGTAGCTTCATGTTTGCGTTATACAGTGACCTTTCAAACAGAACTGCCCAACGGGCTTTTATTGTGAGTCAGGAGCTTTTCAGTTCTTTTCTAATTACAGGGAAGCATGCTGAAAATTATTATCCATGTTAACTGACAATTGACACACATGCAGCAGACAGAGATGAGGTTGAAGAACGCAGGAGTATTCTTTTGAGTCTGATCTCACACATGAGATGTCTAATCACAGCTATTTGAAGTCTGATCTTAGATATGTGGTCCATCCATTACTGATTATAAACTGTCTCTAAAAATGTGACATTGACAAATCTGACGTGCACACTAAAGAAATCCTTCCCCGTATCTTTTGTTTAAATGCATACATGGGGGTTGTACAGTCAACCAACATACGTACACACATACAGTGTCTAAGACGCCATCAGTGTCCTGCTTTGAGTGGTCACAGTACAGTAGTAGAGTGGAGCTCTAAGGCACAAGGGCAGACAGTGACACGTCCTGGTTACACTTTACTGCAGGGCAGTGTTCATCAGGCTACCTGACACCTACAGAAGCTTGTCATGGCAACTGAACTGAACCTACAAACATTAACAAAGGCTTATTTCAAAAGGCGTCGTCTGTCATAAAAATGCTTTTGTCAAATTTGATGTGAAGTTGACTTCATAATGTCAGGCGGCATCAGTTTCTTCTGACACTGGGTTGTCATGATACTTTTTTGGGTTACATGACATAGCATGTTATAACAACTGAGTTTGGTGTTTATTACAGGGACATAAAACTAATGATGTTTCCTAGCTTAAATCTTATAAATAGTATAATAAGACTCACTTTATCTAGGAGCCACAGAAAACACTCACATCTCTTCAACCAGCCAGACATGGCAAGCCGTGTCGGAACATCAGCATTATATCACTGTGACAAGCACAAAGCTACAAAGTCAGTCATTTCACCCCAGAAAGTGTCATGAAGCAAGAAATGTCCAGAAAAACAGGAGCCCTTATTCAACAAAGTTGTGCAAAAATAGCACAGATTTCACCTCATTTACATATCCCTGTCATAAAGAAACTCCATTTCATGCAGATGTTTTGGTAGGGCGCCAATAAAATGACAGCATTCAGCAGCTTGGGTGCCAATGACCATGCTTGTAGGTGGAGTTTGAGGTCGAGCAGTAAATGCACTGCTCCCCCTACTGACCAAACGTGAGAATGCTAAAATGATCATAACTGGAAAGAATAAAATATGAAATAAACAAAACATCTTAGTTTTTTTGGATGGTAGAACGATGTGATTTTGTTAAACTATTGTGCTCAAATATTTTTACACACTCCTACCAGAAGTGAGTTTGATCGTACAGATATGGCAAAGATAAAATTGCTAAATCACAAAACTGATCTGTCGCATTTGCATGTGCTCAATTTGACGGTACACAACTTTCATAAGATCCTATGTCACCTAACACAGATGTTATATCAACTTGCAACTGAAAAATGCAACTTTTATTAAAAACTGTGTGATAAGTGTTTAAAAATGTTTACGTAGGTCTTTGTTCTTTGTCATGAAGGGCTTATGCAGGTTTAATAAAGCCTCATGAACACTGACCTACAGTGAAGTGTTACCCACTTCCTCTAGTGTCAGTGCATCCCCTGCTTTCAGAGAGTGAGTGTGGTTTTGCTACGGTGAGAAAACACCCACCTTATTTGGACATTTTTTTAACAGTGCTTTAGCCCTAGTTATACAAATGAGGATATTAAAATTTCATAAAGCAAGACACTTCATACAGCGCATACACATGCATTCTGTGTCAGAGAGACAGAATCAGACACACACCACAGGAAACATGCATGTAGTAACGACACACATACGTGCAATCGCACAAACACACACACACACACACACACACACACACACACACACTATATGTGTATTCTGTGTTGTTGGAAATGCAGCATTACGTCTAACAGTCTTGGGGAAGATTCCTGAAACAGGTTGAAATGAACACAAAGTGATCCGGTCTCTCTCTCTCACTCTCTCTCTCTCTCTCTCTCTCTCTCTCTCTCTCTCTCTCTCTCTCCCTTTCTCTTCCCGCAATTATATAAAAATAAAATCTTTATCCGTCTCTTCCCCAGAGTCAGCCGACTTGCTGCCCTGGCTCGAGTCCTTATCTTTCTCGCCATTGGCTGCTTTGTCCTTGGCCCTCGAGCCGTTCTCGTCCGAGTTCTGCTGGTTCGCGCTCGAGCGCTGAGGGCCGTCCGATGAAGAGGACGTCCTCGCTGTAGAAGAGAGCGCAAACAAGTAAAGAAATAAGTCAACGTACTTTAAAAGAGCGCCCCCTATTTCTCTCCTCTATTACCACAAAAGAAACTTCACAGCCTTTTCAAAACATCTGCATTATTAAACAGATACAATGTAAACAAAGTCATTCAGAGTGGTTTCATGTGAAATGCTCTGCTCTACAGAAACTCAATAAGTCAGAATTATTCTGGTGATAGGAACCAGATGTCTAATGGCTGTAAAAGCTCCCTCACAGAAAGTTATTGCATGAAACAGTTACGAATTCACTGCCTGATGTCTGAGGTCTATTTTTAAAATGCACTCCAGCAAAGAGTTACATTCAGGGTGAACATAAGAAAAAATAGTCCCCATGGAAAACTTATTTTTTCAGATATTCCACTGTGTTACCATCATCAACATTACATATAAAAACTCCGATCATTCAGAAGGTCATTTTGCATCATAAATTAAATGGCTATATTTGTGCTGCACACCACTGTCTCCTACCAAAACCACCACGCAAGAAATTAGAGTACGTTTCTGTACAGTGACCATTTCCAATCAAACCAATCTGAATGACTGTTTACATCCAAACGACCGAATTTTGATAAAGACGAAAGAGTGAAGGCTAAATGACAGCCACTCTCCAGCTGCTGCCACTGAACCAATCATTCAAAATGTCAGCACTATTTGTAGCAAGGAATTCGGGATGAGGACCAAATAAGAGCCTTTTGTGTTGGTTTTGTTAGTGGTTCAACAGCACAGAGTTACCGTGGCAACATCCCCCATTGAGGATAACAAAAGTTGGTGCTTATTCGTTGTTTATTAAATGATTTATTTCATGCAAGCCAGAGCAAGACATTAGTAATCTAACACAGAAACATAACTGAACTTTTAAACATGTTGTATGATGTCATATCCTGCATTAAGGCCATTTTCAGTGTGCCTAGCTTAGAAGATTATTATAGGAGAGTATTCATTTGCATGTAAAATGTGTGTATACACTATTGCATGCATCCTTCAAATTTAAAGTCAGTCCACATAGCTTGCTTTGTCGCACTGTACCATTAAAGCCCACCAGCCAAAAATGGCATTTGAATGGTTATACTTAAAGCAATTTATGGCATATTTATGAGTAAAATAGCAAATACATCAGAAAAAATGTGCAGTTTGTATGAGTGATATGACATTTAGTGTTTTATTAATACCATTATTATTATCATTATTATTATTATTATTGTTGTTATTACTATTTACAATTACTTACTGTTTCTCCAAGGACAACTCAAATTTATGTTTTTAGTGTTTTTTTTTCACATCAAAAATTAAGATTAACATTAATGGTGGTGTAACTGTTCAGCAGTCATGCTTATGGAGAAAAGGCAGGCACTCTGTGCTGTGGTGCAGACATAACTGCGGCTATACATTCTCATCTAGCTGTTCTTTTGTTACTGTTGAGGTCTTCTTACTCTTTTTTTTATTTATTCTTAACAAATTCTTATTAAAACCTGACTGCTCTGTTGAGTACCTGATAAGTACCACAACAATGTTCAGAAGCAAAATCATTTAGTAAGACTTTTAAACTTTGGCTCTGGTAACAAGACGTCACAGTGAAAGAATGTGCGGTTATTGTTGCGATGGCAGATGTAGTGCGTTTTCAAAGATGTGTGTATACTGCAGGCTCATATGCTGAAGGTATGCACTTCTTTAATGGTTGAATAGTATGTACTGGATCAAATTTAGAACAGACTGTTTAAAGTATGCCATTTTGGACGCAACCAATGTTCTAGAAACATGACTGTTGAGCTGCACTGGTTGAACATGCTTGGGGGATGGGGCAGTGTAAAGCAGATAACATCCCTAAACAAAAAGCTGCCTATGGTAGCATGTACATTTTAGGACATTCCTTAGATCACAGTGTCAGGTTTCAGACATCAGACAAAACAGTCTTGGGAAAAACAGTGGTGTCAGCGTTCATACAACTGGATATCAGTAGGAATGGCCTCAAGCCATCAAGCGGCCAAATTTAAGACAACAAAAAACTAACCACAGCTTTTACTAAATTTAACTAAAATTAAGCTTAAACCTACATGTTGTATCTCCTAAAAATAAAAACAAAAACCCCATCCCCAATTTTCAATGGAGCAATCAAACATTAGCACATGGAGCACATACAGACAAAAAAAAGAATAAAATAAAATTCAGAGAATAGAAATGTAGACATTTACCAGCCAACACTGAGGCCAGTGATCTCACATGACTATTTTCGATTAAAGTGGGCTTTTGAATTGCACCAAATGTTTATTATATTTCAATTTGATCTAGTTCGAGTGAGTAAATAGCCATGGGGCAAACCACTGTCCTCTGTGTTGGAAAACGGCCAGAAGAAGCATGATTAACCATTGCAATGCTTTTGTGCAAACTGCACTGATAAATCAGACTTCGCTCTGGCCTGTAATGAGCAATGAGCTGCACGATGAGGAAGAACTGAAAGCTGATTGGTGAGATGTGTGAGTGTGAGGTCTGACCAGGCCGTGCGAGAGAGGTCTTGGGCTCTTGCTCGCCCTCCTCCTCCTCGGAGCGCTGTGGAGAGCCTTGCACTTTGGAGGGTGCTGCTGGTCTATCCAGCTCAGGGTCGGCTTTAAAAACGCATGAGTCTCCTGCCGCGTCCGCTGCAGAGAGGAGCAGCACGCTCTTTAGCTGGACTTCAGGCTGATTTGTTTGCATGCAAGCCTCATGTTGTGCTGCTCCTTCTTGTGGTGGTGTGAAGGGGGGGCAATTTTTAACCCACATGTAGTCAGATCAGTCAAGACATTTCTGTTGTCTGAAGTTTGCTTCTTTAGTTTTGCACTCAAGCCACGAGGCTAACGTAGCTAACACGCTTATACCTCAGCAATTGGCACCGCTCAAACTGTGTGCCTAAAACACTTGTTTCAAACCACGTTGCATAAAGGAGACATATTTTATTCTTTTTTAAAGACATATATTTCGCTGTGCTATCTGAACAACAACTGTGAACAATGTAAACCAATGAACACCTTCAATCAGCCTTTATACGTTTGTGTTTTATCACATTGTGCCATGTTGGAGGGCTGCAGCAGAACACAGAATAGGGACGATACACATTTGACTTTTTAAGCTCATGTTGAGAGCCAGTTGTGTTGTGCCAAGAAGTCATGCCATTACACAGCAGTGTTTAATGTACAAACCCCTGTAATTTGCTTTCTTTGTAGCTTCTGCCACCTCTAACTTAACGCTCATTTGTGCTAGTCTGCTAATGGGGTTTTCAATGCTATGTTAGCACCAATCTAATGGTGATGAAATGAAAATTTTAAAACAGCTTTGTGCTATAATGGCTGTGAGTGAAACTGCAGCTCTGACAGTGAAAGTATGAAGGCTGGGTAAGTGGTAGTGTTAATTCGAGTAAGAGGGGACTCTTGTTTGACGTGATGCAGCATTGAGCAACAAAACCTAACAGCCTGTAAAATGCAATTTCTGCCTGGTTTTTGGGGCGTTCCTCAGTTGAAAAATGCATTTTTTTTCCTTCAATATCATGAAATATTTTTCGAAGAAGGCAAACCCTGAATTTTTATCTTTGTAGGTGAGCAAGCAATGTGTTTTTATTTTCTTGCTATTTTTGAAGAAAAAAAAAACCACGAAAGCTTGAGCTGTGCTGTCTGATTTATTTCACCACAGCCGTCTTTTGGAGAAGTGTGAAGTGTTTTCACTGCAGGTGGTTCTCTCTCCTCCCCCTTCACCCTTTATTGCTCACTAGCAGCTCAACATAGTGAACCAACAGCATCCTAGTTAATGTGATGACAGAGCTGTGGGGGGAAATAGTTTATCTGATTACATTAATTCAAAATATACAAATAGGGCTGGGCGATAAAGCGTTAATGATAATTATCATGATATAACTTTCCTCGACAGAAATATAAGAAATGTTTGATAAATGTTCGATATATTAGACTTTTCTCACACTTCCACATTCTAGTGACAGCCCTGGTGGCGTTTTCTAGTGCAAAGAAAGCAACACTACTCTGCTGTCGCCACAGGAGGGCACACTTCCGCCAAATACACTTTAGCAACGCCAAAAACATGGAGTTTTTTATATTCCCTGTTTGAGAGAACGCTAGCTTCCCAGGCTAGTTGTTTTTAGCAGCTGGCTAACTTGAAGCAGCGCTCTGTTACTTGCGCAGCTCGATCAAACTGATGTTACTGTAGCTCAAACAGGACAAACCAGCACTGATTTCGGTTTAAATGTATCTAAAAGGAAGACTCTGTTTCTCTGGGAGAGAATCACACTGCAGTTAATGCTTTTACACAGCGAGCGCCAGATACTTTAAACTGCTATGATAGAACCTAGAAACCCAGATGTCTGCCAGCTTGTGTTTGAATACTGTGATATAACGTTACTCTGACATGGATGTGGTAGGAGTGATGGCAGTAAGGCGGTGTGTTCCATCATTGATGTACTGAGTCAGCTAATGTTTGCGGTTCGTACTAAGCTGATGTTGTTAAGAAACTAAACAGTTTAGCTCTTGTAACCAGGCAGCCTAGGACTCGTCACCAGACAGCTAAAAATAATAATCTGTTTTCTTTCTTTAATTATGACTATTACAAAAATTGCAGCTATGTTTTTCAGCTGGTAAAAACAGCTAACCAGAAACTTTCTTCCACCGTCCCATGACAGATTTGTGAAATGTTCCACTGTTTAGCGAGTGTGTGTCATGTTCTGACCATAAAGGATAGTTTAAAACAGCAATTAAGCACTCAGCAGCAAAAATCAGCCTTCAAACTTTTATAGCGATATGTATCGATATTGACTGATATGATTTTTTTTATCATGGTAACACTTTTGGTCACATCGCCCAGCCCTATATACAAATTGATTTCCATTCTGCTGGTGGAACGGCCACTAGGGGGCCTGCAGAAAGAGAAAAGATGTCTCCTTTAAGCAATCTGAAATAGTCTTGCTTATGTGGTTTCTAACACTGTGTGAAAAATGTTATCTATAAGAATCAACGGCAGTATGTTGCATACCTAAACAAAACAGTAGTAGCAGCCATACTGAAGCCTGAATTTGGCCCTACAGGATTAAAGCTTCTATTACTTGTTAGCTACATTAGCCTCGTAGCACCAAAATAAAACTATTAAAGTGAAGTTTACCAAACATATTCCATTGCCCACATGTGGGTAAGAGGACAATTGTATAAATCTGATTTCCATTAAACTGTTCCTTTGAGGTGGTTCCAATTTTGGGACTACTGCGATTCACTGGGGATTAAAATGCTCCAAGGATGCTGTGGCTATTCTTAAAGGGACATTCTGTAGTGCGAAAACACTGAGTCATGGCTTTAAACTAGATCAACATGAACATCACTGATACAAAAGGACAGGAAGTAAATGAGTTGTGACCTCATTCTGTCCCCCAGTGATTGGCCAAACCCCATATGGGGTGACTAGAGCAGAGGAATCTAAGCCTAATAGGTGTCTGCATGGCACACAGGGAATGGATGGAGGCAACAATCAGCATTGTGAAGATGGAGAAAAAACTAAAACACACACCAACACACAGGAGCAGGCAAACAACATGACAATTCTTTTGGCAAAACATTTCCAAAAGAAATTGCATGAGACTGACAACATACAAGCTTTAAATGACATGACATGACATGACATGACTAGACAAACATTTTTCTTCTCAGGGCCCTACTAGAACAATAAAAAACAGGTATACAGAAATGAATAGTCATACAAAACCGCTTGATACCAAAGCTCAACCATACAATCACGGCTGATTCCTAAAACTGCCTTGCATGTGTAGAAAAGTACCTTGTTGGGAGCCTACCTTCCTGAGCGGAGTTCTTGGTGGCTGAGCTGCTCTGTAGAGGACTGGGTGTTCCCTCCTTGTCTGTGGGAGCTTTCCTCAGTGTTGATACCAGGCCTGGAGTCTTGGGACCTCCAACAGGGGAATCTGAGCTCTCCTCTGGGGAAAGAACACAGCGAGAAAGAATATACAGTCACAGGCCACATCTACCTTGTGATGTACAGGGCTGAGCAAAATACCACAGTGTGATTACATTGCTAGACACTGCATGTGATATGATTTACAAACACACTGGTGAAGCCTTGATAGAGTAAACACCTACAGAGACATTCATCAGGAAGGCCTGGGCTTGGTCAGGATGCATACAGCACACAACAAAATACTGAGAATTATATTGCATGCTTATTGCAGCCTTCTGCAATATCAATACTGCAAAAATCAATATTGCAATAAAGGTTTACAACTGATATCAGGGAGGCCTGGGTAGAGACTGTAGCTCATCTTTAGCACAATTTGTGTTAGCCATCCTACAGCCTTTCATCAGTACTCAGTTTCTGACCACAGATCCACTCTTGGATGGATACTTTCAGATGGTGGACCACTTATCAAGCTCAAGATCTTCCAACAACGCTGTACCTAATACAGCTGTACAAGTTCAACACACACTACTACACCACCACCACCACCATGTCAGTGTCACTGCTGTGCTGAGAATGGTTCAACAGTGGTCAGAAAGTAGGGTAAAAGGTGACTAAATCTGAAGGACAACAGGAAGGCTACAGTCTGTAACAGTACAAGTGGATAGTACTGTTAATGGTAGATGAATCAATATTCATTTCTTTACTCATCCTTTCATTTATTACTATCCATTTTCCTCATTGTAATCTAAATAAGAAAACATGTTTTCTTTCAGTAACAATTGAAACATGTTAATAACATGTGATGCCAAATGAGCCCTTGCAACAAAAACCAGTATATGAGACAGTTTTTGTAAAAATCATATAAGCATAGTATGGCATTATTTGATGCCCTGTATTTAAAATAAAGGGGGCCCTAAACATAAATAAAACATAGTTTTATTTAAATTATATTTAAAACAATCAATAAAAGGGGTGAATGGTAACATTGGAGAGGCTTAAGTATTACGAGCCCATAGTCAGCATATGCTTATATTGCGGCTACTGCAGTACCCTACCTATACTGCGGCTACTGCTGGTACGGGGCTTCTGTGGGATGGCAGGACGAGCAGCCAGGGTGGGCTTGGTGCCCTGCGGAGGGGGTTTGGGGCTTGTAGGCGTTGGGCCAGAACCTCTAGGTTTGGGCGCTGTCTCCGGTTTGCCTTCACTGCCGGCACGCAACACTCTTTCTGGGGAACTCACACTGCTGCTGACCTCAGGCTTGGTCAGCCCTAGAGAGAGAGAGAGAGAGAGAGAGAGAGAGAGAGAGAGAGAGAGAGAGACAGAGACAGAGACAGAGAGACATGTAAGGTTTTGTACTGAGAGTGATGATGCAGTTCAGTCAAACAGAGCAGAAGCACAGTACTTTTTACAAGTCTGTACCAGAGCTTCACTGCTAGAATGATTTTAGGGATCTGTGGGAAAAGGGACGCTTACTAAGAACTTCATTTTTTCATGTACTGGGTGACTTTTGTCTCACATATAATGAAATAGGTTTGCCAATAGATGGTTTGCACACTGCATGTGACACTCAGCCTCAGCGCTGGAAAGGTCTGGATAATCTACAGAGCAGAGCACTCTTACCTGATGGAGGTAAGTCTGGCTTATCTGGACTAGATGAAGAGTCTGATATCTGCAAGAGATCACCACAGTTAATTAGCCGCACAATCAGCAATCAAGTCTTAAAAACAAGCCAGGTAAGGCAAGGCAAGTTTATTTATAGAGCACCTTTCATACACTGCGCTCATTCAAAGTGCTTTACAAATGATGAAATACAAAGATAATTCAAATTATAACTTAAAAAGTAACAAAGAAAAGGAAAATAGAAATTAAAAACACAAAACATGATTTAAACAACAGTTTTTAAAAGAATCACTAAAATTAAAAATCAAAATAAAAATGAAATTGGAATAATAAACTGCCATTACAGGAGAGAAGTGCAGTAGAGCTAAGAGTGTTTTAGACTGAGCTGAAAGCTGCTCAAATAGGAACAATTTCAGCCTGGATTCAAAAGTGTGTTGGGACTCTTCTAATGCTTTCTATCAACTGGTGTCATCTTAAAGGGCTTTCTAGGAATTCTAATGCTTCTGATGATGAATAAAAGCACACAGGAATCAGGACATGCTATCTGCTTTCCATAAACCTGTTTACTGGTCATTACTGTGTTCCAGAAATGCTGTATTTTTCAGAGTCTACAAGATGAATTATAGGGTGGGCCAGTGATGCTCAATCCTTGTCCTGGAGATCTACCTGGAGTTCATCTCAACCCTTAATACCAGGTAATGATCCAGTTAACGAAGGCCTTCATGGGCATCTGAATATTAAAGCCAGGTGTGTTGGTTCAAAACACTCCAGGGTGGTAGATCTCAAAGGCCAGGGTTGGGAATTCTAGGGCTCGGCTACAATATAATATATAATTATAATATATAACAATTGGTGCAATAAAAGGATGCAGGGCATTAGCTCCCTATAAGAGTACACTTATTTTTTTGCTGACTGAAACTAACCAATGATGAATGGTGTACAGAGTGACAAATTGTGAATCACAACAGATGGGCTCCAGTTTATAATCGTACACCAATACAGTGGACTGACCGGATAGGTGGAGCTCATAAAATGTCCAGTGGATGGTGGGTGTTTCTAATAAAGTGGCCAATTAGTGGAAGTGCACAGTAAGATCTCCTAATAAAGTAGGTGAATGTAAACCTAGAATTACTACCAAATAACAAACACCTGGGAATGAAATAAGACCAATAAACCACTCAAACCCACTTGGTAATGCATGGGCAATGTGCACCACAGCCAAGCCAGTCAGGGAACTAGGCCAAACTGTGGGATCTTAATGGCAGCTATAAAAGAGAACACAGGCAGAAGGAGAGAAGCTCTTTCAGCAGCCCGTTATGCGCCTCATTCCACCTCAAAACAGAAAATGCCAATGCAGTATGTTAACGCTAACAGCCTAACAGGCTGAACAGGGCCGAACAGCTACCACTTTCAATAAAGCTCCAGTGCCGTCATGCCTAATATGAATCATTCATGTTTCATTACAACGTGTCAGTCATTGATCAAGGTACACTGAGCAAGACCGAGTGAAATATGTTGACTGGACTTCCAAAGACAAAGGCCAGTATAGATATGTGACCAGTAGGGTCACTCTAGAGTTCACTCATATTTATACAGAACTTTTTTAACAGACATTGGCTCTTATTCATCAGTTGCGAACGGTCAAATCTGAACATGAACTCAGCGCTTGGAAATTTCACTGACAGTTTTATTATTCAACACAAATGCTGGCGTTTTATTGGCTCCCTATTGAAACATCTACATGACCTTGGACTCACTTTAAATAAATGATATGTAAATGAGGTGCTGGTAGGCTAGCGTCTGATTTCACGCACTGAATCTGATTCATTATTTGGTGCATTTTTTCCATGTTGTACGAAGCTTTCATGAATCAGACACAGAGTAGTTTGTATGCCCTTAAAGGTGGTTAAATTAGCACTCTTTTTATGCAACTCGATAAATAAGGGCCATCATCCCAAAGAACTTTTACAGAAATGTGGGTTTGGACCCCTAAAGATCCAGCCGAGGAAGACAGCGTCAGATAAAAGTCCTTGAAAGAACGAGGAAGAAATAGTGAAAGGAACCCATCCTCCTCCGGACTGCACTGGACAGTGAAGTTATGTGAGAAGTAAACAAGTTTACAAGGAAGATGGCACTGAAAAACAAGGATCATTCAACAGAAAGAGACATGAGATCAACCACTGATGATGTAAAAATGTCTCTAAGAACAATCCACTGACAAACAACAGACACGACACATGGCAATACACGAAAACAACACCCTGTTGTCTGTTTGCCAAAGTTTACTTTCGATGGAACATCCTGGACCATCATAACTATGTGTCAGCCAATACGGGACGCAGGGCATCACTCATGCCAGTGACAAAGAGAAACAGAGAAAGACAGTGGAGAAACACATTGCTTCCAATTCTTTCTTCTGTGAAGAAGAACATCAACAGCCAGCAGGACTTACTTACAAGCATTCATATGTAATGAGTTTCCTGCTCACATGGTTCTTGGTCACATACCAAAATGTCCTTGTGAATGTAGCCTATGTTTACAACTCCAAGAGACATGGGCCAGAGGAGACATGAGATTAGCATGGTTTAGTCTCAGTGTGACACAGATTTAGCTAAACTGGCCAGTTCAGGGGCTTAATGTGCACCTGGGCATTAACTTAAACCTGATACCTGCTAAAACTTTTAAATTCTTCTGTTAAACTACTTTGGTGAAGACTTGTCTGTTATGATTAATATTAGTAATAAACTAAAAAAAACTTTTTTGAACGTTGTATTTTTTAATTGTAGAGCCTACAATATTTTGTCATCATTATATAAAAGTAATAACCCAATTGCTCCATGTACAGCAGTGACTTTCAAACAGTTAATGACTGTCAGGAAAAATGTGAAGTGGAGGTCCATATGCTGTCTTGGATAATGCACGGCCTTCTGTGGTTTATTGCTTTGATAAATCTTAAAATAATACCAAGAAATAAAGTAAGCTGTGAGATTTTCAGAAAATAGGAAGTAATTTATATTATTCTCTGCATGATACAGGGACTATGAGTTCTTTTCATTTCCCTTATACTTTGTATAAAGTGTATACGTGTAGATCTGTGTCACTTCAAATTGTAACATTCAGAGTGTCGGTGATTAAAGTATGAAAAGTTATATTGACGCATCAATTTAAGAGACTCCTGCCTAGTAGCATTAGTAAAAGTACAGGGGTAAACCTCACAAAAATATACTGTGAAAACAGGATGCATCAATGCATAGGTCACCTCAGAGTCGGTCCACCAGCAGACTTTCCCCAAGACCTCTGCCACAATTCAAACCCTGCTTCTGTGTCATTTTTCCACACTATATTAATGGTGAATTGCCACAGCCCACAGCCATTTTTAAAACAAATGAATCACTAACCAAACAGCTCATTAATTCCACTGTAAACACTTTAAGATCCTTTTATATGCACACAGCAGCCAAACAAGAGCTAGCTTGCTGTGGATAGGGAGCAACCATTTTTTCCGACCTCAAACAGCTGAAGTTGCATGAATGCTTTTAGGTGGGAATTAGGAGGTTCCCAGTTGGAAAATTCCAAGCGTCCAGTTGTCATAAACACAACATGAGAACCCATGTGGCTCATTCAGGTTTAAACTCTGCTAAACTCTAAACTGCAGCTGGGCTAAATACAGTGCAATTAGCCCTAGAGGCTTCCACTGCTGACAATGCACGATAACTCCTTTAGCTTTAATATTAGCACCAATATTTACTGTTAACACAAACTAATACCATCACGTTTAATATATAAAAAACAATAATACAGAATGGCGGCCCAACCCTGTTCCTGGGGAACTACTGTCTGACTATTAGAACCAGCTGTGAAACTGTGTGCACACACCTTTCATAAAGACCCCTTTAACGCAGTGCTGGGAAGCAATAAAGGTGAGATCGTTTTTGCACAGTAGATGTGAGGAAGTTGAGTTTAACCGCGTATCGATCACATTTCACATCTCGCTCCTGCTGTTCTCCTGTCCACAGCTCAGAGAGCAGCGTACCCCTGACAGGCGCAAACACCCTGAGATTTCCACAGAATCTGAGACGCCGCATACAAATGATGCACATTATCCCCGGAGCAGTGACTAATCATGTTGAACAGGTTCCATTATCAACTGCGTTCCCACAAGCTGATAACTGTGTTCAGCGTCAGTGAGCATGTAACGACCGCTGCACTCAGATCAACAATACAGTTCCACCGGTAAGCAGTAGAGCTCATATTTTGACACTGATCTGCCTGGAAGGTATGAAAATAGCCTGTTTTTCTTCTCTCTGAGGGTGACGAGAAACTAGTAGGTAAAAAGTGGTGGTGGGGTCATTTACACAGATTTACTAACGTTCTAGGGAGGACACTGTTTCTGACACTGTACTGACATACTCTGATGTCTAGAACCCAGCACAGGTGCTTTTTAAGTTTCATTATATAAAGATTTCTGCAAACTACTTCATACATTTCACCTTCCAATCTTCCTGAGCGTGCTACTAAAACAAGTGTTGTACACTTTCCATTTTCTCTCTCAACTATTTCCACGTCACGCATGCAGTCGCACCGCAGTTCATTTGAAACTAGCCAGTTACAATATCAGTGCACTCATTTACATTGGCATACAAGTGGTTCAGTCTTCTAGGCGTGGTGACCTGGAAAACATTTACAACGTGCTATTACATTTGAAACAGCCCATTAATGTACATGAACAGGGACACTTCATTCTGATATAGTCAGTGAAAATGCATTTGAGACCCATGGAAAGGCCAGGTATAGACACCTATGCCTCTCAATGACCACGTGATCAGATCACTTGTGTTAATACTAGGTATAAGCAGGGCCTGTAATTCATGTAGTACGGCGTCTAAGACCCTTTTTACACCTAGTGCTTTCATGCGTCTTGAGTATCAGGAATAAAGATTATTCACATAGAAACACAGGTGTAAACGCACCAAAGACACATTTAAAATGGATTCAAATCTAAACACTCACACCACTTCTGGAGGTGGTGAGATGCATTTTAGCCACATGATATACAAGTGCAAACACATCCGTTCAGCACTTAATATGAGCACTTTCCACAGTTGTTAGATTGCTGCACCTAACAAAATGTGAGTTGGGAATGTAGGGCTGAGGTAAACATATATAAATAAATAAATAAAAAAGTTTATTAATTGACACAGTTCATAGTGCGCATGGAAAAAAGTTCTCATTTTGTTGTAACATGTTTAGAGGGCAGCAGGAGTAATGTTTATTTATTTGTTAGCTATGGAGCTAATTCTAAGATTTGTAGCATATATGATGGCAGATATATTTGGCTTATATTTGGCTTATATTTTCTCTCTCCTATGTGTAATGTCAATTACTTGACTCACATTACACATACTTTTGTGTAACTGTAGACATTTGTGAGAGTGTGCATGTACAACAGTGCGGGCGCAGCATTGCTAAACAAACAAAGCTAGCAGGTAATTAGCCATTTATTTAATTTGGCCACTTTAGGTTAGTTTTTAAATAGTTGCAAACAAAAAGCAAGAAGAGACCATTAAATCAGTAACTACAATTTTCTACGTGACAATTATTAGCTAAAATGTCATGATTGTGGCTGCCCTGTCTCTGAGTTTAACTCGGTAGCCTTTAGCGGGCTGAGCTACTTAGTGTTAGTTTGGTTGATCTTCACTTCACCCTGTCGTTATTTACCAGTGTAAGAAAATGAATGATGGCATGAAAAACTGATTTCTAAGGGGGTAACCTTCTTTCTGAATACAACAGGAAAGACAACTAACAACACAGGCAACCGTTTGTTGTATATGAGTTGATTTGCATATTGTAAACCATTAAGCAATCGGACTTCAATCTGACTGGAGACGCAATTGGTTATCAAGTGTAAATGCATGTGGTTAAACTCTTACCAGGTTACAATCCTGATATACATCACATTAAATGACCAGGTGTAAACGGAGACTACGACTGTCAAATAAAGTGTAATTCCAAAAAGGTGGCTAGGGGGCAGTAGAAAAATGTTATCATTCTTTAGACACCAGGTGCTGTGCTCAAACAAAAGTATGCAGATAATCAGATTTGCTACTGAGTTAAGATTTTGAGTAAGAGAGGAAAATGCTTAGTTGGGCCTTTGACAGTGGACAAAAGTACAATGTACAGGAGTTTTCATTAGACATCATGACACCCTTTGTCTGGACATTTTTCTGTTTTACACATATTCAGTGTGCCTTAAAGTGCAGGCTGCTGCTGAGGAGGGAGAGGTCTTCCTAGCACTGCTATATAAAGGCTCCTCTTTAGTTCTCACTCATGCACATTCGAGATGGCCTGAGCAGACTGTAACCACGTCAGTGCTTACTAATGTAACATAACTTGCTTAAATCTGGACCCACAGCATCGCGCCATTCATGCTGCATACATCAGTATCTTTCAGCATAATTTTGTCTAAAATGAAGGATGCATTTCTCTGCCGCATATGAAGGATCCTCCAGCATTCAGTGACATGAGAAATGCAGTGTCAAACAATAGAGCCCCATTAAGTAAGAACCACATATTAAACATTCTATCAGCTATTTTGTTGTGTTTTTTTTTCTACAGCCTTTTATGTATATTAAAAAAATATACATACACACACACACACACACATATATATATATATATATATATATATATACTTTGTGTTTTAGTGGCTCCTTTATTTTAACATTTTTACAGGGCATCAAACAATGCCGTACCATGCTTAAAAGATTTTAGGTCCATTAGCCTCTAGTTTTGGTTGAAAGACTACATTTGGGGTAAAAGAAAAAATATGCAAATTTGGTTTTTTTTTGCCAATTTTTTGTACTAAAAAAAAACAAACAAAAAACAAACAAAAAAACTAGAATGGTGAAAGCCAGCAGGGGGCAGTGAGTGCTAATCGCTCCTCATCTGGTCCCCAATGTTTTTCAGTCACTGTTAGCAATAGCAAGAGCATCTGTGGGTAAAGTAACCAATCACAAACAAACAGAACAGCACACACGCATATGACAGATAGAAGAAAGGAGCAGACTACAACCACCACGCTCCCAGGTTTCAGAAAAGTTATCCACAGCATAATGGCTCAGCAACCCCCAACACAGGCAAGTTTCTACAAAGGTCATTCGTTCAAATTTGGCCAGAGTGTAAAAATCCCAAATGGGCTTCTGAAATGCTGCCAAATCAAAATGGAGAGTTTTAGTTGAGCTATGTGAAATACTTTAGCTGATTCAGGCCAGTTGGCTAGTCTTACTGCCTTAAATTTACTGCCAGACATTGATTTTTATATTAAATACATCTTTAATTTCTCAAAAGTGCTTAGGTGTTATGAGGCTTTAAGGGGCTTTTCCAGTTTCTCTGAAACAGCTTTAGCAATGAGCCAACGTGGTATATGATGACTAAGGCATACCCCGTGTCTAATTTGATTTGGCGTCCAGAATAAGAGAATCCTATGTTATTAAATGGGATAGGATTAAACTGCTGAGAAGGATAGACTGCACTGTCACACAATGACCACTTGATGGCAACATTTTATCACCATTGTCATGCTCTCAGTTGACTGAATACTCTAAAAACCACCACACTAGCTTGTAAGTTTCAGTACCAGTCAATAGTTTGGACAAAACTAATTAAATGTATGTTTTTTCCTTTTATAATCTTAAAGACAATTTGATCTAAACGTTTGTGTGGAAATGCTTCAAATGTGTTTCTCAGATGAATATTCAGTTAAAGAACATTAAGCACAACAGCAGAAAACAGAGAAGAGTGAAAATCATAATGATAATAACTAACTATGCGCACCTTATGCGTCCCGAATGTGGCTCTCTTCTCCTGTTTGGCCTTCATCTCGGCCAGCAGGCCACATCCCATCACCTGGACACCGTAGCGGCGGCTACCCTGAGGGCTTCCTTCCGAGGGCTCTGAGTCCACCGAGTCCGGGGTCTTCAGCTCTTCTGAGCGGTCAGAGCTGCTACTGCGCTCTGTGGGCATAGACTGGGACTTGGCTTTAGCTTCAGCCGCAGGACTGCGCACAGACGCCTTGGGGGATGACGGATCCTCTGAGGCCTGTGGGGTGGCCTGGGCTGGGACAGGGGAGGGGGACAGGGTGGAAGTCTGGAGCTTCTCTTTCTCCTCTTCTCTTTTTCCCTCTCTTTCTCTCTCTTTCTCCTTCTCCCTCTCCTTCTCCTTCTCCCTCTCCTTCTCCTTCTCCCTCTCCTTCTCCTTCTCCCTTTCTTTCTCCCTCTCCTTCTCCCTCTCTCTCTCCTTCTCTTTATCTTTGTCAGACTTGTTGGAGCGAGACTTTATGAGGTTGAGGAAGCCGCCCTTGCGGGAGTCGCGCTTCTTCTCGCCATCCTGAGAGTCGGAGCTCTTCAGGGACGGCCGTCTGACGGAAGGATAGAGAAAGAAGTGACAAATAGAAATCAGAACAGAGCTTCCAGGCAGTTTGTGTATTTGACAGCACTGAACTGCAGGCAGACTACATACCAAACAAAACAAGAGCTTCAGGCTTGAAATTGTTAAACCTCATTTTCTGACACTGAGGAGCACTGAACACATATTAAGCCTCTCATGTCCTCCATGACATTTATATATTAACAGGCTAATTTTACATTTATTTACATTTTTTACTCGTAAATCATTGAAACACGGGAACAGTCTATAAAAAGTGCAGATGAAAACATTTTTTTCCAGAAAATAAACCCACTCTTTACATTTTGCAAGTTTTTTTTTTTTTAAACATCAAAACTAGTCAGAGACTTGAAATCTGTTGTTACAGAATTTAAACTAAATGTAAATATAACTAATTACATAATTAATTGCATAGTTCATGGTATAATTGCATATGAACAATGCCCTGAAAGCATAGCACAGCAAAATGACAACAATAACTCTAAGGGTTAATAACATCACTCAACCATGCTGATAGGATAAGCAGACGCTTGGACTCACTTGTCATCAATTTTGGTGACTTTCTTGGAGAAGAACTCATCCACGCCCTCATCCACCCTTCCCATGAGGCCATTCTGCTCTCCGTCTTGAGAGGGCACACTGCTGATCTGCTGTAAGAGCACATTAGAGTGTGCAAGGCAAACAATAGGAAAACAATAGTGTTTACATAATGTCCACATAATTAAATGGTTAAGATGACAAAGTCATTCAGAGTGGTTTGGTGTGAAATGCTCCATTTTAGAGAAACATACTGAGTCAGAACTGTTCCAGTGGTGGTGACAGGAATCAGACGTCTGAAGAGTTTAATGGACATGCTACTATTTTTCCTGCATCAACACTGCATTTAAACACTCAGAAGACATGTGCAGGCAATTTTTGTTAATAAATAAAAAGGCTATATTTGTGCCACTCTGAATGGCTTTGTTTACACCACAACCACTGAACTGTGCAGAAATTTTGACATTCCTGACATTTTGGAAATTCTTCACAGTTCCCTCTTTGTCTTGATGCAGCCTTGCAGTCTCTGATATTCTCTCAAGCAGCTTCATAAGGAAAGCCAATTTTTCTAAGCAAAGATTTTCTAACTGAAGGAGACAGTAGAAGCTGAGCCCTTGCTGACGCCTTTTTGCTCTATCTATAGCCATTTTTTTTTCTTTTTTTTGGGGATTTTAACCCAATTATCTCCCCAATTCAGTCGTCGCCAGTGCCACCCGCTAGTTAGGACTCCCCCGATCACACGATACTATCAACGCTAGGAGGGCGAGGCTAACACAGGCTTCCTCCGAGACCTGTGAAGCGCCACCGCTTCTTTTCGAACTGCTCCCTCACGCAACGTCATTGGACAGCTGACATTAACAGCCATTTTTAATTTATATATACAAATATGCAGAGGCAGTGGCCTTATTCATCAAAGTTGTGTTAAAAAGGGCACATTTGACCACCATTAATGATGTACAAACTACTCTGCGTCTGATTCATGAACCTTTCGTATGATGTGGAAACGAAGGGGAGATTTGAATGCAAATGATGAATCAGCTTCAGTGTGTGAAATCAAATGTCAGCCTATCAGCACCTCATTTACATATCATTGACATAAGGCACGCTTTAATTCATGCAGACGTTTTGGTAGGGAGTCAATAAAACAACCACAGTCAGCGGCTCATAAGCCAACGGCTACACTTGTAGGGCAGTCATGTCAAGCTGGGGATCTTCCAGGCCAAAGTGCTACTAGACATTAGTATTTACCATCATCTAACACTCTGAATTCAGTTCATGAAGTCCTTGCTAATTAGCTGATGAGCTGAATCAGGTGTGTTTATTGAGGCAGTGTGCTGAAGTCTGCAGTGTTTTGGCCCGCGAGGACTGGAGCCTGACATGTATTGTAGGGAGTGAGTGCACTACTTGACCAAACTTTTCAGTGTTAAAATTACAACTACTAAAAAGAATAAAATGTGAAATAAACAAACGCATCTCGGTTTTTAAGACAGCAGAATGATGTGATTCTGTGATTATTACCCAAAAACAACCGATTTAAATGCTGTTCTACTGCAGTGTATATAATATGTCTACACTAGCTGTGTTTTGTGTTGTTTGTGTTGTTGGGTGGTGTCAGTAGTATAAAACAAAAGAACAGTGTAATATTTCTTTAAATGGAACAAAGAATAGTTGCAGCATGTGTTTTGCAAAAATGTGCATGTAAAATAAGTACAACCCCTTTAAACTGGATTGCCACGTGCATAAATGATTAGTATTATTGTTATTTTCTATGTTTATTATTGGTGTGACAGATGATACTGACAATACTTTTGGTTAATTAACCGCAAATCAAGCATTTTTTTCAGGTTGTTGAACTATTACACTCAAATTCACAAACAAAAAATGAATAATAAAACTGTGTGAAATTCGCATGCGCTCATTTTATGATCAGATTTCACTGTACGCAACTGATGAATAATGGCCATAAAAAATCAATAATAAAATTGTGTGAAATCTGCATGCAATCACATTTGACCGTACACAAAATTGACGAATAATGGCCAATAAGACCCCTTCCTGAGACCCACAAAGTCTTCAAAAAAGGCCTTAAGTCCTTAAGTTTTCAATATACTTTATTATACGCTCGGAAATGTGAAGTGTTAAATAACATACTTTACCCATTTAACACTTTTTGTGTCATAATGTTATCTAATTTAAAACATTCAGTGTTAAAAGTAACAAAATGTGTTGTCTTCAACTGAACACACTGATATGAAGTTTCAATGCTGAAGCTTTGAGCACTGTGACTGTGTGAAAAACCAAAGAAAATCAACGGATGTGGCTTCCTGGCTGTGTGTCACGAGCCCCAGTTTGAAAACCGCTGCTATACAAGACTATTAACATACAACATAAAACTCTGGACACTTACAGGGACTCTGCTGGAGTGGGTCTTCTTGTTCCTCTTGGGCCGCAGTTTGGTGTAATGCTGAAGTTTCTTGGCCTCTTCAGACGGTAGCTCACCCATGCCTCCTGATGCCTTCTTCTCCAGTTTAGGAGGAGGTGTAGGGTCCTCCACGTGGATGGGTACATCCTCTAGAGCCCTATCCAGGTCAAACTCCATCTCTGATGCACAGGAAAACCAGTCAGGAACATGAGCAACCAGTCAAACTGATGGGTAAGACTGACCAGTTTCTCCAAACACAGATAAGACGATCCATGTTCTTTTTAGTCATTCTATTTTCAGAATTCTTCATTTCAGAAACAGAAATTAAATGAAATAGAAATGGATTTGATTCTCATCAAATATCATATCATTTGATTCTCAAATATCATAAAGAATATCAAGCGTGGTGGTCCTGCTCACCAAAAGCTCTGGAAACAGGCCTCAGCATCCGGCTGTGAATGCTCTTCCTTTTGGACTTTGGGTGTCATCTACAAAAAAATGATCAAAACATGAATGATCAGTGGTCATTAATCCTACATGTTCTGCATATGCTCATAAGGCTACATCACACCTGCATAAGCGCTTCATGATAACCACCACCGACCCGTATCAATATTCATAAACATGTATTCTAAAAGACTGCATATGTTGTGTGGTGACAAGCAGACATGACATCTGTGTCAGGTGATTTTTTCCTGATATTAGGTTGTTACATTACACTTTCATGAAATGACAGACTTTGTAGCTGCGTGCTTGTCACGCTGATATAATGCTGATATGACATGGCTTGCCAAGTCAGACTGGTTGAACGAAACTGAACATTTTCTGTGGCTTGTAGGTAAAGTGAGTCTCATTTTACTATTTATAAGATTTAAGCTAGGACACATCAGCATCATGTCACTATGATAAACACTGAGCTACAAAGTCAGCTGTTATAATGCGCTGTCATTTCACCCAACAAATGTCATGACAACCCAGTGTCAGAAGCCACCTGACACTAGTGTATGTCAGCTTGACCTCAATATTGACAAAAGCAGCCTTTATGACAGATGACATGTACTGGAATAAGCCATTATAAATGTTTAATGTCTAAATCAATTGCCATAATGAACTCATGTAGGTGTCGTGCCTTGTGAATACAGCCCTGCAGTGAAGTGCTACTGATTATTCTTAGAAAGGACCTTATTTTCCATGACCTTCCACACAGAAACGATCGCACTGTTCGAAATATCTACCACCGTCAACCTCACTCTGAAATCACTCTTACCCACTTTAGTCTTCTGCACTGTTTGAGTGTCCAGTATTAGTTGCCACTATTACATTTACAGTTCCTCATTATAAGCAGCATGTTCCTTCATTGTTCCCCAACAACCATATACTGTAAGTACATTCCACATCAGTGAAAGGTCTGCACTGACCTAAGACAGCTTCAGACACAGCTCTAGCTGTAACAATAACAAAATTCTAACAATTATACAGTGCTTTTCCTGAGCTCAAGGTCATAAAATCTTTTCCTTTGCTTTTTTGCTACTGAAGCACAATACCTCTGACTTCATCACACACAGACACACATAAAGAACTGTACCTTAGCAAGGATTCAAAAGTTCTCTTTCAGACTGTTAGAAGCCTTTCTGAATCGATACACCTTAGATCACATTTCAAACACCCACCAGTGAACATAACAAGGAAACACTGAATCCTAAACGCAGCAGCTGCTGAATGAATAGAAGAAAGAGTACTGAGTCTGGCTGCACTCAAAATCTGGACAATTTTCGCTTCAAACAACTCTTTATTTATATCTGGGGTCATCAACTGGTAAACCGTGGTCCGGATGTGGATCCAGCAAAGTATTACAGGGGACCAAACCAAGGACGTAAAAAAATTTATATTTGTAAATAAATGGTCGTATTTCAGTGACGTACATGAACATGAACCAGTGTGGCTTCTGCAGCCGTCCTGAGTTACAGTCTGTCCAATCACATACAATTTTTGTAAATAACTTTAGCTGAAGCAGCTCATTAGAACAGAGGCTAGCTGTAAGACGAGATATCAGTTCAGCAAATGGTGTCACATGTTTTTATGGGGTTTTTTCATAGATTTTATTGATTTCTGGTTTGAGTGGTGAAGCGACAGCATGACTTGTGATGAAGTAATGAAAATGTGTTTAAATACAAATAAACCGAGAACTCTCCCCATTTTTCTCTCCGTTTCAAATTCAAAATTGATGTGTCTCATCTGTTTAGAGTCTGTAGTACTGGTCAAAATTGGAAATATTAAGTGTCAGCACCAGTGCAAAAGACATCTTAAATAAACCCAAAGCTCCACATTAAAGATTCACCAGAGTGCCTGGTCCCTGCAAGAGTGTAAAATGTTTATTATGAACAGCGTTTATTATTATTTATTGCTAAATTAATTTAAAAATTTTTTTCTTTCAAGAAGTTTTCCACTATTTTTTTTTTCATTTCTGTTGTAGTGCCAAACTATTAAACTAATGGTGATGTGTCCACACTGGGCTTGATATCGCTGAACAAGCTCAACTGACTCATCTGGTATATCAGATAGCATCCGTGCATCTGTTAGGAAGTGTCTATCTCAACAGCTGCGTAACAGGACCCCCCTTGTTATGCAGCCGATTAAGCAGATCATTGTTGTTCTGTGTTATTCTTTCTAATTCAGTTACATATGATCAGCTCTGGGTATGTAGAATGTAATTTACATTAACCTGTAGTGTATCAAGTGGAAAAGCTACTTTAATTTTTGGGTGAAAGAAAACAGTGTCACATATAGACAAACAGATGCTGGTATGAGCCTCGACAGTGCTACAGTCAGTCAAAAGCCACACACATCGACTAAAGGCAGCAAAACTGTTCCGCCTCAGGACCCCCACTATCTCCCGTATCGACAGGCAGAGATGAAGACTGCCACATTGAGTCAGAAGATGTGAAGTGAAATCATCTCTCCATTTTCATCGATGAAGAAGAGAGATAAGCCCTGAGCGCTTAGACTCACACTGAGCCTCATAATCACCACTCATCAGGCAGAGGGAGACAGAGAGGGAGGGAGAGGGAGGGAGAGGGAGAGAGAGAGAAAGAAGGACAGAGAGAGAAAGTGAGAGAGATGTGAATGTGTGATAGTGTGGGGGGCTGAACAACAGTGCTCTTTGTCCAAGTGTTTATGCACAGGGTAGCAGAGAAAAGAGAAGAGAGAGCAAGAAAGAAAGGGAGAGAGACAGATAGACAGATAGAAAGACAGACTAAAACAGCCTGTACTTACACTGGTGCAGCACAGAGTCTCCATGAAGCAAATGATGGGAAAAAGAGGGGGAAAAGGAAGAAGAAAAGGAAGAAAGAGAAGAAAGATAAGAAGCTCAGTGGTTCCAGAAACGAGAAGAAAAAGCGAGAGAAGGAGAGAAAAGAAACAAAGTAGAAAAGAAGCAAAGCAGAACGAAGAGAGAGCAGGTCATGCACACCAGCTCAACCAGGAGGTCATTGAAAACGAACGTTCCTTTTCAATGACTTGCACTTCCCTGTATGTCAATTCATGAACTCAGACAAAGAAACAGACACCAATGTACATACTGGGCTATACACGACACATTAACATTACAATGAACTCTTCATACAATGGATATACAATTATACATTGGCAGCCTGAAACTCCACTAATGAATAGCAGCCATCTCTTATAGAGAGCTGCAGAACAAGCAGAGCATTGTACACTTCCATCCAAAGGTCTTACAGCACATGGCACGTCACTTAAAGACCAAAACCTGCAGAGAGAGTGAACCTGATGCTTCAGGAATGATACAAAACCCAGGCTTAAATCCTCGCTGTGGGCCTGCAGTCTAAAAAACTGTCCTGGTTATTTTCCCCCACTGTCAGGCCTGATAACCACTACCTCCTTCACCGTGTTAAAATTCCAGCCAGATGCTAAAACTCAAACTGGTTAAGGGCACACTCATTTTTCCAGTGTAGAAAAACATTATAGGAAGGTTAAAAACAGCTAAGTTTCATCTGAGTGTATATTAGCATGCTAGCTCTGCCGCCTCAGGCTTTTGCCAGTTAGTGCTTGGTTGTTGTGATCGTGTTATCAAACGTCATGAGTTGGCTAAAATGAACTAATCAACCTAGCTATGTGGAGTTTTCTCTGAACAGTTAGCTACAGCTATGAGGATCGAGTGGTGCTGATTTGTAACTAGCTAGCTACATGGCCAACAGTCTTCACTAAGGCTTCCACACAGACACTCAAGTTTGCCTGCACACCCCTGTATTCACGGGGAATGTGAGATATTCTGCTGTCACTTTCTATATAGCATGTTTAAAACCCCCAGCTGGTCCTCGTTTTTGCTCTAAAGCAGCTCTAGTTCATAATTGTAATCAAATATAACTGTTTTGACTGTTTTGTTAAATGATATATAGTTAAAGTTATAGCTGAATTAAAGTTTAAAGTTTAGAGTAGTAAGACTATGGTATACGGTATACCCATACGGTATACCCACTACTATTTGAGAGAAGTAATTTTTAATTTATACTAGATTTATCTTTTCAAGTAACTTGAAGATGACAAGGATATGAAATGAAAACAAAGCTGAGCTGTGGGAGATATAGCCAATGTGCTCCCAACAGACTACGACATGAACCAATCGAATGTCAACATGCAGAAAGAACATACAATAATCACGGTGCAGGTTTGATCTCAGAGCGTCAAAAACCCAAAATCATGAGTCTCACGCCAAAACCGTAAGAGTTGGCAACCCTGCAAATTGGCTACAATCAAACTACACTGTCAGTACCAAAACATACCCACCTGAAGGAGGTGACAAAGGAGAATCAGGGACTTGCCCAGCCCTTGTTAGACAACAAAGTAAATTAAGCTATTGTTAGCTCTTCAAATTTGCTTGCTAAAGTCAAATATAATTCGTTTTGTACTCTTTATTTTTGCCAGATGTCCTTCTCTGTCTTGGTGCTTTGAATTGCGATTATTGTATGGAATAGACTTCATCGATTCCAGCCACTTGGAATTGGAATTGGAGTTGACTACAAAACTTCTGAAATCGAACAGCCAGAGTCTCCACAAATATAAACGTTTGTCAAACACTGTTTGGACACTGAGGTGAAAAGGTGATCAAATGCTGGAGGAACTGTCTACACAGGAACCAGCTACACAGCTCTCCAAGTTGATGGTCTCGGTTAGCTGTTTTTCAGTTTGCCTGTCTACACAGCAGAGGGGAGCATGGCAGCTCAATAGGTACTCAAACACATCTAATGTGTCTTAACAGAAACAAAGTTATGAGCCACCCAACACATATGGGTCTTTAAGACAAAATACAGTTGCACCCTCTAAACAGTTTTACAGCAAGTAGCGACCGTTGTATCCACACTGTACTGTGGCAATGTAACTGCGTGAAAAGTGTAATTTTAACTAAATGTGAATGGTGCAGGGAATGGCAAGTAGGCATGAGTAAGTGCAACTGTTTGTAGGGGCAGAAACACTGAGGTGGGTTAATACTACCATAGATTTGTAGATCTAAATACCAAGAAATACCGTCTGAATCCCATAAAGAGGCAAAAAGTCCACTGGGCCAAGCACTCTATGAATCTATTAAATGTACACCAGTCACTGGAGAGAGACAAGCCAACACTAACACTGACTCTGTTTCCCCTCAGGCCTGTCAGCGTATCTCATCTCTAATCAGTAGTACAAGAACATATCACACGCAAAACTTGTGGACCTTCACCAAAAGCGTTAATCTAGGAAAATTGAATGAATCTAGGTTGCCTTTAGAGATTGTGTAGAGTATATTCAGAAAGATAACTACTACAAGCCTATATACACATTTGTGATTTTCACTGTGTGCAGTCAGTTACATACTCAGTTCAGGAACTGATCAAGTCAAGACTTCTCAAAGAACTCAACAAACGTCAGTAATCGCTTCACTGAATTAAAACAGTCCCCTGATGGTATCAGATGAGCAGCGGCTCACCATGCAGGTCTCCAGGTCGTCCAGCCTCTCACCCTCCAGCAGCTCCATGGTTCCCCGTTTGGGAGCTCTCACCTCCGGGACGTCCAAATCCAGAGACTCCTGCTGCACCAGGGGGCGCCCTTTACTCACCAAGTGCTCCGCCTGGGGCCAAACAGACAATTGACAGAAATCTATGTTATTTAATACGACATATCAGGGCTGAACAATATTATTGTTTGCATAGAAATACTGATACATGAGCATGTGTCATTAATACCACAAGAGACTGTGATATGGGCACTAACAACGTTCATGTTTTCATGTTCCTTTTTTTGTTACTGCTTATGAGAAGACAGTTTGTTTGAATTATTTCATATGATTACAGTCATGTGCATCGATATTTAGATGTTGACAAAGTTATTTAAACTTTAAGCTTTAATTTGAAAGGTGTACGAATTACAACCATTTTTATACACAGCCTTCCATTTTTAGGGGCTCAAAAGTAATTGGACATTTGGCTGGTACTTGATTTCAGGTGTGGCATTTGCTTTTGGAAACTATTGTTGTTAAAAATGAAAACAAACCCGTAAGAGAGATAAAAAAACATTCAGTGTGGCCAGACCAACTATTTGGTACATTCTTAAAGACCTGAATGTACTGGTGAGCTCAGAAGCATCAAAAGGCCTGGAAGACCATGGAAAACAACTTTGGTGGATGACAGATGAATTCTTTCCCTAGAATAGAAAATCCCCTTCACAACAGTCGGCCAGATCAAGAGCCCCCTCCAAGAGGTCAACATATCAGTCTCACAGTGAGCAAGCAAAAGATAACTTGGACTAGAATGATGGGAAGAGAAATGTATGGAGAAGAGAAAGAACTGCTCAAGATGCAAAGCACACCACCTCATCTGTTAAGCATGGTGGAGGTAGTGTTAAGGCATTGGCATGTATGGCTGCCAATGGAAATGGTTCCCTTTTATTTACTGAGGAGGATTGCTGACAAAAGCAACAGGATGTATTCTGAAGTGTATACGGCTATATTATTTGCTCAAATTCAGCCAAATGCTTCAAAACTCAATGGATGGCGCCTCACAGTGCAAGTGGATGATGACCCACAGCATAATGCAAAAGCAACTCAAGACTTTTTTTAGGCAAAGTCTTGATCACCTGACCTCAAACCAACTGAGCATGTATTTCACATAATGGGGGCAAAACTAAAGATAAAACGCTCTAACAACAAGGAGGAACTGAAGACAGCTGCAGTAAAGGCCTGGTAGAGCATCACCAGGGAAAAACCCAGTGTCTGGTATGTCTATGGGTTTCATACTTCAGACAGTTATTAAGTATTTTTTGCAAAGGATTTGCAACAAAATACTTAAAATTACAATTACATTTATGATTGTTAGATAGATTGTGCTCCTTTTGAACCACTAAAAATGACAGATTGTAATTGCTACACCGTTCACCTACTGTGAATGTAAACACCCTCAAATTAAATCTAAAATTCTGCTCTCTGAGCTCATATTCATTATTGCATTTCAAATTCAATATGCTGTAGGACCTAAAATGACTATAACTTTGCTGATGTCCAAGTATTTATGAACCTAACTGTACATTACTATCTTACTATTGCATAATTGCATTACAAGCACTAAATAAAATATGCAGGTAAAATAATGTGTGTCCAAAAATTTCATGTCACAAAAGCACATTTGGCAATAATATCAAAACATTAACATTTTGGATTACATAAGAATGAAACACAATTACAAAAGGACTAATTTATATATATATGTATGTATGTCTGTATGTATGTATGTATGTATGTATGTGTATATATATATATATATATATATATATATATATATATATATATTTCTTGTGTCACAAGCTGAACACTAATTGAAGTATATCGGGTTAGCCAGGCCTGCATTTACACCCTGTTGGATTCAGATGAGTGTCTTGTCAGAGAGGGCTTTCATGTCTTGTCAGGCTTGAATAATAGGTCACGGATGGATCTTTGTAAGCAGACAATACAAATCAAACTCCCATAAACACTGATGCTTTATAGTTGAATATAGTGCTTGGGAATGGCTGTTGCCATTCAGACACGTCTCTTTGTTTTAGATATTAAGCAATTTTAGTTTATAAATATTTACAAAACAAGAAAAACAAGAACAAGAGAAGACTCACCAGTGTATTCTGTGAGCTTGAAAGTGCTTCCAAAATCTCATCGACTATTCGATCGGAGAGGAAGGAGGCTAGACTCAACTTTACTTCACTAGAGGAAGAAAACAGAAGATAGAAAGATGGAAAAACAGATGGAGGTGGGAGTGAGTGAATAGTTCTTCTCTTGTAGCAAGATCACCACAATAAAAAAAAACACACAGCTCCAGACATCAAGCATCAGAAGAGAAACAGATAAACAGGTCATCAGTGAGCACCAGAGGGAAGCTTCTATCAGTCCTCTATCCACAAGGCAGGTAGCGTAAGCCCCCTGCAGCGAGCAGAATGGCTCACTTCCCTGTGGACTGAAGCCAGAGATGAGAGAAAAAGCACAAAGGTGTGAGCCTGAGGTTTACTGCTGTGTTGTTAACTCGTAAAAATGAACCATGGTGGGCAACAAAAGCCCATGGCTATCTTAAAATGAGCTTAATTTCTGTATCACTCTGTATCATTCCTCTATTCCTGGTCAGTTACTGTAAGGATGATGGCAGCCCAGAGGCCAGACGACATGACTCTTGAAGTTATTACTGAGGCCACTGATGCTGTGCTCTTGAGTACCCCTGTACATTCAGGCAAGCTGATTTCAACTGTGACTGTAAATAATGTAAACCATTAGACTGTGTTCAGACTAGGCCTGTCACAATTATTACATAATCGCATAATCACAATTATTTCAGTTAATCTCAATTACTCAAGCTGGCTGCAATCATTTTCACAGCTATTAGATCTCATAAACATATTAAGTTGCAACAAACAAATGGGTGCCCTGAGTTGAGGTAAATAAATATACGTTAAAGAAAGCAGTAATTGCATGCATGCAATTTTTTGCTTGAGATTTCCTCTCAGAAAAAGTACAAGCTTTGCTTGACTCCACCTGATTCTGTGCATGACTAGTTGAGACAGGTAAAACTGGCCCAGATCCGATTCTGATGTTGATTCTGAAAATCTGATGTTGTATAGTAGTTCACTAGGGTGGATGGTATAACGATAATAAGATATACCGCAGTATTTAAAAATAATGCCGGTATTTAAAAAATTAAGGGCGTAATTCAAGATTATGACAAACGTCTACTCTATGTCCACCCTTTTATATCTTAGAGTTCACTTGGTGAACTCTCGCTGATGGAAAGAGGGAAAAAATCAGAGCCAGGAAAAATCTCTGAAAAACTAAGCACAAAAGTAGCTCAGTGAGGGCTTAGAGCTACACACCACAGACCATGTTCGATGACTTTCACTCTCCAGTCACTTAACGTTGCACTCTCAGTTGTCCTCTAAATAGGTGCAGTTTTAGCATCAGTTACAGCTGGAACAAAGCCAGCGCTGCGTGGCAGGTTTGGCCTGCTAACTAAGCTCAGGTTAGCTTAGCCAAAAACTCTACAGTCCCAGTCACAGAACACACTTTGTCACTCCAACACCAATCACTCCACTCTGCGCTTGCAGAGTATTGGTTAGTCAAAATCAAACCTGTATTGTATTGTGTAGCACTGTTTGTGTATGTAGCCTCCTCGCTAAGCTAACATTAAGTTAGCTGATCAGGCCAAATATCCAAACAGCACTGAACAGGTTTAATTTTACCGTTCTTTGGTGCGCAGAGCTGTTATCATGCTAGCTAAGCTAATGCTCACCAGCTCCTATCTGCTATTAACAGCACTGTTTTACATTAATCAATTGTTAGATGGTTTGACATTTACTGAACAATGTTTTTAAGGTACTGAAAAAAGGGACACCGCCCAACCTTATGGTTCACATTATATTTTTAATGTGACCTATATGTGGCCCAAGACTGCCCAGAGATAGAACGCAAACATAGAGACCTTAAACTCAGCGCCAAAACAGGAACATAACTAATACCACATAAAGACATTTGATATGTGTGCTCAAGTTAACAAATTAGTCAACACGTCCTAGATGTTGGCCATGGAAGTGACCTGTCAGCAACATGTTTCTATGACACCTTTAGTCATTCTGACAGACAGCAATTCACTACATGAACTGTTGAGGGCAATACAACTTCTATTGTTTCACTGCACCATAAAAGAAGAGGTGCAAAATGAGAGTAAACAGCAGAAGGCAAAATGCTTCCATTAGTCTATTAACTGACCAGTAGTTCATAGATCAATCAGTTCCAATAATAATCATTAGCTGCAGTCCTAATAAACAATAAAAGAAACACAGAGGCTGGTATCTGGACACCAGTAATACGGCAGTCATTAAGATATTTTAAAGACTTTTTTAAGGAATTCTAGAGAGAGAGAGTGTTTAACCTGATCTTGTTGATGATGTCGACGCCGGACTGCTCGAGCAGTGTGTTCTTCACGAAGCTGCGTGGGACAACCACTTTGCCCATGCTGGCCTTGATCAGGTCCTGCCTCAGGTTGCTCTTCCGCATCACGTGAGGACAGAGATTCTCCGCTGCGTCCACCATTGACTCCAGCAGCGTCTATAAGACAAGACAGAAAAGAATACTTTATAAGTGTAGACAGTCTACTAGCACAAGACCTGAAACCTTCTCTTTACACTCATGATGAAGCACATTTTTAAGATCAAAAGTCAAGCAAAGGTTTCGACATATCAACTCATTACTACAAATAAAAAAGTTGGCATTTTTCGAACTAGTTAATTGGCTAAAACACACACTACACTCATTAACTTTTATGAGGTAACACACAGTAACTAGGATGATATTAGAATTGTGGTCCAACTTGCAATTTCACAAATCATCTAAATGCTACCAACTTCTAGGTCTTGGGGGACAGAATTTATTCTGATATGTCATCTGGATAAGCGCATTCCTGGAATTCACTGACCCAACAACTTTTTAGTGTCTGTTGATTTTTTTTTAATAAAATATAGATTTATTTATTTTTATAAACACTATATGACACATAATTACTGAGTTCAGGTGTTTCAGGGACTCCTAAAAACCATCAAGCACATAGCCATGCAATCTCCATAGAAAAACAGTGGCAGTAGAATGGCTCATACTGAAGAGCTCATGACTTCAAACATGGTATGCACAGGGCATAGGATGCCGCCTCTGCCACAAGTCAGTTTGTGAAATTTCTGCCTTGCTAGACCTGCCCCGGTCAACTGTAAGTGCTTTTATTGTGAAATGGTCTAGGAGTGTCTAGGAGCAAAATTAGTTCAGCAACAAAGCAGCAGACCAAGAAAACTCACAGAGCAGGGCTACTGACTGCGGAAGCACTTGTGAACTTGTGTGTAGAAATTATGTTTTTTTGCCTCACTCACTGCAAAAATCCAAACTGCCTCTGGAAGCAACATCAGCACAGGAACTGTGTGTCCGGAACTTCATGGAAAGGCTTTCCATGGCCGAGCAGCTGCATACTAAACAGGTAAGTGCTTCCAATTTTGGGGCAACAGTTTGGGGAAGGTCTTTTCCTGTTCCAGCATGACTGTGCCTCAGTGCACAAAGCGAGCTCCTTAAAGACATGGTTTGTTTGGTTTGGTGTGGAGGAACTCCAGTAGCCAGTAGAAAGCCTTCCTGAAAGAGTGGACGCTGGATTTGGAATGGGATGTCCTACTAGCTTGTTTAGGTGTAATGGTCAAGTGTCTGCACACTTTTGGCCATATAGCGTATATGTGATCTTATTAGGAGGGGGTGGCAATACATTTTGTATTATTACCCCAAAAATTATTGAGTTTGATTTTCATCAGAAAGCTATAAAGCTGTTCACTGGAGTTTCACTGGCTATCTAGCATTAGCAGATATTTGTCTTTTATCATAGCTTATTACAATGAAGTGGAATAAATAACACAAATTGATGAGGCTTCAATTTCACTTCAAGATATAATATTTTTAGTGTTGTACTTTGATAAATAACTTTTTGGCAAGTGGGGCAAGACGTACTTTTACAAGATTTCTTTGTCTGCTTTTCCAGTTTATTTCCTTTAACTGTTTGTACGTTTATTTACCATCATCCTGTACATGATAACCTCAGGTATAGATATCGTTCAGCCTGTAGCCTGAACAGGCAGTGCTTGTACTGAGTTGTGTAGCTGTGGGTCTTCTTGAGCCAAACTGCTTGTACAGCAGGAGATCTTACAGTTCAAAGCCAGTTCTGTGCAGAATAAGGAGGGAGTTTCTTTAAAAAAACATTAAATCCACTAATATGATTTATGTTCTCGTATCAGGTGCAGATCTTTTATAGACTAATATGGCTCAGGATCTTTTCAGTTCCAAGTTGGAGAGCAGCCGGCAAATGATCACAAGCCAGCACACAAATAAATCCAGACTAAACTCTAAAAATGGACATGAAACACAGTCTGCAGTGGCTGACCAGTCGTACGACAGAGACCAAACAAAGCTAAACACAGCACGGTGTGCTTTCATATCAGCCTCTGATAAGGACTAAATATATCAGTGTGGGTCACTCACACACAAAGTTCAGTGTCCACTGACCACAAACAGTTAGTCAAATGCTCAAACAGGAAAACAAAAGAGGGCAGAGAAATTTCCTCAGCATGACTAAGATGTTATACAACGTCCTGAACCACGGAAAGACGACTGAGTCATTTATTAGATCAGCGTAGACTGGACAGAGAAAACATCATGAGTATACTGAACATATACATTCTCTATATATGGACCATTCTACTGAAATAGTTTGAACTGTAGTCTCACAGTAAAAAATCAATTGTATTAAAAAGTAAGTATTCAGACGTTTTTATGTTGCTTTTTAAAGATCTTTTTGATTTCTTTTAAAGTTGAACAATTTTGATTTATCATCAGTTTAATTACAAAAACGTAAAAAATGCAGTCCCACATTTTCACATTCACTGAAACACAGAGTTTTAGCCTTATTTTAGCCGCACCCCTGCATTTTAGACCAGGAAGTGAGACTGCATCCCTGTCCCTCATGGCCACATGGTGAGTAGTTCGATCTCACTGGAATGGTCACTACTGAAACATGTATTTTCTTCAATTATGTAAACTTTTGTGTTTAAATGGAAAATATTATGATGTTATGTATGTGTGTTTGCAAGTCATGTGCTGGATAGCATTGTTGAATTCTGCATTAAATTAGCTAAAATTGTCACTACTGAAACAGTCACTACTGAAACAGTCACTACTGAAACATTTGGTAACCTTTCGGTAGTGTAAGATTGGTTTGTTAGCGATAAAATGGAATGTTCAATCATTTGCTTTAATAAAATAAACATTAAGGTATAAGGTCACTCAAGGTGAAATCATCTACTTTGTCTATGTACGAGCCATTTTATGAAGTCAACCTACCTTATAGGTTCACTACATACAGTGGGCCCAAAAAGTATTTGGACATTTGCACCATATGTAAATTTGTATTAAGATCCTTGGGACCATTCCAACACATCCAAGATGTCATTTTCTTTCAGAAACTTGCAAATAGATACAATGATTTTTATTTAATGTTCTTCATGCTTCAGTGCACTAAATTCAGCTAAACGGGACTAATTATATTCTCTTTGTAATGAAACTCATTGGTCAATGTCTTTACTGAGGATATCCACAATACGCTTAAAAACACACACTGTGGCAGCATTTATTATGATTGTTTCATTTTTTTATTTCGAAAGGTAATTTTTGTGGGGTAGTGGGATGGTTTGCAAAAAAAAAATTACATAGCTTACATTATTTATATTATATTATATATTATACATTATATTACATAATATTTTCCATTAAAATTCCCACACAAGTCATATTGTGCACACAACAAGTTGTCCCAAAAGAGTTTCAGTTTGTAGTACAACTAAACTAAGATACACAGGTAACCTAACAGCTAACTTTACTACCTTTTATTTGTATCAACACTATGCATGTCCTGTAACTACTAACAATGCTATCTAATATCTAATACAAAGGATTAGTTATCATGAATACAGTAAATCAGTGTTCTCTGTTTACCTAATACTATGTATGAAATTTGTAACTTCTATGAGGCTGTATGTATGCTACAGCCTCTCAACGCTGGTCCCCCCCAAACTTCAAGATCAAATTCGCACCCCCGACGATAACAAAAGAATATTGTCATATTTCCCAGCCTTAATTCATGATCCAGTCAGACTTTCTCCACATGAAGAGCCTACCATTAGTTTAATGTTGTGCTAAAAGAGTTTTTCTCCGAAACAAACACTTTGTTCATTAAGTGCACCAACGGTTAGTGTCCAAATATTTGTGGGGCCACTGTAGGTGTACAATTACAGACTGCAGCCTGAATCTGCTGTCACATACAATTTATTATTCACCTTCTACCTCATTCATTACTGTTCAGTTTCTTATCAGATACTATTTTCATTCTCAGCACTGCAGTGACACTAATATGGTAATGCGTGCGCTGCTGGCGGTGTTGCTGGCATTTTTACACACGTCAGTGTCACTGCAAGGTTGAGATTGGACCACCCCTTAAAAATATCCAGCCAAGAGCAGCTCTATTCTCAGAAACTTTCCACTGATGAAGGATTAGAGGATGTCTAACACAAATTTTGCATCAAAACATGAGCCACAGCCTCTTGGGTTACATGCATATCACAAGCCTAATTACTCAATTCTGATGCTTTGGCTCAGATCCAGTGTTTCTGTATTCATGGTTCTCATTTATGTGGGCAAGTGACTCAAATCTGTCATCAAGGTGAAGGAAACTGCGTCCCGAAACGACCCGTATGTGCACAACCAACTCAATCCAAATTCAACTCGTGAATGAACCATGTGCCATGAACAATGAACCAACTAACTAGTAGAACAAGCAAAGTTAATTAGCCTCAAACAGCTCTCAGTTGTTCATTACTACATCAAGACAAAGGCAAAAAGGGCAGATGCTTTGCTTTTGCAGCTTTACTGGCACTGACTTCAGGTTCGGCATGATTGCCAGTGAAAGAAAACACATGAATTCCAATCTGGCCATTCTCATTCAGGTCACAAGGCCACGAATTAGATATTAATCAGATACAGGACCACATATGAAAGTGGCTCAGATCTGATCTGAAAGAAATAAGGGTTCAGTCAAAAACTAGAAAACATTTTTTTTGGTGACTGTTGTGCCTTGGAATGCCCTGCATGTTCCACTCCACCATGAATGTATTTAATAAAATGTATTTGTGTAAAAATCAAATTTAGACCGATAACCTGTCCTAAAACAATCATAGAACTATTTCAGACATCAGGCAGCGTATCTGTAGCCATTTCATGTCATTTCTGTGAGGGAGCATTTAGAGGCATTCAACTCTTCAGACGTCTGGTTCCCACCACTGTGATTCTCTGTCAGTTTCTCTACTCAGTTTCTTTTTAATATTTTAGGATATGTGTGTATGTATTTGGCATTTATATAGCACTTCAAAGTCCTATCTGTCATCTATTTATATTTATGTGTGTGTGTGTCATATTAATTGCTCCTGCTACTTAGCTCTGCCGCAAACTTTCCTCTTCAGCGGAGTCTCCTTAATGAAAGACCTCTTGTGTGGTCAGCTAGACCAGCCAGACCTTACACACAGTAGCCTGTTTGTATTCAGTGCAGGCCTGTGGTGTCAGTGCAGTAAATAAGCTGAAAATGAGACTGGAAAAGCCCCGCTCAGTCCACTCTGTCGCTTTGGAGTCTGCCTGACCACTCTTACTTCCTCAGACGCAAGATTAACAGAAACTTGATGAAAGATGACAGCCTCTCAGCCTTCACAGCAACAGCCCGGCCAAGTAGCATGCCTCTGACTCATGACTATTTACTAGCCGTGTTGGAGGTCCATGCTTGACAGCACACCCTGAGACTTCCTGAAAAGACTTCAAACCATATGATGCAGTGTGGGAGGGAATATGTACATATAAAACAGCAAACTGGCAGAAATAAAAGGGGACAAACATCTAGTATTAGTCAAATCCTACGCTACACTAAAATTATGGGGGGCTGTTTAATGTCCTTTTTTGTACTTTATTTTTTCAGCATTTCAAGCTTAACAAAAAAACTATGTGGTGATAAACACAAGGTCTCGCTTGGTATGAGCGTTCAGAGACAAGTAGACAGGTACACAGGGGTTTCAGCATTAATGTCTAATGTAAGAGAGAAAGGGGGGGTACCCTGATCTGCATCTGTTTCCTGAATGTAACAGTCTCATTTCTTAGAGTATTTTCTCCTTGTCTTTCTGTAGATGAACGGTGTAAGTCGTCTTTTACATAAAGCGTATATAATTGGAAATTCTTATAAATAATTCCAGAGTGGGGGGAACTCCTCTGAAGCCAGCATTTGGTGAAAATCTTCAGTAGGTAGGCATGACTTTTACATAAACCTTTAGAAGTAACTGAAAGATAATATTAAGGCCCAGAATCCTAGACATTAAATGTCAACCTTTTCCTCAAAAAAGCTGAATGGGCCTGTTTAGTGTCTTGAGAGAACATGGGCATTTAGGGTAAAGCTAGTGATGCCATAAATACTCCAGATCAGAGGTTTTCAAACCTCAGCCTTAGATAAGACCTGAAAACAATCTGCCAATTGGATTCTACTGCAAATGCGTGTCAAATCAAAAGGTTTTCTATTTCTTTAGAAGTACAGGGAAACGTGCCAAAATAACTGTTCTTAGCACTCAGCCGCACACTACAGATGCAAGAGATTAGGATGAACAACTGGGGAACTGGTCGTGTTACGCAGTGTTCCACAGCGCAGCATTATACCTCTCAGCCACACCGGTTTTTACTTTTCATATTTTCATTCGTCCATGTTCTCTTACTACAATACCCAGCATGCATCAGGCAGATACGTCATAAAACCACTGGGAATCAGTTTTACAGATTTAGCCTACAAGCAACAATAAATGATTTTTATGGACATATTAATGAAATCATCAGTGAGATGAGGTTACCTGGAGCTGCTCGTCCATGACCTGAGCCACTTCTCCAGCCATGGAGTCCAGCTTCTCCTGGATGGGGCCAACAGATGAGCCATTCAGCTCCTCACGGGATGCAGCTCCCAGGTGGTACAGGTTGGGCAAGAGCTGTGGACGGAGCACAGAGTGTTAGAAGTGGCAACATCCTTCACATAACTTTGATGCTGAATGAAATTCTTTTACTTTTTATATTAATAAAACTGTACCAGAAGTACTGGCCAGTGGTTTGTAAGCATTTAAGTAAGAGACAATACACAAGGACTGCACAAAGGAAGACACAGAAATCCTAAATTTGTGATAGTATAGATCTTAACCCTACATGTCTAGAGTTACTACTGCAGTTCTGCCAACATTAACGTTTCAAGGCATTCGTATTATCATAAATAGGGCTGTTGTGTTACAATGAGGATTCCAAGACAAGCCCAGCACAGACAGCAAGTCAAGACTGAGACGGAGTCAAGAGTCCAAATGAGAGCAAGACCAAGTCTAGGTTTAAAACAATCTAGCTCTAAATCAAGCCTTGACTTGGCTTTAACTGCTTCCAGTCCACATTTCTTGATCTTTTCTTCACATTTCTTGACTGTTTGGTGAGTCACTTGATTCATATGGGACTCAAATAATCTTTAGAATTAGACCTCATGAAATTATATAATTCCATAACTAATTACATAATTATTACAATAAATTATGTATGCACTTAATTTACATTCTGTAAAGAGTTTCAAGACAGCACGTTTCCACTTGCTTCAGTGCCAGAATTTGGCATAAAAGTCAAGGAATGTTTTCTTTACACAAAGCAAGACTACACACAATAATTTTTCATCAAATTCAAATCACATGAAAACATTTCTTTAATTAACAAATGTGGTATAGATTGAAAATTTAGATAACGGCTCCAACAATGCATTTCTACATGTAATCAGAGGTGAGGAAGATTCTCAGTTTTTCAGAAGACTATAGTGCATCTTGACCTGCACAAGATTGGACTCGGATGCAACAGCAGTGATAATAAAACTTCCACTAACAAAGAAGAATGTATTGATTGAAAGTTTAGAATCTGCACTTTGAACAGAATTTCTCTGCTCGTTTTAATGTCCTATGAATGAGAAATTATTAATATTACAATAATATTACAACTTTGAAAGGCCCATATCCTACATTTTTGTAGTCACTTATGACATTGGTGCATTAATATACATTTTTACCATTTTACATTTTTTTCTCTTCATCCTTTAAAATTAAACAGGCTGTTTTTGTTACTGTGCCTTTAAGACCAATGCATGTAAATGAGCTCTGTTCTGATAAGCTGCCCTTTATTTTTAACAAGCAGCCTGGGCTGAAACATTGTATATAACTTTAATGTGAATGGGCGGAGCTAACCTGCTCTAGGCTGAACAGGCAGATTTATGTAAGTGTTTGTTGTGACATCACAAAAACAGTGAATTCAAAACAGGCTGCTTTGCAGTGCAGTTTCCATGTATGGACTAAATGGACTGGGGTTTGAACGGTATGGTTTGATTAGCCAATGTTTATGTATTGCATCAAACTCATTTTAAAAAGTGGTGAAAATATAGTTTTCCACAATATGGACCCTTTAAAATAAGCTTAATTTCAGGACCACTATGCCTGTCCACTGCTGTTTTATTATATCAGAGGAGGACAGCAGCTGGAGAACATGGTTTAATAAAAACAGAAGGTAAAATACATATGAACTATGTATGCATTTTCAGATTTACATGATGGGTCATGTGGAAAAGTTTTGATACTGTTTTGATAGTTTTGGCTGGTCCTGAAGGGTCAGTGCTTTCTCCCTCAAACTCAGCAACTGGACCTGGCCATTAAATGAGTTGAATCAGGTGTGCTTGTGCAGGGAAATCACCAAACTGAGCTGAAAGCTGTTCCCCCAGGACCAGAGTCGAACACCCTTTTTTCTTTATTGCATTCTTTTACCGTTTTGGAGTTTCTCGCGTCCTTTATGAGGTTCTCAGCTTTTTTGACATCTTCCAGGATGGCGTCTTTCTCAGAGTTCTTCAGAGAGTTGAGGTGGTCCTGGACTTTCACACATATTCGGTCGATCATCTGGAGAGGGAGAGGCGTGATTACACAGTCAGCTGGGCCCGCTCTCCCTGAGCAGGCCTCTTAACGAGAAGAAACCGCTTCAAAATCACATTTTCCATCCGCTTAGGGATCATAAGCCAGCATAAATTGTGCAGCTGGACTTCAAAGAGGAACGGAAAAAACTACTTATTAAACCAAGAGAAATCTTGACTTCACAGCTCCAGCAGTGACACGAGGGGTTTATTCCTCCAATTATTCATTAGCATTTGTAATCGCCCATTAGCCAACAAGTGCATCATCATCCCTTTACATCTCTGTTTTAGACATGCTAATACAACTATTCATGAAAAACAAGCAGATATTAGCTGCAGATAAGACTGTAGATAGAGCCCAGAAGACTAGAAGACTCCAGATATTTTAAAATCTGACCAAGGCAAGCAGGAGAGACTTTTCTGTGTATTATATAGTATCTGTGGTTGATATACTGTCTCTAACAAAAAATCTGCCAAATGAAAAGCCAACTTTAGCCTTGTAGAAAGTCATATGTGACACACTGTTAATGTTATATTATAAAATATTTATGTACTGTGATATATACCGAATGCATCAAAATTTTTATGATACCATCATATAAATTTGTGGCCATACTGCCCACTGCTATCATTTACAGTCAGGTTCATAAGTATTTAGAGAGTGACACAACTGTCATTTTGCCTCTATATACCACTGCAATGGATCTGAAATGAAGCCGTCAAGATCTGACTGAAGTGTAGATGTTCAGCTTTAATTCAAGGGGTTTAACAAAACTACTGCATTAACTGTAAGAATTAGTCATTTTTTACACAGTCCCTCCATTTTCACAGAAGCAAAATGACAAATATCACTGTCCAAATACTTGTGCACCCGACTGCAGGTCTGTTTGTTACTTATTATTATATCGCCCCTTGCAATTCTGATATTGCAGAAGGCTGCAAAATGCAAATAAGGTCTATAAACAACCATTTAATTGTGGACATCCTGACACACCCCCAGACAATCCATATGTAGGTGCTTGGATAATTTAAGGCGCATGATACAACAAACATAAACCACTCTGATCAAACATAATGTGGGCCAGTCTTTAACTATGTCACAATTTCCCAAGTTTGAAAAATTTACCTCATTTAACGAATGTCCATGTCATGCATGTCTAGTATGAAACTGCAGAGATAAACGTTCTCACCTGCTGTGTGGTGGTGGTGACGATGCCCTGCTGAAGCCGGTACGCCTGCTCCTGCACATACTTGCGGGTTTCGTGGTTCCTAAACAGGTAGTTCTCCATCTGGAAGGAAAAAAAGAGAAACTCAGCGAGCTCATCTCTCAGCCTACTGTTGTGTGCAAAAGTTTGGGTACCCCATCCAAATTTGAGATGAAAAACAGTAATCACAACCTCTTTAGCAAATTACTTTAAAAAATAACATTTTTTTGCTGATGTTACTGCACAGTTACTTTATATTTGATTAACTTACAGGTGCCAGAATGTAACTGCTGCTCCATTTATAGTGAAACAGAAATATTTCTAGTACAGCTATTCACATGAAGTTTAGACCATACACAGCCATTAACCCAACACTGCACAGCTAATGAAACAGACACTCACTGAGCTCTTTATTAGGTACACTTACCTTGTATCTACCCTCATTGTCCATTTTATCAGCTCTGCTTACCATATAGGTGGACTTTGTAGTTCTACAATTACAGACTGTAGTCCATCTGTTTCTCTGCATACTTTGTTAACCCCCTTTTACCCTGTTCTTCAGTGGTCAGGACCCCCACAAGGCCACCAAAGAGCAGGTATTATTTGGGTGGTGGATCATTCTCAGTACTGCAGTAACACTGATGTGGTTGTGGTGTGTTAGTGTGTGTTGTGCTGGTACAAGTGGATCAGATACAGGAGTGCCGCTTTTTAAACACTGTCCACTCACTTTCTTCTCTATTAGACACACCTACCTTGTTGGTCCACCTTGTAGATGTAAAGTCAGAGACAGTAGCTGATCTGTTGCTGCACAGTTTGTGTTGGTCATCCTCTAGCTCTACATCAGTGGTCACAGAATGCTGCCCACAGGACGCTGTTGGCTGGATATTTTTGGTTGGTGGACTATTGTCAGAACAGCAGTGACACTCAGGTGTTTAAAAACTCCAGCTGCACTGCTGTGTCTGATCCACTCAGACCAGCGTAACACACACTAACACACCACCACCACATCAGTGTTACTGCAGTGCTGAGAATGATCCACCACCCAAATAGTACCTGCTCTTTGGTGGCCCTGTGTGAGTGCTGACCATTGAATAACAGGGTAAAAGGGGGCTAACAGAAAACAGATGGACTACAGTCTGTAATTGTAGGACTACAAAGTGCACCTGTATGGTAAGTGGAGCTGATAAAATGGACAAAGAGTGTAGATACAAGGTGGGTGTACCTAATAAAGAGCTCAGTGAGTGACTTTTTCATTAAAAAAAAACAAAACAAAACAAAACAGTAGACATGTTGAATACGTATTTCCCCCACCATATATACCACAATATTTTATGTTTAATTATACCGTGATATAAATTTTTGGCCATACCAACCACTACTGCGTGAATGTATACTGATGATAGGACTCATAATTAAGTTAATTAGTTCACTAATACATATAGCAGTAAACTTAGGATCTGTATGAGATTTCATTAGGTTGCCAACATTTTCCAACCCAACACAATAAACATTTAACTTGTGGACTGGTTACAGTGATTACATCTTAAATGGCCCACAGATTTACACGCGTTCTCACCCTCAGCAAGGCGTCCTCAGTTTTCTCTGGACTGGCTTTCAGCGCCTGCGATGCATCTATTATGGGGATGGGCATGAAGCGGATGGTGAAGTTCCTGAAGGAAAAAATTGAGAGTTAACACAAACACAAACACACACACACACACACACACACACACACAAACACACACACACACACAGGGATGTGAATATTTAAACAGTCACAGGCTACTCCTCATTTCATCCAGCCAAAACATCCAATTAAGGTGTAACCAAGGAGAAAATAGGTGAGAATTAAAGGCCTGAAAACACAAATGACTAAAGAAAACACACCTGCGCTCATGTGGCTCTGCTCCGCTATTAGAAAGGGGTTTGCAAGGATTCATGACAAGCTATTTGAGAAGGAATCAAAAATACACACCTAAAATATCCTGAAAGGAACAATAAGGCCTGTTAAACAACAATATGCACTTCAGGAGGGATTTATATACAGATGGCTGGTTCCCAACCCACGTGGAGAGGCTGTCTAGCTAAGCCAAACACTTTCTTTAAAAATGTCTATGACGGGGAGCAGATTAGTCATTCAGTGCCAAACAGCCCAGAGAACAAAAGCACATGACGACAGATCAGCCTCTGAAAAGGCTAATTGATTGAGACTTGACATCATTACTGAGGTTACTGATCCTGTCGAAATGGCGGAATAGACCCTCAGACAGGCACAGACCATCAATATTCATGAGCCAGGAGTTGAGGGGAGAGAAAGAGAGAGAGAGATTTGAGCTCACTCCTATACAGGCACACTAACACAACATCACCAGAAGGTAAAATTCACCCTAATTACATTGTTGGATGTCTAGACTTGTTACTATCATTCTACTGTAGGATTTAAATGTATATCTCATTTCTGTCATTCTTAAAAAAATTCTCTTACCCTAGAGGCTGAGACCTGAGCTCAGACATGCATGGTGTCCATATTTAGTTTTTTTAGTTTAGCACTGGGACTACGAGGCTAATATCTCTGAAAGACCCTGATTCTCATTACAAATGACTTCAATACACCAAGTAATGATTTTGTGCATGTCAATGTTTTAAAATCTCTCCTATTTTAAAATCTCTCCTCAGTGGTAGCCCAGTATTAATTGTAGTTACCATCCAATACCTTGCTTGGCTCAATAAATGCTTCATTAAGATAAATCAAGTGTGTTATTGAGCGTCCTTGGAATTAAACTTTGTTCTTCAAACTAGCTCACAAGATATCAACTATGTTTTTAAAAACAACAAATTATTGTTACTTTTACTGTTCATATTTATTGATTTATGTTTATTTGCATTTATTCTAATAATATACAATGTTTTTTACAAGCATTCTAATGGCCAAGATAAATGGCTTTAAATAATACACTTAGTTTTTTTTTGCACAGTACTGTATTTACGGAAAAGATTTGGGTGACTATTGACTTCTATTGTTTGTTAGCAACGTTAGCCTTGTAGCTCCAGTTCTCCACTAAAGAAGCAACATTTAGAGGCCAAACATATCTTGAGTAATCAGCTACATCTGGAGTCTGTGGAAAATTGTGTAATTTTGAATTATCAACAACTCCTTTAAATAAAAGTATGTTTTTTTTGTTGTTGTGTTTTTTTTTTAATGAAGCTCAAGCTACCTGATGGGACAAAGTTTCAGTCATAATAAGAATTGAGGATCAGGGCACCAGGTCTCATCAGCTCCCTTAGAAAATGTTGAACGGTGGCCTTGAGGGACCAGACCTGGCACAATGATCTACACACACTCTCTCTCTGTGTAACACTCTCAGTGGTGATGAGGGGGAGGGGCGTGCTTTCACCAGCGCTTTGATCCCAGCTACAGTCAATCTGGGGGAAATTATGCACAATTACATGGGCAAACAGTGCAGAGGGGGAGGCTGTTTTAGAGTGGAGAGTGAGGATTCTAGCAGTCCATCAAAGGTCTGAGTGACCGTGGATTGTGTGTGTGTGTGTGTGTGTGTGTATGCATGTGGTGGGGTAAATATGTGTTATCTAAAAAACGCAAACCTTCTTCCTCTGTCGGCTCCTAGCTTCACTGAACAGCTGTTCAGGTCAAGGTCAGGTCAGTCGGACACACACAGCCACAACATCGCAGCACACACAATAGGCTATTAGACCCACATTCACGGATTTAACCTGACACTGCTGAGTTATCTACAAAGCCAGGCTAGAGTCCTCTTACTGGGACAGTCTAAGGGTCCTGACGAATGAGGGTCCCCTGATGTGCAATGGAAAATGATGACATTTGCCAAATTATGATTCATATAAACATCACACAAAGCACTGGACCACTTTCATATTAGAGTGCAGTGTAGGAGGGGTCTTAAAGGAACAGTCAGGTAAAAAAAAACAAAAACAAAAATAAAACATGCACGCACTTTTCCCCTCATCCCAAATATAATCAATCAGCGAAGATATGATTAGTGTCCAAAGCATTGTTTCTGACAGTATGATATACATTCCTCTATAACAATGGACAAAAAAACAGACAGAATTCAGCTGTCCAGGTGGCCGACACTACTGTTTTTTTTTAGCTATGAAACATATTTTTCTCCATACGGTCATTAAGCTCAGCTTCCCTAATTGAACACTGAATTTAATGTTTATTAATATTGTAAACAGCTGCAAAGCTATTTAGGTTTAAACATGTGTCATAAACATAGGTTTTAAAGGGGCCGGTTTGGTCTTCTAGGTTAACCATTCAAAGTGGTTTGAGGCAAGTGTCTGACCATTTAGACATGCAGTTAATGCTAATTAGTGGGTGTAAGCTTCCATTTCTCGCTAGCGACATCTCGTAGCTACCCAAACTAAATTCTTATACCAAACGTCTTGGCTGATCCACTCCATTTGGGTTAAGGGGACAATAGTGCAGACATGATTTTTCACCAAACTATTCCTTTAAATCAAGAATTCAGGAGGGTTTCAGAGACAGAAGCCCAAGATGATCCCTCTTTCTGCCAAAGGAAACCCCACCCCCATCCCCAATTTCTTCATCTTCTGCCTTTTCTCTCATCCATCCTCTCCTGCGTTTGCCACCGCGGGCGAGCTTGCTAGCCACTGCCAAATCGTGTCTCAGAGGAGTGCCGTTTGGCGGGAAGTAGGCAGCCAATACCAGTGCTCTGGTGGTCATTATGCAAATGATATTCAAATGAGGATGATGCAAGGAGAGAGATGCCAGCCCATAACATGAAGCCATCGCATGCTTATACCCAGATATAGTATTAAATAACTTACACACATTCCTTTGAAAGCACTCCAAACTCTGCTTCCCATACCTCTCTCTCTCTCTCTCTCTCTCCCTCTCACATCAGTGTAGAAAGGAAAGGAGACATGAAAGGGCTAGACGAAAGGTCTGGATTCCCAGAGGAGAGGAGGTGCAGCACAAGACTTCATTATTTTATCGTCTCTCTCTCTCTGTCTGTCTCTCTCTCTCTCTCTCTCTCTCTCTCCAACTAGGGTCTGTCAGTATATCAGTTGGCAGAGAAAACGGCTTGATAGTATGGCTCCACATATTCATCAGATTTAGATTTAGAGCAAAGTCACTTATTTCTTTAAAATCTTCTCATTGATGGCTCTTTTGATGTTATTTTCAGCTACTCCAGAGTTGTGAATCACTGTACATCGAGTCTGAAGCAACATTTAAAAGCAAAACACAGTGCTGATGCAGCAATATCAGGAAGATGCCTCCTGCAGATTACACTCACGGGACAACTATGAGTAAATCAACAGCCCACAGATTAGCAAAGCAATAGCATAGTGAAATATAATGTCACGGTATGAAAGCAGGAGGGTTACAATAATGGTGGAGTTGGAACATGCAGCTACTGCTGCTCTCACTGGATGTCAATATGCATTCACCTTATTTTCCCATTTACCCTGCGGCCACTTTGTTTATTTTTGTTAATATTAATTATTAAGAGTAATAAGTACATTTTGATGAAGCTAATTTAGTCCACTTATGTGGCTACAACAATGCAAAAAAATCTCCATTTAGGGTGAAATTTGAGCAACTAAGTCAAATATGGTTCATCACAATTAACTGCACTGACAAATGCGACAAATCATGATTAATTACTTTAAACGTTTGACAGCCCAATAAATATTATTGTTTGGAAAGGTGATTTTGAGAATGAGTATATGGGTGGTCTGGAAGCCTGGAGAATGCTGTTCAGGTCAGCACTACTAAAACTACTGGGGTTTTGTTTCATTTTTGACCATATTAAATAATACCAGCCAATATTATGAGTTAATGGAATTTGTAGTTCCTTAATAACAATATCAGTGACATCATTTTCTTCTTGGTTCAACTGGTTGAGCTCTAATACAAACACCTTAATGTTGGATGCAGCATCTGTAATGCCCACACTAGAACTTTCTCTCACACACACACACACACACACACACACACACACACAACACACACACACACACACACACACACACACACACACACAGATTAATAGTCATACATACTTCTCCAGTGCTGCTGCTACGTCCTGAAGACCTTGTGGGCTAACATTGTTTCTGTCCCAGATGACCGTCCTGGAGAAACGAACAGACATTCAGCCAGAAAAGAAAAGAGCAGATGAAGCAACCGCACACATTACAGATCAATAAAATAACTCCCTCTCTTTCTTTCTCTCACACACATACAAACACACAGAGACAGCCCCATAGACATAAACACAGCCAGAGAGCAGGTGCTGAAGGCCACAATAAACACCTCAGTCCAATAATGACCTGTACACTTCATGAAAATGTTTCACAATGAACATTTTGATTTTGATTATCTTTAAAGGGGCCCATATTCTACATGTTTTGTATTTTAGTTTTCCCATAAGTACATTTATGATATTTGAACTGCTTTATATACATTAATTTGTTTTTACATGACCAGTATGCTTCTGTTACTGTGTGATTAACACTTATATATGTAAATGGACTCTGTTCTGATTGGCTGCCCTGTATTATGCCTCAATCACTATACAGTTCGGGCCCTGTAACTAACTTATTTCACATTATTTCACATTTTATTTTTCAGTTTTAAAACTAATCTCTTCCCTAAAATGCACTCATCAAGGGTATAGAATTCTGACATCACAACCCCACACCACTATGCTCTTCTCACAGTGGACCGTGAACTATGACACTTTGCTGGTCCTGATCTCTCACCTCAGCTTGCTGTTGATCTGCAGGGCTTTGGCCAGCATCTTGGCCCCCATATCTCCCATACCGTTACCACTGATGTCCACTCGGGTCAGAGAGCTGTTACTGCCTAGAGCGTTCAGGACGATGGTCAGATCACCCTTCAGCTTGGAATCCGCCAAAGAGAGAGACGTCAGCGGCTGAAGGAAGAAGAGAAAAAGGCTGCGTCTCAGTACCCAGTGAGATTTTTACATCAGCAACATTCAGCCTAGACAAGCCACTCCTAATTCTTCAATGATCATTAAACATGCGGCAGACTAAAGCATCAAGGAGGGTCTCTGAGCTCTGTTTTCTCTCAGGTGGGAGTTGTACTTTTAATGTAAATTTATGCAACAACATTTTATTTCAGTGACGTCTGAAGCATTTCCATTTGTTCATTCATGTTCACACAGTGTAAAAGACAGCTGATGTACACAAATGATGTAGAAAAATAAATAAAAATAGAAAAAAATGGCAACACAGCATCAATATGTTGATATCCATCTACCGGCCTGAATGAATGAACAGCAAGTTTGACGAGCAAGCAGCGAAGTAAAACACAAAGCCATTTTAAAAGCCATTTTAAAGCCATTTTAACCACCGCATGGTCATTTACTTTTTTTTGTCGCAAAATTGTAAAAACAACATTATTTGCATTTATTTATCACAATGCTTGTAAATTCTACTTTTATCTTTAAACTTAAAGACATGATTTGTTACTATTAGAACAAAAGCAAACCCTTTGAAACAGCTGAGAAGTTGTTTATTCCTGCTGACAAATTCTATATTCAAAAGGAGATATTTTTACATTAAAATATAGATGAACCAGCTCTGTCCCTCTGTATTATTTCAAATGGCCAGGTAGCTATACAATTCCAAACAGCTAGCCTTAGTGCCTTAGCAGTACCTTAGCTAGCTAGAGCCAGGTTGCTATAATCCTGTTGCCAAATATTACAAGCTAGGTAAGCTGTTTTACAGTACTCAACCTCTCAAGAAGAGCACATACAGCTACCTCAAGTAAAGAAAAATGCCTTAAATTTCGTAAAAAAAGGGGTCTCAATCTTAAATTACAGGAGGGCCACTAGCCAGCTAGTCTCATAAAAGTGTCCCATATGTAACATACGCACCATTTAAGTGCATCCGAGTCAATGCTTATTACTACTATTACTAATATAATTATTGTATTACTTTTATTATCAGTCTTTTTAGTATTAAAAAACTAAAAGGTGACTAATGAATATTTTAATGTTCAATTAAAGCAAGTAAACTAATATTTAACAGTCGATTATGTGGGACTCTTACTGCAATATTTGTGTTTTGCCCAATGCGGGTGAAGCTGTGAGTGAAGTGGCAGTAAAGTGGTTAATTCTGTGTTCTCTGTGGATTTCTCTTATAATTCCACTCATTCCTTAATTCTAACCTCCTGTATCTACTGCTATGAGAATGAAACTATAAATGTAGATTTAAATCAACTACAGGTCTAACTTAGAGTAATAGTTATGTCAATTAACTAAACTTAACAGCTAAATTAAAGGCATGCACGCTCAGTGTACAGCATTCATGCTAAGACAGGTTTTCTTTTGAATGGTTCATTTTTGGCGTTTTTCAGTTTTTGACAGAGTTTGAAAACGCCTGTGGTCCTTTATGATGTGTGTAAATTTCATGAAGAATGGACCAACAGAAACAGCCTAAAATGATGTGGAAAAAAAGTCTGGTTACATTGACTTACATTAAAAGTAAAGTAGGTTTTTTGCTTCTTCTGTAAAGTTACCATTTTGCAGATACAAGGTTTTCTTCCGCCAACAGCGATATATATATATACATATATATATATATTTACATATATATATATACATATATATATATAGTCAAAAAAGAATGAAGAATGAAAATGGCCAGTCATGACTGTGGTAGCTGTCTTACACTCAGCCTCTACAGGAACCAACCCAGCAGGCTGGACAGTTTATTAGCTGCACAGTTACTATTCATATTGAAATGAATAGATCTTTTTGAAACAGCCATCATTGCTTGTTATTCCAATCCTGCATGACGCTGATTCCTCTGCCTCTCAGGAGCATTCACATGCTTCTCTATAGCACTGCATTTATCAAAGAAACTCAGCACTTCACAATAAAAGCCTTAATCTGATGTAATGGACCAACAGCAGGGGTCCACAACAAACCATCACAAAGACTTTAACCTATTAAAAGGTTTTACTATTCATCTCCTGTTTAGCCTTTAACGACTGCAACCTGCTCCTTGGATCACATCACTCAAAACCTCTCTCTCTCTCTCTCTCTCTCTCTCACTCTTTCTCTCTCTCTCTCTCTGATAGGATTATTTTTGTCAAGCATTTGACATAACGGGGCTTTTCTGGATATCAGAAAATGACTGCTGCTTCACAGTCAGAAGAGTGCAGAAGTCGATCAGTTAAAGAGTGTGGAGATTATTTTTGGTGGGGGAGAGAGCGTAAGAGGGATGAGGATTCAGTAGATTTGGAGAAGTCTGTTAAAGCGGGAGGAAATACAAGGCTTGACCTGAGGATTAGTCTGTCTCGAAGTGGCAAAAAATTCCACCACCAGCCGGCCAGAGCAGTTTAACCCAAAGAAGGTGAAAGAGTTACTTCCTTTTACACGGCCTTCAGATACACTGACAAGTGAATGGTCATAACAGGCTTTGTTAAATTAGGGTCATCAGGCCCATCAGGGTTATAAAGCCTGAAAAGTCTAGACTTACTATTGTCATTTTGCCATTTAAATGGAATATACACGATGAATTACAGAGTGAGCTACATTTACATTTGATTTACATTCTGTACTGACAGGTACAGAGTCTGCACTTATAACTTTTTTTCATAAAAAACAGGGAAGAAATGTAAAGGATGACTTTTCTTTCTGGACCATAAAATAATACCGTCATCAAATTCAAATAATAAGAAAAAAATCTCCTTCTCAACTTATGAAGGCACATGTGGCATGTTTAGAATCTGCTCTTTTAACAGAATTTCTCTGCTCGTCTCGGTTAGCTATGATTTTATAAATAATTAATATAAAATTACAGGAGCCTCGTTTGTCATTATCATGGCCATTCACGAATATTCACCTGTTAAAAAGAAAAATAGTTTTACAAGGTAAAAGTGCAGAGGTTTTTTCAGAAACTGAACAATGCGGTTCAACAGCTTCAAAGGAGAGACAAAATCCAGAGACTATGCCTGATCGAGTCATGGCGAACTGGAATGCAGACTCTATGTGTGTCTACTACTGCCGCCATTACAACCACCCACAGAGAGAGAGAGAGAGAGAGAGAGAGAGAGAGAGAGAGAGAGACACCCACTCTTTTCTCATGGGGAGACTCAGACAGAAACCCAGACTTTAGGACAAAGGGTCAGCACACAATATTTCCAGATATTTTCATAACAACTGACACACATCCTGAAATACTATGCATTTTTCACTAGATATGAGTTAAATCAGTGGACACAGGCCACTGTCCTACGTGAAGACACTGAAATGGGCTGTAATTAACTGTAGTGCCACTGAATTTGTGATGACCAGTTAAAATGTTTGTACTGGCAACTCAGTGTGTTGATGCTACAGGAATAAATGGTGTGCTTTTATCATCTCAAACATTCTGAATAATAAAAAATGTACAAAACAACAAGAATTCTGATTTATCCTGCTCATTTGAATAAGACGCACCATGTACAATTACCACCATGCATTAAAATGCAAACAGTGATTTGCTCTAAGATGTTTTCATTTCTACATAATTAGATTATTAAGACGTTTACAAAAATGAATAAAGTCATTAAGGGTGGTTCAAAGTGAAATGCTCCGTTCTAGAGAAACTGAGTGAGAGTGGACAGTGGAGACATTGTTTTACTGTAGCTTTACAATCAGTTTTTGACCTCTTTTAAAATACATTCATGACAAAAAGATACATGCAATGTGTACCAGCCCTGAAGGTATTTATTTATTTAAATATATATAGGATTTACCACCATTAAAAACTCAGATAATGTGGTTCACTGGCAGTTTTGAAAAAGTAAATAAAATGGCTACATTTATGTTGTAGACATCATGACCTCTGGTTCCCATCACCAGCACTGTAAAGAAATATGAATCAGCACATTTCTCTACAATGAACCACTTCACATCAAACCACTCTGAATAACAATTAATCTCAACCACTGAATTATGCAGAATTTTTGAAAAATGGGAGGAATTCCCCTTTTATGTATTGAGTTACTAATATACAATAATATACTGAGAATCAGTTATTATTAAAATTTCTTGTTATGGGCCACTTGTGACGGTGGCTAATAGAATAGCTTCTGTATAAATTATATACTATTATAAGTAAACCTTCTCTTGTTGTTCAGAGAGTCTGACTCTCCGTCTCAGCTGCCCTGTGAGAGTTAAGCTTGCAGTGGAGATATCGGCCTGGCTTTTGCTTTAAGAAACGCATTCACCCATCTATCTCTATCTCTCTCGCTCTTGCCTGCCGACTGATTTCTTTGCTCTAATCTGTGCGTTGGAACTGTGCCTCACCACATAATAGGACAAGCTAAATTCTGTGGCTGAAGCTTCTGCACTAGGGCTGTGCAGTGGACACACAGACGGCCAGGGGTCAGGGCTAAGAGCACCGGCCCTGTCTGCAGGTTTAAAACTATTTTATACACATTATAGCCATGTGATTTTTCACAGCATCAAGCAAAATGATGACTGTGTCCATGTTCTTGCACAATCTGTTAACGGTACTAGAGCTGGAAGGCAGGAGCAGCGCTGGAGTCAGTGGAGCCCAATACACTTCCTACAGACTAGACTGCTAATGCTAGCATGTTTTTGAGAATAAGTGAGAATGAACGAGAGTGTGCAGTCTAGCTAGCCGTTCAGAGCTGTAGGAAAATTACGCAGACTGCTCTGGGTGATAAAGCAGATGGGGCTGTGTTTAGCACATGCTCTGGGGTACGGTCATTTTGAACAGCCTTAAAAAAAAATCATCACTTTGATAAGAGCTGACCAAAAAGTTCTTTTCAGTTTAATGTGATGGTTAAAAAGATGCTGTTTCCTCCACTTTCTTGCAGTGATCACTGCTGCTCAAATAGACAATCCTTGTCAAGGTTGCCAGATAGGGTAGGATCCCTGGTTTACAATTTTAATGCAATGTGATATAAACATATTTATATATCAGTGATGTTTTCCTTTATCTTTTAGTACTAGGATGAATTATTGAACAACAAATTAAATAAATATATTGGCCAATAATAATAATAATAATAGAATTAATAATATTTAAAAAATAGTAATAAAAAAACAACAGCAATAATTATACTGTTCTATCCAGTTATTAAAGTGAAACATATACTGAGCTTTTTCCAATTTTCACAGAAAATTCATTTGATATAATATTCAAAAGAATATGTGAAAATGAAAACATTGTATAGTTGCAGGCCTCCTATTTTCATTATATTCAAACAGTAATTTCAGTATTTTAATACTGGCATCTGAAATTGATAACAGAGTACCTGTCCACACACCCAGTTTAGGAGTCTCGTCATGTTTCATTGCAAAAACTGAAGAAGCAACTAATAGCAGCACTAGAGATTAACAGATCCTTTACAGAGAACAATGTGCTACAAAATACACACACAAACACAAGCACAAGCTCAGGGTCCCATCCTTATTGGTCCATCAGCTACAAGCAGAGAGATCTGCTATTACGGAAAGCAAAGAAATCCCTCCAGCAGACTAACGGCTCACTCACACACGCACGCGCGCACCACACACCATGCAGGCCTCCCAATCCCTCCTGAACTTTAAAGAGCTGCAGTGCTCTTATCACAGTGGTTCCACAATCAGCTCATCTGTCTTCCTTCTACAGGATGGCTAAGCCACACAAACACACACACACACACACACCTCAAATCCCCGACAGACTGAAGCCCCTGAATCTGGGGTGAGAAAGAGTGTGACTAAGATTGCTGTATGTGAAAGACTGACAATCAGAAAGCTGTAGAACTGTAGAACTGAACTGTAGTTACTAAAAATCATTTTCACACAGTTTATAACAGCTAACATGATTAAAAACCTCCACATCTGCCTGATTTCAGTCCCATCACTAACTTTTTATGGACCCTGCCTCTGAACTGTGACAACATAAGCTATATCAATCCTGTGTAAACTGACATTGTTGGTGAACATTCCACCATATCCTTAAAAAAAGATTTATTTCTAATCCATAAAGCCCAAATCAAGCTGGTAAGTACAGGCCTGAATCGTATGCGGGCCAGGTGAAGTATGGAATATTTGCGATATATTTACAATTATTTGCTGGAGTTACAAAATTAGGCAACACTGAATACTGCAGTTATCTTTTCACACATTTTATGCATGCAGCTGAGTTTCCTGAAGACTGCAGCAGTCCTGCAATTCCTCTTTGTCTCACAAGTATGAGTTCTTTAGTCTCATGAGCAAAATGAAACAAGCAATAATATAATGCATGTAAAGTGGTCAGATAGTGGGGTGTATAACACGGCCAACCTGCACACTGGACAGCAGCGTTTAGATCCCCATTCAGGTGGGAATACAGGCAGGACTCCTATCGCTGCATTTGTCTCCCTCATTAAGCTGCTCTAAATAAGAATGTCTGCTAAAAGCATACTGAGAGAGGTACGGACTGGGTAAAGATTTAGTACCAAAATCCCTCTTTCACTACCTCAAATATCACTGCTCTGATATAGTGACAAACAAAATCTTAGTTGTTGGTAACACTTTATTTGGAGCGGTCCTTTGTAGATGATTAATAAACTCTTAACAGAGTATCAGTAACACATTAACAACATATCAGTGAAGTAGCAGTAGTGAAGCATCTGAATACATTGAAGTAAATATCTTGTAGATGTACTATTGATACATTACTTACATTTAGTAGATATACTGTTAATATGTTACTTCCATTATGCAAAACATTACCCAACCTAACCCAAACCCAAAACCTAATCCTAAATATGTTTTTGACATGTTACTAAGAGTCTATTTAAGAATCTACTTGGTAACAATTTGCTGACTTGGATGTCTCATTAAATTTAACACAGTCTGTTTATTCCAATTTAGCATTCTTTAAACAAACTGGCCACTTTTTTTAGGTACTTGTATCTACACTCATTGTCCATTTTATCAGGTCCCATAATAATAGTATCATAGATGAAGTGACTTTTACTGCCACGTTTTGCAAAATAAAATGGAAGGAATAGTCATTCATCTGCAAAGGTGAAGTCTTTCCATGTATTTTCACCGCTCTACATTCAAACATATAGGGACTTGTTGAATCTCAGTACTACTGCAGCCATTGCTCACCGATTCTTCCTCCTGGATCATGTGGACCAGGTTATCCAGGACAGGAGCCAAGTTTCTGCGAAAACACGATAAAACAACATGGTCCTTTCAGAATACCACAACACACTGCATTTTAAATCAGCCTTCATCAAAGACTCGTCTCAAAGCACAGTAGAAAGAGCAGTGGACGTGCGTCCAGCTACGGCAGGCTGAAAAACAAAGCACGTCAACGTTCAAAAATACTTAAAAACAAAGGTAAACATACGCTCAGATATCAGACACATTAATATTTTACGGTGCAGTGCATTCAGAAACAAACATCAAAACCACCTCTCATCTGAACCTTCTCTCCACACGCTCCCCATCTCTCCCGCCCTCCAGTACTCACTTTGATTTGATGTTGTTGAAGTTCTTCCCCAGGGAAAGGTGACGGATGGAGCGGTTCTTGGCCAGCCACACCAGCAGAGTGCTCATGTCCGAGTCCAGACCTGAACAGAAGATGACAGAAAATGTCTGACCCTTGAAATAACCTAACATGGACACCAACCTGCTTTTGTTTCCTCCCACACCGACTCCCTCGGTCAGCTGCAGCAAGTGAAAAGGCAGTTAGAGACTGTAGTCCACATACTGATGAAGAACTGTTAACCATTCTCCAGTCCAGTGGCTATCAAAAGCCTCCTCCTGGAGGGTTACTACTGGTTAGTCTAAATACTTCTGTCTAGTGAAGGGCTTATATTCATTGTCAATTCTTTACTCTTTATTCATATTGCTCTTGATTTATTATTGTTTTGCTATATAATGTCATCTAGAAGATGATGGGTTCCCCTCTTGTGTCCTGTTTCATCTCAAAGTTTCTTCCTCTTGCTATTAGGTAGCTTTCCTTGCCACTGTGGAGGAGGATTGGATTCAGTTTTCTGCAAAGCTGCTTTGTGACAATGTCGTTGTAAAAATAGCGATTTAGATCAAATCTTAAACTGAATCTTGAGACATGTGGTTGGTTTAGCGCAGACAGAAAGGGGATCGATTTCTCACCCAGACAAGCCCACCACACTACACCAATAAGAGTTGGTGGACAAGACTTACAACACAAAATTTGCCAAATGCCATGAATGTAAATGTGCTTTTCTGCAGTGTTTAATTCTGACCTGCATTCATAATGCTGCTCCTCCTCCCCCTTACCCAACTCTAATGTATTTGATCCAGCCAATCAGCGACTTCTGAAGAAGTCAATTTGCTGGAACAGGTGTGACAGACTCTGGCTGGAACTACACGTCGCATGAAGATAGATCTCCAGGACCTGGGCTGGTGACCATTGCTCAAGTCCTTATTCAGTGTTCAGTTTATACCAACAAAGACACACCTGGTTGCAAAATTTTCATCGGTGGATGTCTCCTTAAAAACAAAAGCACTCTATAATAATCTTATGATAGAGAGTCACTGCAACGGGAAGTGTAATGGGACAATATGGCTTCTTTTGTTGCATTTCAGTATGACAGAAGAAACAACAGAACTTTGGCTGTGACCAAAACAGACCCCTACCTATGTTTAAGGGGACTATTATGTGTCTTGTTCTGTGTCCTAATTCCAGAGTGTTTTTCAGGGCATTACAATCTCCCATAGTGCTTGAAATATAATGCTACTTGTAACCAACAACACAGATCACTATACAAGCTAAATGTATACCACATTATGACTTACTAAGCAGTGGAAAGAGGAACAATAGCTAATGTTAACAGTGGCTGCTGAGCTCTTGAAAATTAAAACAGACTCTCGCGACTCTCTGGAGAAGCATTGTAAAAAACAGCAGCTCTGTGCAGCTAAAAACAAAGACTCTGTCTGGTGTCAAGTCAACCTAGTCTTTGTGAATGGGGTTCAGGGTGGATGACAAATTGCAAATCAACAGATAAGCTACAGTCTGTAATTGTACAACTATACAGTAGAACCATTAGGCAGGTGGAGCTCATGAAGCGGTCAGTGAGCGGAAGAGAAGTCTTTACTGAGTGCAGATCTAAGGTTCTAGAGCAATCAAGAGCTTTTCTTACGATGTCATATGAAATTATTAAAATAACAGCTTTTCTTCTACCACACATTTACATTTGATAGCTGCACAATTCATATTTTAAGTCTACTATATGAAATATTGCATATCAAAATATCAAAATATTGCAACAGAAACTGTCAATCAGCAGATTAATTAGAACCAGGCGGCTTATCGAGAGGTTTAAATCTGTGAGTAACAGCTGAAATCTGTGAGCGGAGTCCACAGGGGAGAACCCAATCTCTCCAGCTCGCAGAGTTTGACATGATGGGCAGAGGAATCCTCTCAAAACAAAGGATGGCGATGATTCACAGCCTAACAGCATCTTCTTATCTTCAACCGCAGTAATGAAACGGTGGATTACAAGCACAATGAGAAAATGCAAATTAGAACAGCTGACTCCCACCACACACTGAATCACATTACAGCGTAATGTGACCATCACAAAGAAAGTTATTTAGGCAGACAGTAACTTAAGCAAGTATTTGTGGATGTGGATGCCAATCATTCGGTTATTAGTTAAAGAAACAATTTAGTGAAAAATTTAATTCACACATTTTACCCCTTACCCCAAATATAACCAGCCATGTTTGGTATGAAGTTTGCTTCTTTAGTTATGCATTGGAGCCGTGAGGCTAATGTGGCTAACAAATACTGAAAGCCTAAACCCCTGCCTTCCTAAATCATGACACATTCAACCTGCATCAAGCTGTTAAGAAATCTCAAATACACTTGCTTATGAGGTTTCTGACACTGTGTGATACTGTTATCTATAAACATAGATAAAAGTATGGACTAAATTCAGGTTTTAAGATGGCTGCTGCCACTGTTCTTAGCTATGTGATGTACTTTTGTCCATTTTTACAACCTGATGCAGACTGAGGAAAGTGTGTGAATGTGTTAATGTGGGTAATGAAAATATTCAGCAAAAAGCTGGCAAACTGAGAGACAATCTGAGTCTTTAGCAACGACAGCCTTTTAGCCCAAAGTACTCCTTTAAAGAGGAACTCATCACTACATTTACAATAAACATGTTTACTCGCCTCCTGCACTGCTGCAGCAGTCTCTAAAATGATTTTCCTGGTATAAAGACTAGCATTATCGCCTACTGATGCATCTTGAAGGTAGAAGGAGTTTTGAAATAAGTGGTTTGGGGTGGATTTTTGGGAGTGGGCTGGTAGATTTTTTCTCTAGCTGGTGAGTGCAGAAGAAAGCCATTTTTACACCAACTCGACTCGACTCTACTCGCTTTTTTAGGTTTTTCATTCAGCAAACCTGGTACCTGGTACTATTTTTGGTATCACCTCTGTCGAGGTTCCAAGCGAGCTCCGGCCAATACCAAAGGGTGACGTGAAAAAGTGCAGACTACCAGGTTAGCGCACCCTCTTGTGTCGCCTTTGAGCAACCAGAGTCGTCTAATCCGAACTGTAGCATTTCCAAACTCTCCTGTTTTTTTTTACGGCTGTTTTACGTAGCATCGCTATGTTGACCAGCTACATTGAACGGGTGCTGTATCTGCAGTGGAACAGAAGTAGTTGGTACCAAAACAGAGTAGAGGCTAGTAGAGTCGAGTTGAGCTGTACCATATGGTGGATAAGCACCAAACTTTTACTGCTTAGAAGCCAAATATCTAATTGCAGCCACATGACTGTTGTAACAGTCTTAAAATCTCTACTACAATGGAGAGAATAGATTACTCAAACGGCACAAATGATTCATCAGATGAAGAGGACAACAAACTAAGAGCTAAAGCTAATGATGAGGCAGCAACCTGGCTATCTAGATACCCCTCCGTCAGTTTGGCTTCTTTTCTCTGGCTGAAAGGGTAAAAAAAACCTGTCTCTGGTGTCCAGTTTGCGCTGAACTGCAACTGAATTCATGCTGGGTACTGCAGTGAAAGAACTTTGGTGAACGAAAACATAAAAACAATACAAAACTATGAAATCTGTCAAAACGATGAGACTGACAGATGATACAATCATACAAAGTACTGCAATAATGGGACAAGTAACACATTAAACTCAAGTTTAAGTCCAGAATGCCCATTTAACTCACCGTTGTCAGAGATGTCTAGGCTGGAAATGTTGGGGATCTCTGCGATGCAGCCCTCCAGAATCTGCGAGCCTCCAGACCGTAGCTGAAGGAGAGATGGAAGGAAGAAATGCAAGAACAATGCTACTATAAATGTAGCCTTCTTTCTGATATTCTGACAAGGACAGTTGTATGACATGAGTTACTATGCATGCATGAAGTCTACTATCTACGAAATGTGGTAAAATGGTGAGAGGTTTAGTGGCGTTATGAAATGGAGCGTGTGTCTATTAGGGCTGTCAAATGAGTAATTGCATTATTTTGTGTAGTAAATTGTGATTAATCACATTTCTTATTTTATATGATTATTTGCCCTAAAGAAAGATTTCTTTCCGTTTAAAAAGAGTGCATTTTGTAATAGCTGTAACAGCATACATGTCAGCAGCTGGACTTCAGCTTGCAGGACTACAGGTTTGAAAGGTCAGTCTAGGAAAATGCATTAATAACATTAAAAAAAACTGTGCTGTTAATAATTTATCGCTTTAATGTGTTATAAACAAGATAATGTGTTAACATTGACAGTGCTTATATATCTGAGTGTAGAGTGAGAAATGTTCAGTGAGTGATGGTGAATGACATGCAGACAGCAGCAGCAGCAGCAGCAGCAGCAAAGAGTGGTTAGTGGTAGCTGTACTTACACAGTGGCCAAGCTAAGGGGTGCATTAGGGGAAAGGGAGGGGGTATATATTAGTGGCTTGTAAATGCTTTTTTTATTGTGCAACATAAAAGTAAATTAAAGAAAAAGCATCATGCCAGGAGGAGAGTGCAAAAATAAGCAGCCAAGCTCATAAGTGCACTTACATTAATTAATCAATCAACAAATAAATGTCAATAATGCACTGGTACACCCAACAATGAGAATCTAATTGTTATACATTACAGGCCAAAAGTCTGGAAGTAACACTTTTATAGCCATTTTATTTTCTTTTAAATATAAAGGATCTAGAAGATCTGGGGGGATCTAAGGGAAATAAATGTTTATTAACACAGTACTAAAAGATTTGACTAAGTGTTTGCAGCAACGGTGTCCTATAGGGTTACATGATTAATTATATTTTATTCTTACTGTGTTATGAGTTTCTGTAATGAATGCAACATCAATGGTTGCAATAAAACGGAACAAATCAGAATCAGCCTGAGGGAAAGGTAGTTTTAGGAGCAGAGTCTAATATTAGAGGTGTGCTTTGCTGAGCTGGGAGTTGAACCCTGCTCTCCCACATGCGAGTGACTTAACCACTCTGCTATCTACTACTAACAAAGCACTCACACATGCACAGCTTAAAAGCTAATTAATCCTTAACTACTAGCCTGTAAAAACAGTTCAATTGCGATGACTATACTCACTTCCAGAGTTGTGTGTAAAATGTGTAAAGCAGTAATGGCTACTGTTACAACAAACCTGCATCACCATAAGGAGCATTTTAAGGAATTAGATATATATTCATTCATTTTTGTAGGCCTATATAGAAAAAAAGCTTAATATAATTATATATATATAATAGCTTAATTAGAATATAGAAAATACTGACTGTTTTTCTAAGAGCCTTACAAAAATCTGCTTGCAGTTGTTTTGTAAGTAGCTGTATGCCCAATAACAAATGATGCTTTGGTGCTTTAGTGACTATTTTTTGCAGTTGACTAAATTGTATGGTTAGATTTCTGTTTAATTACACAGCAAAAGAAGTATCTATAATCAGAGTCGCACTACATTAATCATAATTATAAAATATCATTTCTCATGACATCACTGCAATATCCAACTTTATCGCGCATTGCATTTTATGTCCAGATCTCGCAGCCCTAATTTACAACTAACTGATTGTTAATTTGGTTTGCTCCTGGTGGTTATCCTGCAGAGTTTTATTGCAGCTATAATTATTCACACATTTAGCTGCTCCTGAAGGTTGATGAGCTGAATCAGGTTTGTTAAATGAGACGTTTTTGTATATAATGAAAAACTGTGCAATGTAAAGGGGTATTATCAACAAAGGAAAGGCTTTTTCTGTATAATATGCTATAGTAAGGGTGCATCACTGCAAAGCAAAACATTATTTTGGAAAAGAAAAGCATCTTTAGTCAACCTAGATGTCAATAAATGTGTTTTGTTGGCTATTAATGTAATTGTAATTTTTTTAAAACACCCCATCTGCTTCCATATTTTTGGCCAATAGTACAAACTGGTATATCTGCTAGGCCTGTCATGATCATGAAATTTGAGCTGACAATAAAGTGCCATATAAGTAACTGGAATAAACATTTCATTGTTCATTGTAAGCAACCATTAAATTACAAAGCTAAAATGACCAAATTGGCTGACCATCTTCGATATTCGATTTCGATATTCAGAACCTCCTGACTGATATCACAAACAGCTCAAGCTCAAATAAGCAAATATTACTCACTGCTGCTTTGACTGAAGCTTTGACTTTGTCTTTTATTGTTTCAATAAATGTGTTTTTTGCTGTCTTTATACATTTACGTCAACCATTGCACCTAATCCAGTCTGCTGCAACGTAAATATTCAATTGTGAAAGCTAACAACTGTAGAAAGTTACTTTGATCAGCTCAAATAACTGCAATCAAGTGATTACGTAACAATCGTGACAGGCCTAGTATCTACATCAGGGGTCTCTGGAAAGCTCCCTTCCTGCAGAGCCTAGTTCTAACCACAATTTGCCAAACCTCCTCCAACCTCTTCCCAAGTCCCTGATTAGCTGGATCAGATGTATCAGATTGAGTAAGGAGCAGAGCAGCTTATTGGATACATGTTCAAACCCTTCTCTGCTGGAAGGCAGATCTCCAGACCAGAGTTCACTGATCTACATATACAGCCACACTACATACAGACACACACAGAAACAAAACCCCAAAACAGGTACATACTAAATCAAGAGGCATCAACTCTGAGCTTAACTCTAAAACCAAATGCCCACCAAGTGTGCTCAGTCAAACCCGAGAGTGAGATCTTATCACCAGCGCCTTAATTAGGTTTCCTGACCCTGCTTGTGGACATGCATTATCTTTAGCACCTCAGAATGGAATCTGCTCCGAGCCAGGGCCATCAGAAAGCATGTGCATGTGTGCATGTGCCCATACACATTAGCGAGGCTGTGTCTGTTTGTTTATATGCTCGAACACGCACAGTCCAACACTCACACAAACCCATTATTAGCATTGTAAATGCCATTTCTCTCTGCTGCTTCTGTCCACCATCACATTATGCAGATATCTGCAGAGGAACGTCTGACATGTACTGTGAAGGAGTGAGAATTTAGCGCTGAGGGTTTGTGGAATGCTCTGCTTGCGGCCACAGTGCTGTTTAGTAAAGTATGTGCTCAGCTTCTCATCAACAGAACTACTGCATCTAACAGCCGAACCCCAAAGCACAGTTTTTAAAGGAACATTTCAGCAAAAAAATCTCATTTAAATAGTCTTCCTCTTACCCCAAACTGTAGTTTATCAGCCTAGACTTGTTTATGTGCTTTCAGACAGTGTATGACACACCAGCTCAGTTTCTAGTCGTGTATTTTTTATAATAATTTCGACACTTCTGCTAAAAAAGCCTGATAGGAAAGGAAAATATTGAGTAAAATGGGCATAAAAGTTTGCACACTGACATAAAAAGAGTACATTTTTTTGGCCATAAAATGGAAAATAAATACCTTAAATAATAAAGAAAATGCAAATAAAGTCATGTAAGTGCTCAACTGTTTACATATCTTATCAAAGAACAAACATGAAGGTGATATTAGACAGTAAGCAGACATATAATGTATTTTTGTCTGTTTTTGTATAGATTACCGTATCATAGTGTCAGAAACCGTATTTCAGATGACTATGTAAGATTCTTTTGTTAAAATCGGAAGAAGCAGTGCTGCTGAATCAGGAAAAAAAACACTAAAATATGGTGTGCGTGCTGTTGCTGTTCATTTCTCTGTAAGGCCTGAAATAATATTTTACAAGTCAGAGGTGTCACGGGAGTTTTTCGGACCAAGTCACACTTACTGGCTCAAAAAGAAGCTCCGGCTCGATGTTTAGGTTTCAAATGCAAAATAAACATTATACTGATGAAGAAAGTATGAAATTAGTACATCATTCACTTGCATATTTGGAAAACGCATTCTTCACCAAGTTTTGTTCTCCTTAAATAATCTCAACGCACTCAAAATCATCCAAGGAACTGCCAGTGTTCTTCTGCATGTTAGGTGAAACTACACATTACCACCAGAAAGGAGGACTTTTCTGGTGGAAATTTTAACTACTCGGAGCCCAGGAATGATGAATGAAGCAAACTTCAGACATCAAACATTCCTTGGCTGAATGACTACATTCGGGGTAATGGGAAATTGTGTACCTTTGAATTTTGCTAAAGTATTGCTTTAACACTCCATTTCCTCCACAGTGATTTGGATAACATCTATTTCACATTTAACAATAAATACAAAAATATTAATTTTAATGTCCCAATGATAAAAAATGATGATAAGAAATCCAAAGTATTGCCTAAGCATTAACTTCAGACTCAGCCTCTGCTCAGCTCTAATGGAGGATGATTAACTCTGACTGAAGCTCATTTGGCAGCTGAGCCTGGAACGTTTCCTCCATTCATTGAGAAAGAGAGACAGGCAGGACGTGAGCGGCTGCAGCATTGCTATGCAGAGCCACAGTCTCAGAACTGGCACATGGTTTCAATCTGAGTGAAATGAATATTGGGGTCTGACTGACAGTGGGGGACTCAGTGGTACAGAACAAGCTGGCTGCCATATGGTACTTAATCTCATCAATTCCACACTGACTGAATGTCATCAGGCTCAAGAACAATCAAGAACTCCAATGCCAAAACAGTACTTAGAGCTTGATTCACACACTCGCCACTTTATTAGAAACCCCTACCTTATCGTTTCACCTTAGAGTTAGAAACTGTAGCTCATCTGTTGATGCTAGATGTCCTCTAGTGCTACATCAATGGTCAGTTTCGGACCACAGAACTGCTCTGGGCTGGGCCTTTCTGGGTCACTGTCATGTTAAGAATGGACCACCACCCAAATAATATCTGGTCAACAGTCCTGTGGTCAGAAACTAGCTAATCTAGCTCATACACCTACAGTGGCAAGAAAAAGTATGTGAACCCTTTGGAATTACCTACATTTATGTAAGCTGTCTTACAGTGATCATCATTAAAGTTACGAGAAAGAAAAAACACAATCTGTTTCAAATGATAACACAAAAAATCTATTGCTCTTGTCCATATTGATCACATCATTGCAATATTTACAGTGTAGGTTGGAAAAAGTATGTGAACCTCTAGGCTAATGACCCCAACAAAAGCTAAGTGCAGTGAGGAGTTGGAGTCCAATCAATGAGACTGGAGGTGTGGGTTACTCTGACTTATAAAAACCACTCAAATATTCTGAGAAGCATCTGCTGATGTTAACAATGCCTCGCAAAAAAGAGATCTCAGAAGACCTACAATCAATAATTGTTGACTTGCTTCAGGCTTGAAAGGATTACAAAGTAATCTAAAAGAGTTGAGGTATTCATCAGTCTACAGTTAGACAAACTGCTTACAAATGGAGATGATTGACTACTGTGTCTACTCTCTGTTCAGTGTCTAAAAAACACTGAACAGGCATGGTGTTCTTGGCACCAAGGAGCACCTTGACACTCCAGAACACCTCTGGGAAAATGTTTTGTGGATTAACTAAGGCTGAGTGGAAGTACATCTACTACACAGAATGGCTTCAAACCAATAAAATCCGCCTTTTGGAGTAGCCCGGTTAGAGCCCAGACCTCAACCCAATAAAGATGCCGTGGGATGACCTCAAGAGAGCCATTCACACCAGACATCTGAAGAATATGGCTGAGCTGAAGCAGTTCTGTAAGGAGGAACGGTCCAGTATTCCTCTTTAATGTGTGCTTACTTGAGGTCATTGCTGTCAAAGGAGGTTCAATCAGTTCTTAAAGCCAAGGGTTCACTTACTTTTGCACTGTGAACATTTAATCAGTGTGCACAGAGAAGACACACACATCACATACTATTTCTTGCCACTGTATAGTATATAGCACCAAAAAGGCTTTGCTATATAGTTACTAAGGATGGTGGAGCTCAAAGTGAGTGTGTATAAAAGGCAGGAGTTTCTAATAAAGTGGACAGTGTATGTACAACCAGGCTTGTCAAAACAAACAAAAAAAAACAAAGATGCAACCTGTTTGAAAGGAAGATGAACAAACTGAGCCACTACTTTTGTTATCAAGGTTTCATATTGCAAGCTCACCTTCACAGCAGGTGTCTTACCTCACAGCAGCTGAGGTCCAGCGCCACCTCTTTGAGGCTGGGGTTACTGGCCAGACCAAGCAGAAGGGCTCTAAAAGAGAAACAAATGTGATGTTGTAGTTGTTTAAATTGCTGACCTCACCACAATTTGCTTTGTTTACAATTCTTTAGGATATTCAGATTCAGTGCACATGAAAAATCAAATTTATCCACAATTCAATTCTTTCGGTACAATTCAGAATTATTATTATAATATACTGAATACACAGATATAACTGAAATGAGTGCATACTTGTTTCAGTTTTATTACAATCGACCATACACTCCATTTGATTCTCCATGTTGACTTCACGATTCGGTATTCACATGATACTTTGGATAAAGTTCAAATAAAGAAAAATGATGATGATAATCATGCTGTTGCACAACTTCGACTTCTATGTCTAACTACAGCTGAGAAGTAGGAGCTGTTGATTAATTAAATGTGACTAACTTTGGTGTTCAAACAATGCAAATGCATTAGATGGTATAATTAATATTCTAATATTGTGCTGTAATATCAATGTCATAATGCATTACACTCGTATAGTCAATTATAAGACATCTATATGCATACATCTATACTTACAGCCTTATGACTGTTTATACTATGTACACTGACGTATTAGATACGCCCAGATGGCACAATAGGTTCAGTATCTGGTGATTTTGCTGGAAAAGGCCAGAAACAGTAACTGGCAATCATTGAGCAATCAAATGTGACTGAAAGACTATGTGAGAAAGAGAGAGAAAGAGAGAAAGCGAAAGAGAGAGAGAGAGAGAGTAAGAGACAAAGAGAGAGAAAGACAGACAGACAAAGAGGAAAGAGAAAACAGAGAAGAGAGAAAAATGAAGAGAATAAGAGCAAAAGTATCTTACTTCAAAGCTTCAGGCGGCAGTTTGGTTCCTGACACGTTGATGGTGTTGAGGACCATAGCGCTGCTGAAGAAATGCTTGAATGCAGGAGGAATATCTTTACTTTTCCTGCATGCATACACACACACACACACACACACACACATACACACACACACACACACACAATAAGAAGTAGCAGTTAGTTACTAACACACATTCTCACATACCTGCAAAGTCTTAAGCGTTTCATCTTTGAAAAATATATTCTCTCCATAAAAAAGGTGAATATATATATATATGTAAATCAACTGTGCTAAAAATAAATTAGTTCTATTACAATAATATTAATACAGTCAGGAACTAAAGGGGTACACAAGTCTTGTAAAAATTCCATGTACAAATGCAAAATAAAAAAGACAGGCTGGAAAATAGTTTTATTCAGATGTTACACAAAAGAGCGATCAGTGGCGACTTCATATTAGAACTTTAATAAAAATATGACTCGATATCAAATATTAGCTTTCCATTTACAGAAAGTACTAACATATGTGTCATATGAAACCAAACTTTAGTGCAGCTCAAGCTCACATGAAATAAAAACACTACAGTGATTAAAGGGATGAAAAAAATGTTGGTTTGTGTTTACACTCATACACAAAAGTTGAACTCCCCCTGTCGAACGACGTTTTTAAAGTGAAAACAAGTGAACACAACCTCTACAGAGAACATACTTAAATTTAGCATTTTCTGCTAATCTTATAATAAATAATAATAAAATGCACATGAATTCTATCAACGTAACATTTAACGTATCGAGAAAAAAAACAAAAAATAAAATGTGGCGTAACTTTTGGATAGGTTATATTTTTCCCCCAATATATTAAACTCAGCAAATAATCGGCAGAAGTGTGTTCTCTGTAGAGCAGGCATGTCAAACTGGGGACCTTCTGGGCCAAAGTGCTGTGGAGATTAGCGTTTACCCTCATCTAACACTCTGAATTCAGTTCATAAAGGCCTTGCTAATTAGCTGATGAGCTGAATCAGGTGTGTTCAATGAGGTAGCGTACTGAAATCTGTAGTGTTTTGGCCTGTGAGGACTGGAGCCTGACACATGTGCTGCAGAGGATGTGTAAACTTACTTTCACTTACAAAACCAACTAAACGTCATTTGACCAGGGGCACCCAAACTTTTGCTTGTGACTAGGCGCTCACTGGCATTTGGAATTGACCTACTTCATCCCTGGGCAGCACTTAATTGGCAACTAACACACTCATTTTAGTACAAATCTTGCTGTTAAGTCTGTCCAGCTTTAAATGCAAAAATAGCATTTAATCCAATCAAAACAGCCCAGACATTATCACTTCTGATTTTTTCTTACAGCAGCACCATTTTTGAGAATGATCACATTTAAGTCCCCTTTAAACATGCTACAGCAGAGAGCAATAACACAATAATTGCAGTGATTTGCCTAAACCAAGTGCATCGTTTTAGTCATTTAGACATGAACAAGAGTCACTTGAAGCAGATTCACAAACACTTGTTGAGTTGTTAAGCCATCTTGCTCAGTGAGAAGTGTTGATGGGGTCTTGCGGGACCCTGTGGAGAGACGTTTTACTCTCACATCTATGCTAATCTTCATGTTCTTGACATAATTGCTCCCTTCTTCTTTTGGCAGCAGCCTGCTAGCTGCTGATTGTATTCGTAATCCAACACCAAGAAGCACACTGAACTGGCTTCAATTGCTCCCAGCTAATTACATCAGACTTCAAGCCCTGCTGTTGAAAATTAGCCAGTTGGCTAACACTGGAACATTTACCTGACTGATTAAAGTGCACTGTCCCATGTATAGAAATGAATAAAAGGATTAAAAGATTAACTAGCATGCATCTCCGCAATACAACAGAGGCTGTGTAGACACTGTCTAGTCATCTGAAAGAGTGTACAGCCTTCCTGTCCCAGCCTGAAAGTGAAATGGAGCTGAAACACGACTGATCACTCAATGTTGAACTGATAATACTCTTTCACTTTACATGAATGAGCTGCAGGAATGACTTTCAGTCTACTCAGCAGACACAATGTGAGTCTGAAGCCAACTCTGAATAGTGTACTGGGTCCCACTTCCTTGGTGTCTTAAAAACCTTTCATCTGTATAAGCTAACGACGCTAACAATGAACGAAGATGGTTGAAGAACAAGATGGTACTTGAAGGGTTTTTCAGTAAAGGTAACAGTTGTATTTAGAACCATTGTATATGGTTCTATGTAGGACCTTTTTGAAAATGGTTCTATATAGCACCAACAAGGCTTTGCTATTGTAACAATACAATACCCTTTTTTGGTGCTACACAGAACCATTTTCAAAAAGGTTTTATATAGAACCAAAAACATGAATCTGAAGAACCATTTCACCATGCTAAAAATGATTTTAACATAAAAAGGTTCTATATAGAAATCATGGTTCTAAATAGAACCTTTCCTTTTACTTAAGAACTCTTGAAAAAACATTCTGTCAAGAGAGCAGTTAAGACTGATTAACATGATCTCACTGGCTCCCACTAGCTTTTATTGAGCATTAGCAAGACTGGATGAAATGTTCCAGAATTCCGATTCCAATTTGAAGTCAGTGGAACTGACTTCAAAGCTTTGCAGTAGACTGTCGATTCCAGGTATTAGGGAATCGAGAGTCTACTGTAAATTGATTCTTTTTGGGATTGACTCCCAGCGCTAGAAAATGGATAAAGCCTACATTAACCAAATACACTCAATCATCGTCTAAGCTGCCCTATCCTCCTGGGTTGCTGGGGTGCACCAGGCTATCCCATCTGTCATTGGGCACAAAACAAGAAACACACTGGACAACTGGACAGTTTTCACTTTTCATCACTGACGTCCAGTGAGTGCAACAATATCTGCATGTCCAACTCCTCCATGATTGTAGCCCTCTCACTCTTATACTGCTTAGGTCTTGTGTCTTGGGACAACTGTAGCTTTCCACTTTGCTGTTGCTTTTGTTAGTTTGCTGCTTGTTGATTTTTATGTTTTGTTTGTAAATGATATTTAAGGCTTGACACACTTCGGTGCTAAACAAACTGCAGTAGCTGGAAATACCTTTGATTTTTATCAGGAGAGCCATCAACACCCCATTTTTTTGATCGGGAGGGCTACAGTTGCAGTCAAAGCAACATACAGCCAAAGATCATACATATGGTAAACCAAGTGCATGCCTATTCAAGGCAATGAGACGAAAAGTGCTACAGTTCCTATCTGCATAAGTGAGTGTACCACCTTGCATCACCCCCTCCTCCCCTGTCACCCAGGGCAACAACCTGGAAGATAACTGAACGGACCCCAAACAACAGTGTATATTCTTAAAATCAGCTCATTAGAAAATGCATGTAAATGCATGTAATCAATGAGAAAGGAAGATTAATTGCTAACGGGCAGAATTTCCAGCTGGGTGTGACTGGAACTCAGGTTTCCGTTGTCTGCATAAAGGAAAGTTTATTTTATTTTAAAGGGCGAATGACTTCTCACCAAAATCATGGTGCATATCAAACTAGGATAATGCACTAATAGCGTTAAAATTTAGTTGTATAAATCATTTATCGTGTTAACTTTGACCCCACTAATCATGAGGCAAGACTGAAAGTTGGGGGTGTATTTAGATGCTCAGGGGGGTTAGTGTGTGTTGTAAGCTGAGTGTGTGTGGTATGCGACTCCAGATGGTCTCCTGAGGGAGAACAGGCTGCCATTCAATCATCATAAACCTCCTGAGACTTCGAATCAATTTCTCTCACTCTGTACTCAGAACCATCTGAATATAATAACAGTAACCAGTTGTAACCAGTAGTAACAAATGTCTCTGCTTGTGGTTGACGGATGAATGAGGACCTATGACTAGAAAGGGCAACATGGCAAAAATATATAATTTTCACAATATTAAAAAATTTAACATTTTTATGATACATGATACATGATATTTTGCACTTCTATGATTTGACAAGTTGGAAACGAAAGCCATATTTAAACCATACTATCAAAAACTACAACATTCCACACACTAAATGCAAATAAAGGACTAGTTATGCTCCCGTTGTAATAAAAATGTAGTTGGTTACTTAAGTACAGACAATATTCATGACATGCTCATGAATACAGAACTACAATATTCATGAAAACAGAACTGTGCTGTCATTGATCACGACGACAATAAAATATTGTCATATTGCTCACCTCGACCTATAACTGAGCTTGCGAGTCTGTTATTGTGTGTGTGTGTGTGTGTATGTGTGAGTGTGTGTGTGTGTGTGTGTGTGTGTGTGTGTGTGTGTGTATATATGTGTGAGAGTGTGTGTTCCCTACAGACACCGTTCTTCTCTCTCCATATGCTCCAGTCTGTAGTTGAGCTGAACAGGGAGCTCTACATGGCCAACTCAGTAGCAGCTTCTGCCAGTGTGGGCAGTGTTGTATTACTACAACAGACTCAACAGTGTCTTGTTTGATCATAAAGCTGCAACAATCACTGCAACACAGCAACAGAGTGATAGTAGCATGCTGAATACTGAATGTTGGGTACATTAAGTCATAACCAAACACAAAAAGAAATAAAGAAAAAGGCACAGCATAGTGGCATACAAACTAAAAGTGTAAATGAAAAAAAACTAAAGTCTAAAGTAACATCATACAAAACTAAGTCCAGCTTGTCTGAGTCAAATCTGTGTAAGGTTGCACATGCAGGCTAGTTCTTTGAAATGCCGGTGACAATAGGTGTATAATTGTTTTCAACAGTTTAAAGCCTGTAATTATCTCCCACTCAATGTGTATTAGAGTCTTGAATCTTCTCAGCGCTTCTATTAGTGTGTACTTTGAATATGGGTGTTGCAGTAGGGTTGATGCAGCAGCACTGCGATTAGGTAAGGATGCAGAGTGTTACCACCATGATAGACAATACTACTGCAAAAGCACACAGGGTGGGTGGCTGCTGGATGGTTGCTGAGGTGGCAGTAGTCTAGGCTAGTGGTTCCCCATTTCAGTCATGGGGACCCCCTGACCTGCACAGTTTCAATTAGACAGCCCCAACACACCTAATCCAGCCCGTGAAGGGGCTGATAATCAGCTGATGAGCTGGATCAACTGGGGCACAGAATATTTGAAACTGTGCAGTTAGGGAGTCCTCAGGACTGGAGCTCAGATACACTGGTTCATGCTCAGCCTCAGACACTCCACCCACAGAGGTATCTCTAAGCAGGCCACAATTAATAGGAATTTGTTGGTTGCATTCTGATTGTTATCTACATGTCCATGTGTACTTCCTACAACACTTTTTATCTTAACGTGGGGTCCTGATCTGGTTTCAGGGGAGCCGAAATAGTGGTGGTATAAACATAAATATACACCTGATAAAACAGAGAAAATCATTTTGATGAGCGGCCATGTAACTTAAATGGGAAAGAATGAGAGGACATGAAAAATGAATTTGCTTCCTTCAGCGTTAAATTTCACTTTACCGAGGTGAACTTTAACCCTGCGAGTTCGCCAACCTCTGAAGTGTTAGCTAATTGAAAGCAAAAGGGCGAGCTGCGGCAACTTCTTTCTGAAAAAGGCTTAGTACTTTGGAACCTCACAGCCCCTAGTCTTGGATAAAGAAATGCAATGAGATGAAATAAAAGTTCATATACCAGCCTACAGTGTTTACCTGTGGGCAAAGACGCTCTTAGACACGTTGAGGACGGCGAGATGCTGGACAGATCCTCTAAGAAGTGCAGAGCAAAGCTGGAACACACACACACACACACATACACATACACATACACATACACATACACACACACACACACATACACACACACCACTATTAAAAATGTACAAAAGGATTCTAAATCATTTTTACATACCCATGATTTAAAGCATATTAGAGGTTACTCAATTATTCATGTTCATGAGGCATAAAATAAATGGAGGTGCTGAATTAATATATTCATCAACCAGCTAATTTAACCTACATTCTATTAATCAAATTCAGTCAAGAGTCAGAGGCCCACAAAAGAAGGCAATTCAGATGCTGGACTCACCAAGTCCAGCGAGCAGTCGGTATTGGACAGGTCCAGGGTGCTCAGGCTGTTTGGCTGGCTGAGGAAATTGTAAAAATTCTGCAGGAAGAAGGTGACAAAGAGGTTTGATTGTGCAGAAAGAGCATGTTAAACATTAATACTGTTTTACATAAACTCATGATTATGATTGCAAATGGGAACAGATCTCCATACTGCAAACTGTTGCATCAGCCATGACCAAATCAATGTAATCTGATCCAAAGTGGACAAGAATTGATGAGGTTATCAGAGAAAAAGCTGCTTGTGTCAGCTGATCTGGAATCAGTCTCACCTGATTTAAATACCAACTAACCTTCACATTAAGCCTCCTCAGATCCTCACCAACTTCTATAGATGCACCATAGAGAGCATCCTCACAGGCTGCATCACTGTCTGGTACAGCAGCTGCACCGCCTGCAACCGCAAGGCCCTTAAAGGAGTGGTGAGGACAGCAGAAGCCATCATAGGCAACAACCTACCAGCCTTACAGGACATCTATCAGTCCCGCTGCCTCAGGAAAATCAAAAAGATCCAGCCAGACAGCGTCACCCAGCACACGGCCTGTTCACCATCCTGCCACCAGGCAGGAGATTTCGCAGCATACAGGCTAGAACAACCCAGTCAATGAACAGTTTCTACCCACAGGCTGTCAGGCTTCTGAACAAGCTGTGAAGCTGTGGGTCCTTCCCCAACTACTATTTCACTCAGTCACTTTGTCAGCATTATTATGTCACTTTAAAGAACACTAAGTCACTTAAATAACTTAATGACTTGTATTTATATAGTCTCTACATTCTGTGTATATTTTGTGTATATTTAATATATTTCAGTTTGTTTTTCTTGTATTTTTATTTTTATTTATTTACTTTCTGTAGAGTGATTAGCTGAGCCTCACCACAAGCATTTCAATGCATAAATGTCCTGACGTTGTGCAAATGACAAATAAACTTGAAACTTGAAAATAAACATCGAGAGAAAGGGATGTACAGGCAGTGCAAAGCACTGCATCCAGGATGGTTAGTGGCTTATTGCCTTTTACTTGGGAACCACTGACCTTAAATTTGATCATTATAGCCTGACATTTCACCTAGATTTAGAGTGTGGAGTATCTGAAAATGCTGACTAAAAACTTTTTTTTAAAACATGTCTCAGAAAATCTCAGAAAAATGAAATACGATATGTATATCGTATTGTAAAAATGTGTTCATGTATTGTGATATTATATTGTTGGAATATCATCAAACCTTTTACTGGTATACAACTACAGACTTCAGCCCATCTATTGTTTGTATACATATATTTTCTGACCACAGGACCATTGTTGACCAGCACAGCTGTGGCTCTGACATGGTGGCAATATGTGGCAGTGTGTGTGGTGCTAGAGTTTTTACATGTCAGCGAGATTGGTCCACCTCCCAAAACATCCATTAGCAGCTTTATGGCCAGAAACTGACTATTAATGAAGGCCCAGAGGATGTCCAAGTCAAACTGTGCATCAAGAGACTGTTTATTGTCTAAACTTACACACTAGCAAGGTGGAGCTACGAGCCAGTGTTTCCAATAAAGTGGCCAGGGACATTCATTGAATGAATGACTGACCAGATCAGACAGAACGATGACTCTACCTCCTCTGAAACTGAACATGCTTGCAAACTTATTAAGACCTATGAGATACATTTACCCTAATTATGGCATTTTAGTGTAAAACAAATGTTCTTAAATGTTTTTGGGTTGAATGTTTAATTTTGGGAAAAAATCCTGAACAGGTTAGAACCTTTACATTTTGAGTAAAAATGCATAAAAATGTTCTTCAAACAAACCATCTACTGAAAGGTTTTATTAGGGAACCAAATTTTCTTTATCATCACTCTTTTTATATTCTTTTTGATTACTTTTGGCTTTTTAGCTGTATTTTTTGTGTACATTTATTTATTTTTGTTTCCCACTAGCTCCGCCCAGGTCACGCAAAGCGTCATCCGTTTCAGACTGCCACTAACACGTCGTTGGACATCTCAACACGCTTGGAGGAGAACACTAACTGTTTATTCTATTACATCAGCTAACAAACGTCTGCATTGCCTAGCATCTTACTGAGTGGTGGGGGAGATGGAGAAGCAACCTACCCACCCAGAGAGAGGGAGACTAATTATACTTTCTTGGACCACGAATGGTTGTGGAATCACTGAAGATGAAACTTGCGATCTCCTGACGATACGGCCAACACAAGACGCCTGCACTTTCATTTTTAAGAGTGTATGCGGCAACATTAACTAACCATTCAAATTCAGGGCATGATCATCAGTCAAAGCTCACAGCTCTGCTGTCACTGACCTTTCCTGGAGTATTAACACTATGACTGATGCACTACACTACAATCCCTGTCATGTTCCCTCACTGAGAGGAGCTTGGCAGACCTACACCCCCCCAGCGTGAATGCTACACTGATTTACCTCCCCTCTGACTCCAAACAGCCCCACAAAAACATGCCTGTCAATATCCCAGCTTGCACGAGGAGCAGATCAATCAGCTGTTATTGATATGAGCATTAGCAGAGAACAGGAGACAGAATGTAATGAGAAGAAAGAGAAAGAGAGAGAGAGAGAGAGAGAGAGAGAGAGAGAGAGAGAGCGAGAGAGAGCGAGAGAGAGCGGGAGAGGGAGAGAGAGAGAGAGGGAGAGAGGGAGAGAGGGAGAGAGAGAGACACACTGCCAACAGGCTTTGTGCACAGAGCATGTCCAGAAACAAAATCCCTACACTGGCCCAAACCACCCGAGGATTCAGAGGATCAAGTCCCAGCTCTTGCCTCATTGGGCAATCCCCAGTCCAACCCCCAACACTGCCCTGACCACCTCCTTCCCTCCAGCAGGGGGCAGCACTTACCGGCAGGTCATCCCCACGCAGAATGTTCCCTGAGAGGTCCAAGTGGCTGAGGGTGCTGGGGATAGACTGGTTGGCACTCAGTGACTGGGCAAGGCTGTTCACCCCTTTGACACAAACAGAAAGAGGGCAGTAGGTTAGAAAATACTTCAAGTTATGCAGAACTCAAGATGCCGAGTGATGGTGGGACTTTGTGATGTTGTATTTGCATTGAAATTGGAACATGGATTTCTATAGTGCGTCTACAATAACTAGAAATCAGGAACGGTGAGATTACATGAGGTGCCTTTAGGTAGGCCTGAGTGCAGTAGAGTGTTTAAGTAGCTTGAGAATGATAGCCTCCTTTTAGGTATTGTGCCATCTGTATTGATAATGCATGTAAAATGCACTGTTGTTAAAATGATGCTGCCATTCTGGTCCTTAATCCATAAAGGCTTAAACTTTGAACAAATGCCACTTCGCTACATTAGGTGCACAAGACATGGAAGGAGTCTAGCCATTCACTCATAACAGCACAAGCCAGTGTGGCAGGAGAGTTAACTGACAAATTAGCTGTTTTCTGCTTATAAAAATGTTGCATGTTGACTGTTGAAGGAAAATGCAATGTCCTCAAAAATAGGTGAAATAGGATTGAAATGTCATTTGATTTCTCAATAATTATCAAATTTAATTGATAAGAAAAATATATAGTGATAACATTTGGTCACAATGAACTCTCTCTAACTACTTCAAGCTACACCAACAGATCAGTACTGCAAAGACATATCAGTTGGCCGCCTACAGTTTGGCAAAAGTTGACTAGTTTGCACACAACTCTGACTCACGAAAAGTCACAGTGACTGAGTCACTGAAGCTCGGAAGGTCAGGTGACCCTGCCAGAGTTTAATTAAATGGTAAAGTCTCCCCGTAGCTGCCGACATTTCAAATGATGGCCTTTAGATCACTTTTTCTCTAATTAGTTCTCTGAGTACACAAACCAATCACACACTGGGTTATTCCAGAAAATGACGAGCATGTGGCAAATACCACATCAAGCTCTCAACATATTCAATTATGGATTACTGTCAGAATCCAGGTTACACATCATAAATGCACTGTAGGAAAGGCTTCCTACTGGACACAGGGCTGATTATAAGACAGTGTAACTGCCACCCAAAAATACACCAATCAAAAACACAGCTTGATGAATGAATTTATTAACACAAAATTTAAACGTAATTTTATATCATATTATTTTAGATTTTTATTTTTTAATGCCCACTTTTATAGTCGCTGTGCGGTAATTTACCTGTCCTGGGCTCTCAGGTTTTATTTGGCACTTTGGGTGGTGATGGGCCAGTTCAGGTCAGTTTTGGAGAGAATTTTGTTGTACTCAGGTCATTTTCTGATCACATCTTGATGATGAAAAGAAAAAAGACCTTTATTATGCTGTTTTATTCTACGTAAGACTGTAAGTGTTGATGTGAGGCTTGCTGTGGGAGGTCTATGCTGCTAAAAATTTGGCAGTGATAGTCGCACTGCCCCTCATGCCCCTTCCCACTCTGATTCCCACAGCGCTCCGCCTGTCAGCCAGGACGAGAGCACAGGGGCCATCAGCTGTCGAGCAGAGCGGGACAGCAAGACGTTTTTTAGCTGTTCGCTTTTTTTTCCAGTACATGAACAACCCCTGGCAGCAGAGGCAGAGCTACAGAACAAGCAAACAAAGCAACTGCTTAGGCCCCCCTGGAACGGACATCAAGCTGAGAATGTTGTTTAAAATTCATCTGCATAGCCTTCATTACCAGACAAAACCTCACTGAAGTTATAGTGCTTATACTTCCAACAGGATTTTAAAGTTACGTTTAATGTCATGTGTTCTGTATGTCTTTACCAAAACTGCTGCATGTAAAATGCATTCATTCTTTGGAAGCCCATTCCTGCTATATGGAGGGGAATGCCTATGGCTGCTTTTTTCACTATCTCTGTTTCTTAAAGTTATGACTTATTTTCTCAATTTTGACATAATACCTGAAAAATATACTTATAATTCCAAAATAATTACTTACTCATTTGAGATTTGTCATTATTAAAGTTATTATTAGCTATTTCAACATACTGAGTCAAAAACTTGTGAAAACAAGTCATTGTTTTGACATAGTAAGTGAAAACTCAGTAAATTAATATTTCAATGAAATAAATCAATATTTCATTACAGTAAACCAAAATCTCGAAAGCATAATTTCGGGCAATGTTTTGGCTTCTACCAGGCGAGAATGGGTTTCCATACAAATGTGACCTACAAACTACACTAATAAACTCATCAGACCAGAGCGAAGGGAACAGTAGTTTAATTAGTTAGCTGTCTAAATTAGTCAAATAGCCTACAGAAAAGTGATTCAGGTTTACCGTCATAAAATAGATAAAAGTAGGAAGGTGATTTAAAAAACCCTCAAAAGAGCTTAAAAAGTACTAAGATACCCCCCAGAGAGCAGCAGGTCAGTCAGAAAAAACATCAGGCACCTGGTTATATAACCACTTTGAGAAACATAGCTGTGTACTGCTGCACTCTGCTGTATTCCTCTGTTAAAAGGCATCAGATGAATCCACCTCTACAGACTGCAGCTGAAATAGCTGGCCATAAGTTAAACGCAGAGGTTATTTACGTGCCACTCCGTGGCTCATTGTCACTCATTTCCTGACTGACTGCAGTCCTGACTGATTATGAGTCGAGGAAAATTACACAAGACTGTAAGTCTCCTCAAACACTGAGCGACAGATGTTTCCACAAGCAGCTGAGATCGACTCCTCTGTAAATAACCAGCGATGAAATGCTTTGTGGAAAAAAAACTGAACAAAAGTTATTTATGAGCAGCAAGTCACTGTGATCCGGAAACATAAGGAGCTACACAAGACAAGAGAAATCAATAGTCAGAGAGAGAGAGAGAGAGAGAGAGAAAAATAAAGAGAAAGACAGAGAGAAGAGAAACAGAGAGAGAACGAGAGATAAAGAGAGAAATAGAGACAGAGAAAGAGAAAGACTGAAAAAAGAGAATTAGAGAGAGAAAAATAAAAAGAGGAGTCAGAGAGAGAACAAGAGAGACAGATAGAAAAACAGAGAAATAAAGACAGAAAGAGACAGCGAAAGAGAGAGCGTGAGAGAGAGACACGTACAATGTGTAAGCCCACTTATAATGTAAACAAAACCAAACTTTTAAAACTTAATAATAAATAAAAATAATAAAAATAATAATAATAGAAATTAATTACAGCACTAGACCAGTATTACTGGCACTCTTTCTAAAGACCATTTTCTGGTTTATTATCATTGTATACTCACTGAATATCACTATTGACTAAAATGCTACTGTCTCATATTTTCAGTGATCAAAGCTGACCAATAACATTTTTCAAAGCCTTTCTTTGCTCATATTTGCCAAGGGTGCCAATAATTCTAGAAGGTCCTGTACAGGGTAGATATATATTTTAGGGGATTCACTCTTCATAGAAAACTGACAAACAGCGTCTTACAGTAAAAAGTTGTACTGTAAAACACAATTAGTGAGTAAAACGAGCTGTTATAATTCTTCAGATTCCAGTTAAGATCTCCTCAGATGTGCTGCTGCCTCTGATGTACACCTGTGTTGCGTGAATCTGCAGTTTTGCTGTACGTAAACGATGTGAGTGATCACTGGAGGGTTAGCGCTCTGTCTCAGAGAGCGTAAGGCGCTGCTCATTAGTGTCTTATTACACACACAGGGCCAGCTGGTGTGAAGTGTCTCATTTAAAGTGCGAGCTCGGAAAATGTCGAGCCAATTTCCACTCGAAAACATCCAATTCTAGCAAATGAAATATGAATTTCAGAGCTCAGCGCAGAGCACAAGGGAGAGCATGCTTCAATAGAAGAAAAGCAGCAATTATGCACAACCCTTTATGCCCTTTATTTGACTTAGCAGAGTCCCATTTACAGCGGAGCTACTTTTTCAGGAAAGAGAGCTCTATTAAAGTCAGAGCAGGGCAACTGGGTACATTTAATGTTTTAACAAGATATTAAGGTATTATCATACTGAGTTAAATGTAACAGGTATTAAGGCTAATGAGATTTCTTTTAATTCATTTTTTTATTACATTTTATCTATCTATTTATTTATTTTTAGTCTGGTTCTTGGAAATTATTTCTTTTTTCTGTTGCTTATTTCCGTACACCATAGCATACAGACCACAACTAACCTGGGAATTTCACTCAATACTCTCAATAGTTAGCAATACTAAAGTTAATCCATTTGCATTAATAAAGTTAATAAGTTAGCGTTAATAAAGTTAATGAGCCCATTCTTCCTGAGTACTGGTACTTCCTGCTTTAAGAATGATTTGCGAACCTGACATAGCTTGTTTTCATTGGACTGTTTTGTTTTTGCTCTTAAAATGACACCAAAAGGAAGCTTACAGAGCACTGTAAGACAAAAATCAGACAGAAACCACATTTCTCGATAGGAACGTGACTATTTATTTGTTTTTTATGCATTTCAAGCGGTTCTTCCAGAACAATCTGAAGTGCTAAGCAAATGATACATATAACTAAGTTTTGGTCATATGTTAATACCACTACAACTAAAAAAATCAATATCAACTGTTACAGATGATTTATCACCCAGCCCTAGACAGAAGGTTGTGACTATTGCTGCAAAGGTGCTGTGGTTACCTTTGGGTGACAATGAGGTTCTGGAGAAGTTGAGGTGTTTGAGGCCTTTACGGAGTTTGGCAAACTGAGCACCCAAAGAGGCGATTCCTGCAAAACACAATCACTTAACAGTGAAACAGGGTTGAAACATGCAGCTACTTATGCAGTGTTTGCAATGGTTGGTGACATTATTTAGAACTGAGTGACATTTTTATAAGGGGTACTTCAACACAATATGGTCCAACATCTCTCTCTCCATTTCTTTCACTCCCCCCCTCTTCCTGTCCATCACTCATGGTTCCCTGTCTTTCTTTCTTTGTCTTCCTGTTGTTCCACTGCTCTTGGTGTATTAGGTGCAGGCAGAAAGCAGACAGGCAGACTGCACTTACTGGCCGTCCACCTTCAAGACTCCCACATTTTACACAAGGACAAACAAAAGCCTGCACTAAGCTCTGGCTCCATGTTTAATTAATAGCCCAGAAAGAAAAGTTCAACTCTCCAGGGTGTTATGAAATATTAAACCTCTAACTTTGGCTGAGCAGCCTGAAAACATCCTCTTTATGGGTTGCACGGGCTGACCTGCAGTTTTGCGTGACAAATGCTTTTAATTACAAAGGGTGAGCTCAGCCGAGCGTCAAGGTCCAGCGTGAACAGAGGTTACGCAAGAGCCATAGATCACCAGAATTATTATCAGTAATGACTTTACACAATGCTACAGTGCTCGAGGGCACTTCACTCTGCATAGTTATCTCTGCTGGAACAGGAACAGGTGTGTTAGAGCAGGAAAAAATGAGATTCTGCAAAGCAGGACAGGACTGGGACTGGAACACTGACCTGTGTTATCATGACCTCAATTACAGTTAAATACTCAACAGTTAATTCATTTTTTACAGCCCACACTCGTCAGCACGCTGACCTACTAACTTGCAACCTCAGCTAAAATATCGGCATGACTTTTCTATCATATTGTCTACCTAATCAGATGCTTAATATCCTAAACAGCTGTCTAATTTCAATCCAAATTTACTGTAATCCCTTCATCACCGTTCCTCAAGATAATATGCATAAGATCACATCGATTACTGCTTCCAATTAAGATTAAGCACCCTTCATTTGCAACTAACATCCAATGAACATGTAGGCTTAATTTGCTAATAACAATTAAGAGTTTTAATACTTATATATCACTGCTTTTGGAACAAAACCTCATATTTCCAAAATGAGAACTTTGCAGGAGAAGGAAAAAACATACTTTACTTTCAATGTAAGTCAGTGTAACCAGACTTTTTTCCAAGTTATTTTTGGCCAGTTTTTTTGGTCCATTCACCATGATATTTATACACAGTGTAAACGGCAACAGGTATTTTATATATAATAATAATAATAATAATAATAATAATAATAATACACACACACACACACACAGAGCGTGTCTGAGAGACTGCAGTAAGAACAAGAACCAAATATATGTTAATTAATATACATACATACACACACATATATATATATATATATATATATATATATATATATATAGATAGATAGATAGATATAGATATATATAGATATATAGATAGATAGATATGAATACGTAAACATCTGAAATGTCGTATAGGTCTGCTCTCTGTAGTGGATGTGTTCACTTATTTTCTCTTAAAAAAAGTCAACAAAACATGTCATTTGACCAGGGGTGCCCAAACTTTTGCACATGTGTATATGCATACAGCATACATTTAGAATTTATAAATACATATGTTTATTTATAATATACAAGTTACTTTAATACGTTTGCTTTCAGTTTTTTTTTCCCAGTAACTCCCTAATCCATCAGTCTGTATTTGGAGAGGATGTGAGTAGAGTTCATTTTCCACTGGAACACAGCCCACACCATATGCACTCACCTCTGTCCTCGAGAGGGTTGTTGGCAAGGTTTAAAGAGTGCAGTCCTGAGTTGGGGTTGTGGGCGAGGGCGTTCGCCAGCTTCTGTGCAAAGTCCCTAAGGAACCACAACAAAGACAACATTGAGGCTTGGCTGTGGTGCGTGATCCATCAAGGCAACAGGTGTCTGTTTCAACCTTACACCATGATTTTTACTAATCTGGTTATCGTCTTTATTAGCTGACTTGTGACATGAGGGACTGTTGTGCTGGGCCTGAACAAATGCTTACAGACACCGCATTCCACAAATAATCACGCTGAGCAACCAGACGCTACATAAACCTCCCCATGTTACACTGTAGATCTACAATGTATAGTATTCAGCCATTATCACATGACCGGTTATGTGACTGTGAATCTGAATACTAGGAATATATGTTGAAATAAAAGAAGTAAGGACTAAATTGATGTAAATCCTGAGTGGATGATGATGCTGGTTTACCTGCTCTTGAAGAGAAGACAGATAATACTCATGAATGAGATCTGATGCCTTTTGACCGCTTCTGACGGGATGTAGTGGTACGATGTGTATTCAAGGAATAAGACAGATGTTCCAGTAATCTCTGTCTGATCTCTGCTTACTAACTAAACATACTAAATCCTTTGATGTGTATTCTGTCTGTATGGGCTTTAGCACCAATTTCAGCATGGTCACATCTATAATAGCAGAGATTTGAGATCAGCTCTGAGAACAGGTGTGTGTGAGTTTCACCATAGGGAAACTACAACTTCAGAACCAACACAAAGTGCTGTTTACAAAATCTACAGATTTCATTTTATAAAACAAGACAAAACATTTTTATCAAGGTAAAACATTTCTTTCTGGTTACAGAGGTTAGGATTAAGGTCAGATTTAGAAAATATTTCTTTCATACACAGTACTGTGCGAAAGTCCGGGCACCTAAACAGACTGTTTAAAACCATCCTCTCTCTTATCTCGAGAGTAAGAGTGCTTTTTCCAATGAAAATGTAACATTAGAATAAATGCAAATAAACACAAATACAGTAAAAATTAAGACGATTTTCTTGTTTTCAAAAAAAAGTGGCTGATAATAATTGCATTTTCCCCCTGATCTGGTAACTGACATATTAGAGTGATGTCTTAAGAAATGAGTTAGCATATTTGTGTTATTAGCCTAATTTTAACACAATGTAAGGATAACTGGAGTTTTCAAATGATGTGAAAAAGTAATAAATGACAAGCATGGAGATACAAGGTTTTTGCGTGACCTCAATGGTACACAAATGTGTGTGTTTGATACATTTCTTACGTTTTGAGTCCTGCGTTGTCCAGGACCAGCTCCTCCAGACGACTGGAGCGGGCTACAACTCGGAGAATCTGATCACACACATCTGCAGGCTTTAGACACACACATACACACACACACACACACACACACACACACACACACACACACACACACACACACAGACATTCAGAAAAACAGACACACACAGAAAGAGAGAGAGAAATAGAACGAACGTCAGTAAGTGCTAAACATTAAACAAACATCCACTTTTGATAAGAACTGGCTTTATTCTTTTGAGTTTACCTGATTTTTTAGTCAACAAACTTAGCGACAGAGCCAAACAACCCTCAGAATCCAGACAAAAACCTGGATATAAAAACAAAACTAAGAGCAGCAGCAATAAGAACTACTCACTTAAATGACCTCTAAGTGGACAAATATAAGCATAGCAATCATCAGTCATGACACTGATCACATACAGTACCAGTACAAAGTTTGGATGTACTGAACTGCACAGAAGCCTTAGCACTCTATTTTTTTTGTCTGTTAAAACTCTACATTACCAAACGCAACAGAATAAATACCAACATATATACAGTAAAACATGGCAAGAATATTTTGTTTTTCAAAAGTTATTAATATGCTAGTTAGAAGAACACAGGTTTGGGTCCTGACTTCTCGCTGCAATCTAGCCACTGTGTGGATTTGTCAGTTCCATCAGCAGCACCTGATTTAATTTAATGAAGGACTGATTAGCTGAAGCAGGCATTGGATGGTAAGGGTAAAAACTGGACTTCCTTAAGGAGAGATTTGGAAATGGTTAATCTAACAGTGACAGACGCACAATCACAAATGCTTACTGCCCAGATAAACAGCTTTAATAGAATGTTACATAATTTTATATAATAGAACTTTTACAGTTTCCTGTAATGAACCTTTTTTGGGACGATGGGATAAATTTTGAGGACTTCACATCAACATTTCAAGTACTAAGTTCTACATGGAAAATATTTGTTTGGGGGATATTTAGAAACTTTTACTCATTTATTTATTTTGTTTTATCTTTGTTTTTCAAATTTTCAGAAAGTTTACTATTCTTGTCTTTGGACTAAATGTCAAGCATGTAAGCATGAACTTTTAGATCAAAATGTCTTAAGAATATGAAAAGTGTACATTCAGTCCAGCGTGCCTTTTAAGCGATACTGTATAAACAGGGATGTGCACTGCTACTCGAGTACTCGGTTAAACACTTGAGGTGCCAGTATTTGAGTACTGAAATCAGTGGTGGTTTCATTCAGGTACTCATTCCATTTCAACATGGGAAGATATGAAGAAAAGAAAATATAGAGACTAACAATTCAATAAAAATCTCACTTTTATGTTGTAACAGGACAGTTTAATGTTTTGTTCACACTTGTGAATAAGTATGTATTTTACACTCCAAGGTCTGCCAAGGTCGCGTTGTTAAGGACGTGACTGAGACAGCAGATGTATATATGTACACACACACACACATTTTTTAAAAATATTTTTTTAAATATATTTTTATTTAATATATTTTGTTGTGCTTTTGTTCAAAGTGTTATTTTTGACGATAAACAAATTTATTTTTAAACTGCATTGTGTTATCTTGGTGAAGACTCTTAAATAACTCCACATAGCAAATGTTAGGAATCTGTGTTTAATATCTTTGTATGTCTAAAAATCTTTGTTATGTTATATTTCTGAAGGAAAAAAATATCAGCCAATATACCAGATATTCCAGATCTTTATATCCCCAAATACTGAAATTGGTATCAGTCCTGTATCAGTCAGGTTCTACTCCTTAGTATAAATGTCTATATACGGTCATGACCTGTAGGTGAATGAATGAAAACCCAGAATGATTGACAGTTCCTTTTTAAAGCACTGCAGACCAAACTGTCCATGTTGACTTGCTTTCAGCACATCACACTCACACACACACAAACACACACACAGCAACCAGCTCCTCACAGCCCTCAAAGCGACACCTAAATTTCGCCTCTTGGTTGGTTTCAGATCCCATCCTTTCAAAGCAGAGCACAAAGAGGCCTTTATGTTCAGAGACATGGTGCAGGTTTCACAGAAGAAATGCTCTGGGAGAGACAGCCTCCTGGTTAACACTACACCAGACATCTCTGAGTCTGTGCAGCAACAGCAGCCCACTCTGCCCTCTCTCCTACAGATGAAACTACGTTTGGGCTGGAATAAAAATTTTAGCTCGACTGAGAGCTGACCCACTTCCACCAGCCGCCCCCAGACAGCACAGGATCTTCTGAAGCCACGGGGCAAAAAAATATTGCTCATATTCCACCAAACGACTGCAGAGAGGAGGCACTCCACACTCCGAATAACTCCTGTGGCAGATTTCTTTATCACAGACTAACACTGGTTCATGTGAGGCTCCCTGTTGGTTGTTAATAGGGAAACAGTGGGTTGTAAAGGAGGTGTGCACTGATTCGCAGGATTGCTGGTGTGTGCAAGTGGTGAGGAATGTTATAGTAGAGCCCATGGCAGAGCTGCGCCACTGAGACCATTGGACACAAGCAGTTAAGTCACAACATCCTGCAGTGGATAAGAGTGATCATGCAATTATACACTCACTGTCCACTTGAGCTCTATCGACTTTTCAGGTCCACTACACAGGCCTCCGCAATTACAGATTCACACAAATTTAACCAATACCTGCAATATCTGCAGCTTTGTCCAATCACTGCGAGTTTTCTGCATTAAACATGTAAATTGTAGGTGTCTTCACAGCTATTGTAAGCCTACAGCTTTTGTGCTTCATTGCGGAAACTCATGGAAAATACAGTGATCGCATTTGACTATTAATATTTCAGCTAAGGTATTCTGCTTTGGTGTCACATTGCCACATATATGCTGCTAAGAATTTCAGCACCTCCAGCTTAAAACTCCTGCATCTCTGTACACATTTACTTTGCAGCAGCTGCACAGTCCAGTCATTTCCATATTGCACATCATTCCTGCACAAAGCATCCCACATCTTGTAATCCACACCCAGACGAACGCATGCAGTTCCAAAGGCTAAAGGAGGCACAACACTAAATATACTGAATGTGTACCTAATAAACTGGCAACTCAATAAAGGACTGCAATTACAGACTGCAGCCAAACACTCTCTACCTCATCACTGGTCAGTTTCTGCCCACATGACCTCTGCTGATCAGATACTATTGAGATGGTGAATCATTCTCAACACTGCGGTGATATCTTCACGTGATGGAACGTCATTTGTGGGTTGAACATAAAACAAACACATATTCAAGTACGTCTTCTCTCTCTGTCTGTCACTCATTCTAAAATCCAGAAGCACATCTGCTCCAAAACACAGCATTAGGCATCTTCTACCATCCTAAATGAAAAACAAACCACTATCTCAACTTAACATACAGCCAGAGAGTCAGCGTGAATACAAGAGAGGCACAGTGAGAGAGAGAAAGAGGAAGAGCAAGTGAAAGAGAGAAAGAGCGGGAGCGGGTCTGAGGATCACTGTCAGCTCCCTCGTTGCTATTTAATCTCTTGTCTGTGCTGGAGCATTCCAATTCCCCAATTCATCTCACATACGCACTAGATAAAGCAATTAGCAGTGTAATTTCGGACCTCTCTCTCCTTCTCTCCCTCTCTCTCTCTCCTTCTCTCCCTCTTTCTCTCTTTCTGTGTTCTCCCTTTCTTTCCTCACTCCTGTCTTCCTTTCCTTCTCTCTGACTTCATAACCCTTTTCCACTGTTTCCCCTGCTCTTCTGTGACAGAACATAAACATAGAGACAAAATTCAGGCTTTAAGACAACTACTAGTGTAGTCAAGACCACTAGAGAAGAGTCTGAGCCAAGACCAAGACCTGAAGTGACCGAGACAGAAACAAGACAGAGACCAGATTAAGACTTTTCTCAGAACATAAAATCACACAAATAAAACACAAAATACTGAAATTCATTGGTGGTACATTGTACATTCATTCTGTGTGTAAATTTCATGATGAATGGCCCAGAATTACGTGGAAAGATGTCTGGTTCCATTGACTTGCATTGAAAGTAAAGTATGTTTTCTCCTTGTCCTGTAAAGTTATCATTTTGGAGATACGAGGTTTTGGTCCGACAACAGCGATATTTTAAAACATAACGTTAAATACTATATAGCCTAAAAATAATCTTAATTATTATTATATTTTAGTCCTGGTCTAACTTAGTCCAATTGATTCAACTACATTATCTAATGTCAACTGAATAAACCAAACAACAACGTTCCCATCTGCCCTCAGAGGATGGTTGAATTTTATGGAATGATCATCATCATGGAAAGATCAATGAGATTCTCAACCAGTGGCGAAAAGATTTTATTTAAACATTTAGAGAAAGGACTGTTTTGTTTGAAGGTTCTATTGATATATAATAACAATAGAAAAAAAAACAGTTTCCAGGTATCTCAGACAGAGGCATCGCACTCGACTGGTCATGAGAACAATTTCCGAGTTCACTTTAGCCCAAGAAGTCCAAATAAGGTTGAGACCAAGACGAGACCAAGACGAGACCAAGACAGTTAAAATGCGCTCTTGAGCCAGGTCTAGAGGCTGAGGCAGGACTCAAGTACTACAGCACGGATAAGTACTACAGATTTTAACTATGTATGTGCTTTAGTCCATGTTTATAGATAAGAAGATGTTATACAGTGTCAGAAAGCACACAGACCTAAGCAAGTCTTCCAGATTATGTGTGAAAAGCCTTCATTACTTATTAGCTACCTTAGCCTTGTAGCTCCAGTATTGGCTAATGAACTCCATCTGGGTTGTCTCTGTAAACTGTGTAAATCTCATTTGCTTTAACATCTCTCCTCTTGCTCTTTATCTCCGGCAAAAAAACACATCATTCACCTATAGCAGGCGCTCATTTTTCATCTGTGAGACGTCCCCAGCGGTGCTGGACCTTCGGTTATTGTCCCAAGCGTGAGGTTTTGGCATAAAGCCATTAAGCGTAACCATGGAGATGGAGTGCCCCACAGACAAAGGAAACCAGCCCCATTACAGAACATGGATCTGTCCCAATCACACCCACAAAGGCTTTAATACCATGTAAAGAAATTAGCTAAAGAGGAAAAACCTGGACAAACCTCAGCAAGGGAGCTGCCAATTGTCTCTTTATACCAACAGCAGAGCACTTCTGATTCAATTACAAATCAGATTTACTTGTTTAGAGATTTTTATTACATTGTCCCACAGCAGCTTTCCAGAAACGTGTGTGCAGACCCCCTAACGATGAAGCTGAGGGAGACAGTGTCAGGAGAAACTGCCTAAGAGAATCAGGAAGAAACAGGGAGAGGAACTAGGACTCAGAAGAGCAACCCTCCTCCTCTGGACTAAACCGTACGCTATAATACACGTAGACCAAATTTTAAGGGAAGATTAAAGGAGAATGTCCAATGATTTTCAAAACAGATGCAAACAGTCATTCAGAGTGGTCTGACGTGCAATGCTCCGTTCTAGAGATACTTAATGAGCCAAAATTTTTCTGATCGTTCACAGTGGTGGTAATAGGAACCAGACGTCTGAAGAGTTTAATTCACAGAAAGTTACTACAAGAAACGGTTATGAATATGCTGCCTGATGCCTGAGACAAAGTGTGTTTACATGCACTTAATAATCCGATAGCTGCAGAAAATCAGATTTTGTCAGTAATCGGATCAACATGATTACATGCAGTTGAGTAATCAGATAATGGGGAAACTCCAAGTTTACACGCAGCAATCAGATTTCTGCTTTGCAACCAGGCAATAAACTCACAGAAGAAAACATGACGTAAATGTAATGTAAAACTCAAATGTTTTGTTGCTGTTTTTTTTTTTTAAACACCACAACACTTTACCTGAAAATATGAACATACATCATCTAGAAGATGAAGAATATTTAAATCCTTCATTTCGTCAAGCATGTAGTCGGTTTCAGCGTTGCTCCAAAAGTGTTTTGCTGCCATCTCGCAGCAACACTGCTCGCTTATTTCCAGTACTGCGGTCTGTTTCGCACATGCGCAGACTGAGAAATCCAAAAGAAATCCGAGTAAGAGTATACAGGCACTGAGAAATCTGATTACTGAGCTAAAATCCAGCTCTCTTTATCGGATTACTTATTTGGGATTCTAAACCTTACTCGGATCTAAAAATTGGAGTACGCTGTTCATATGACCATTTGTATAAGCAGACAACTGCAGAAATCCGATTATGATCGGATAGAAACGCAATCACTGAGGTATCTCGTACTGAGGTATCAGGTCCTGCGACTGCAGATACGTTGAACAGACGTTGCTGGGATGGTGAATGGATGACCTGAAGAAGCAGTCGTTACCCGACAGGCCACGTGTCGCGTCTGCTGGGATATGACTGCAGTTTAACTCACCAGTTTATAATCCTTTGTGGAGAGCTTGGTGAACCACTGGTTGAACTCCAGCACTGCAATTATCGCTACCAAATCCCTGCCAAAGAAAGAGACAGACACACACAGTGAGACACGTCCTTCTAAATGAAGATGGATAAAGTCTGAGCTGCTTAGAGCTGCTTCACTTCAGATACTTTAACCACCCAACCACAGGCATATTATTCCGCTGTAAGACTGTATTATTCAGTAAGTTCTATGAATTATTCAGTAACTACTACAAAACTGGTCTTTAAGTTATTGCTGCTGTCATATCAAACCCCATAACCCCATGATCTGGAATAACATCTCTTTACATACATTTAAATTAAAGGGGAATTCCAGTTTTATAAAAATCTGTGTAAACACCAGCTGTCCTTTACATTGTGTGAAATTTTCATTAGGAATGGACCAATAGAAATGGCCCAAAACTGCTTAATTTTTTTTTTCACATTACATTAAAAGGTAACACTGTTTTTTTTTCCCTCCTTACACTTTTGGATATGGGAGGTTTTGCTTTGACAGTGATAATTTATGAGCCAGTACTATGAGATTAAAATCTCATGTTTGATTAGAAAGCAGGGCTGCACAATACGCACAAAACATCATGCTGGGATCAAACCAGACTGGCGATTACTGATGATTAAACATCTCATAGATCACTGTCTAGTTTGTAGGTTTTACATAGTGTTTTATTAGTTTGCAGTAGTCCTGAACACCTGCTACCACATGTTTTTGGACAATCTGACATTGAATTCAAGTCTGATTTTGGTTCTTATCATTTGAATCACGTAAATCTTCATTCATCCAGACACCTACAGAATCTTATATGGGACATGTGAAAGCTGGTCACGATGCTCACAGCACACAAAACATTCAGTGATTAGTCTGTGGGTTTATTTACATGGCGAGGTAACAATACAGCATATCATGTTGTATCATACTGTATTGCTGTGTTGTGACTGGCATAGCCTACGGCTACTGAGCTAGCTTGGGGCAAATATAAGATTGTGTTGAGAGCACTACATTGGGGCAATATAAAGCCGAACTTTCATTTCATGTTCTAATTTTTGAATGTTGAATGATTTAATAAACTGAAAAAAAGTGTATCGAAGTTTGATACCACTGTGAATTTTGTATCATTACACCTCATTCATAAAATTACTATTCACCCAATAAAACCTCCCAATAAAATTACTATTTCAAAGGCCAATGTTGAGATAACCATAAACAAACTATATATTGCGCAGCTCTAGAATTAGAAACTCATTAAAGGCTATCAGAGAGAAAGAGTTGGGCTACCTGTTCTCCAGGTGGCTGAAGTCCTGTAGATTCAACTCTCGTGTGTCCTGCGTCAGATAGATCGTGTCCACATCCTGACGAGAGGGACATAAAACAGTCAAACCATGCTTGTGTAAAATAACATGGCCATATAAACATGAAAATAAAAAAGCTTATAAGAGGTCATTCAACAGAAGTGGTTGAAAACACTCTTCCTCCCTAAAAACATTTCCAAAGCTGGATAAACAGAAAATGTAAACATGTTCACACACATCACAGTTAATGCAATCCTTGTTAATTTCAACTTTGCTTCCAGACTTTTCTTTGGCACTGCAGCCTCGCTCTCCTACATTTGCTCATTTCTTTAGAAATCTCTTCAGACATGGAGAAGTTTGGATAAGTGTCTTCCAATTTTGTTTGTACAGAAACATCACCCCAAATGTTTATGAGGTCTCAGAGGCACAAAATTATGAACTTCGAGTTGGACTGATGTAAAAGTTGCTTGATTTCCGATCTTGCTGTTCAGACTGAGTCGCATTGCTGCATATCGGATACATATCGGATTCAGCACTACATATGAAAGTGTTCCAAATCGGAATTGAAAATGTCAGATTCCGTGTTTCCACACCACCACACTGTTCATACTGCCACACAGATAACACAGCTGTGTCACACATGAAGAAAAAGATCAGTTTCAGGCCACTTTTACCTGCTGTGTGAACAAAGCCTTAGACAACAATGTCTAAAGTTTACTGACCACTCTGTATGAAAATTCAGCGGAATGGCTTATAGATACAAGATGGCCTGTTGTGGAGCTTTAAAGGTAAAAGAAATGTGCTTTCAAATGAAACAGCTTTTCTTGCAGTGTGTGAGTGTGTGTATGTGTGTGTGTGTACATACTGACCCACTGAACCTCTTCTCTGTACGGAAATCCAAGCCAGTCACACACACACCTGTACTGCTGAGAAAAGCCCCCTAAGGAAACACAGAGAATCACACTTCATATGAGTCATGATCACATTACAAACACTCATGCACAGACACACAAACACACACAAACACAGGGGGAGGAAGTGTCTGAGAGGGAAGAGAAAAATGAGAACAAGTCAATCAAGCAGTCAGTCAATCTCCAGTACAGTGTACAAGTAAGAGTGTTGTACACACACAGGTTTGTTTTTATACGATATCAGGATGTGAGGTCTTTCATATCCTAGTCTCAGCCTCAGACACTCCACCCACACAGACATGGACTGTCTGATATCTCATACATGTCAAGCTGGCAACAACTTTCAGATTTATTGTCAGCTGCATTATGATTGGCTATCTACTCGTTCTGCACACTGTGATGAGTCTTTCTGAGAAAGATATACCAGCTAAGCTGAAAGCCATTCAACGGTTTTCTGTGAAGCGTTTAGTAGCTCTTAAAGGAGATATCCTTGTGTTCTCTGCCTAAGCATGCTGAATAACTTTCAGTGATGTAGCTTTTACCACCACCACTGTGAGCAATTCTAACTCATTGACTTTCACTAGAATAACACATTTCACATTAAATCACTTTGAATTGCTTTGTTTACATTGTAATGACTGAGTTGTGCAAAAAACAGAGGAATTCCCCTTGAGTGATAGTCAGAAGTCTGGCTTGTGAGTCTTTATGTGTCTCATATGAATTACATACAGTGGTGCTTGAAAGTTTGTGAACCCTTTTAGAATTTTCTATATTTCTGCAAAAATTTGATCTCAAACTTCATCAGATACTTTTGCCACTCACAGATATGTAATATTGGATCATTTTCCTCTATAAATAAATGACCAAGTCTAATACTCTTGTCTTATGTGTTTAATCTGGTTCTCTTTATCTACTAATAGGACTTGTGCAAAAATCTGATGAAGTTTTAGGTCAAATTTATGCAGAAATATAGAAAATTCTAAAGGGTCGACAACATTTCAAGCACCACTGCATACTGTCACATTCTCCTTTTTTCTTTTGTATTTGTCTATTTATTTATTTATGTGCAAAATGTAAATAAAAACAAAATGCAATGATATGCAAATCATTTAAAACCTTTATTTCAAGGAAACACTTTCTTAGCTTTAATACACTTTCATTTCTGTTTGTTCATCATGAAGTGTTCACACAGTGTAAATGGCTATAGTGTTTTCAAAATGGGTAAAAATAAATAAATAAATACAACCCCATTTCCAAAAATGCTGGGACGCTATGCAGAATGTAAATATAATGCAATGATGTGCAAATCATTTAAACCCTATATTTAAATGAAAATAGTACAAAGACAACCTTTCAAATGTTGAAAGTGATTTTTGTTTTTTTTGTTTTTTGAAAAACATATGCCCATTTTGAATTTGATGCCAACAACACGTTCCAAAAAAGTTGGGAGGGGGGCAACAAAGGGCTGGTAAAGTTGTGTAAAGTTGTTAATTGCCCACAGGTCAGTAACATGATTGGGTATAAAATCCCAGATCCCAGAGAGGCTAAATCTTTCAGAAGTAAAGATGAGGGGGGGCTCTGTGGAAGACTGCATGATCAAATAGTGCAACAATTCAAGAATAACATCTCTCAACATAAAAGAGCAAAGAACTTTTGCTTTTCATCATCTACAGTACATAATAACATTAAATGATTCAGAGAATCTGGAGAAATCTCTGTATGCAAGGGACAAGGCCAAAAAACAGTACTTGCTGGCCGTGTTCTTTGCGCACTCAGGTGGAACTGCATTAAAAACAGACATGATTCTGCAGTAGAAATCACTGCACGGGTTAGAGCTCTAAAACACAAAGAAGAAACCATATATAAACAGGATCCAGAAACGCCACCACCTTCTCTGGGTCCGATCTAATTTAAGATGGACTGAGGCGACCGTGGTCCGACAAATCAAAATTTGAAATTCTTTTTGGAAATCATGGACACTGTGTCCTCCGGGTTAAAGTCCACTCAGCTTTTATCAGTGAATAGTTCAAAAGCCAGTATTCATGATGGTATAGGGGTGAATTAGTGCGCATGGCATGGTTGACATGCACATCTGTGAAGGCACCATTAATGCTGAAGAATAGATACATGTTTTGGCAACATATGCTGCCATCCAGGCGACGTCTTTTTCAGGGAAGGCCTTGATTATTTCAGCAAGATATTGCCAAACCACATTCTGTATGTATTACAAAATTATGGCTCCATATTAAAAGAGTCTGGGTGCTAAACTGGCCTGCCTGCAGTCCAGACCTGTCACCCACTGAAAATATTTGGCGCATTATGAAATGAAAAATACGACAAAGGAGACCCCGAACTGTTGAGCAGCTGAAATCCTATATCAAACAACTTTCAAACCTACAACAGTTGGTCTCCTCAGTTCCCAAACTCCTACAGAGTGTTGTTAAAAGAAGAGGTGATGAAACACAGTGGTAAACATTCCCCTGTCCCAACTTTTTTGGAACATATCGTTGGCATCAAATTCAAAATGGGCATATATTTTACAAAAAACAATACAATTTCTCAATTCCAACATTCGATATGTTGTCTTTGTACTATTTTCATTTAAATATGGGGTTTAAATGATTTGCCCATCATTGCATTATACTTACATGCGGCATAGCGTCCCAACATTTTTGGGAATGGGGTTGTATTTATTTATTTATTTTTACCCATTTTGAAAACACTAGTAGCCATTTACACCTGTGTGAACATTTCAGGATGAACAGACAAACAGAAATGAAAGTGTATTAAAGCTAAGAAAGTGTTTCCTTCTCATGAAACTATATGTAATATTTTTTTAAGCCTAACACTAAAACTAACTGCAGTAAGCAAAAAAATGGATTTGGCCTGTTAGACTTAAAAAGTGTAAAAAGACTTTGTAAAAAGTCAGAACGATTTTTCAGAATGATTTTGTCGATGCTGATGCTGATGCTGAAGGTTACGCTGTTTTTCTGTTTTATGTACAAAATCAAGAATTTTTTGTCTTTAAATGTACAAACAAGCATACACAGTGCGTATATTTACCACAGGGTCCTGGCTCTGCTGAGCTTTGACTGTCCCACACACTCTGGAGAGCACTGATCCTCTCTGGAGGCTCCATCGACAACTTCTTTATCACCTTACTACGAGAGAGAGACAGAAAGAGAGACAGAGAGCTTGACCTAACTCAATCATTCAGATTGGAGTAGTGTATGAGGGGGACGTGTGATAATGTTATGTGTTATGTGTGATAAAATTCACACGGTCAGCAATATAATGTCTAAAAGAGACACAAGTTTTGGGCTGTAATTTCCACAAACCAGGATCACACCTAGTCAAATGATCACACTCTATTAGCATGAGAAGTTGATGATACTGCAATGCTTTGAAGAAATAATGCTTGGATGAGACTGTATAGTGGCATGTAAACATAAAGTGCTTTACACATGTCGTCCCCTTTAATCAGCCTGTGAGATCTGGCTTCTCTCTTTTTTGTTTCTCCCACTGCTGATGCTCTCTCAGCGTAGAGAGGATGGAGATGAAGTTCTATCACTCAGATCAAGTATATTAGGTTGAATAACTTCCAAGGCATCCACTGTTCGCACCTGGGAAAATATTTAATGGAGGAACCGGACGAAAATTAAACCACTGAGGACCTGTAGAGGAGGATATTACCCCACAACCCCATGTAAATGTAATCCTGTCCGAATAAGGATACTGTATTATCACTTTACTCCATTCATTCACTCATTCTCTCTTACACAGGAGACAGGCCGGGGATGATTCTCTGCAGGCAGCTGCCGATGTGAGCCACCAACTCATTCACCTCCTCAACAGACGTTAACTTGAGCGAGATCTGCCCCCTCTCATACTCCAGCACAAACTGAGAGAGAGAGAGAGAGAGAGAGAGAGGGAGGGAGAGAAAATGTGAGTAATATTCAGCACTGTTCTTTAGTCCACTCCGCCCACTTGCATGCCAACAACTGATGTAATGTCTGCAATTTGAAGAGACTTTCAGAGAAACGGAAGTGTTTATATACAAAAAGGAAACACATGATTACACTCAAATGTGAAACTAATACACGTCTGAGTGACCTCAGAACAGCTTTGATCACTTTTGCTTTTGGGAAAGCAGTCATGAGACTCTTACATGAATAATTCAGTGAAAAATCACATCAACTCAATTCTCCCCCAGTCCCACACTCTTAAAAATCCATACTGAGTGCATTTGCATGCACATATATGCTCTTGAGTCATCAGATGACTCCGGGTCTACATGAGTCAGGCAGTAATCGGATTTCTGCTTTGCAAACAACCAATAAACTCACAGAATAAGACGTGACGTAAACGTAACGTAAAACTTAAACTTTATGCCGCGACTTTTTTTAAACATTGAGCCACTTTACCTGAAAATATGAACATACATCATCTAGAAGATGAATTTAAATCCTTCATTTTGTCAAGTTGGTTTCAGCATGCTGTTTATATGTCCATTTGAATAATCGGATAATCCGACTATGATCAGATTATTGAGTGCATGTAAACGCACTCACTGATGCAGATATGTAAACCTTAAAAATGTTCAAACAAAGACTGCAGCAATTATGACTAAATCTATCTAGATTGGCATTGCAGAGGAATAGAACATACAATATATACAAATATCAATTTGAAATATTGGTTAGATATTTTGAGCCTTGGCCTGCCTGATAAGCTGCAGGCTTATATCAAATGTGCTTTATTGTGTGCAATTCCTACACACAGCACCAACGCCTCAGTCACTAAGGGACCATCCACATAGGACATTACACATGTCCATGTGTTCACCTAAAATAAGGCAAAATCACATTAAATCACTTAAAGAGACTAGCTTCCACTACAAACCCCAGTTAGTGGAAGCTACTCTCTTTACTACAAGTGAAGTGATGTTGCCTTCTTTAAACTAAATACATAAAAAAAAAAATCTAAATAATGAAATTTAGAAAGGCGTCCATATCATGCACTCTTTAGAAGCCTCCAGTAAAATGTTGGTGTGGCAGCGGGGGCATAGCCAAGCGCTGTCTGCTGGGGACGTGGCCTGACTGGCAAACACTTACACCTGTGGGTAATTGTCTCTTACAAGCTTCTTTCCCCAGTAGAGAGAGAGACCTGGGAGACAGAAACATTTGGGCAGAGAGAAGAACGAAACTTGAAGCTCCAGAGGGAGAGTAACAACTCTAAAGGCTGCAGTAGTGTCAAGCTGTCCGCTCAAGCCTGGCGTTTTTTGTTTTTGTTCATTTTTTTGGGAGAAAGAATAAAAGATCTCTGCCTACTGACACCGCCTCCTCTGCACGCCTTCTGCCTACACCCTCCAGGGCATCACAGTCGGTGTTCTGCGTTTCTGAACCATTATGTTCAGAGAACTTTGATGATGAACATTTTTGAAATATATTTGGTTGTAAAACGTAGATTTGGTCATTTTTTGACATTTATTCCAAGAGAAACCAACAGAAGTCATGTTCTGTTTTTGTATGTGGTAAAGTAGGAATGTATTAACGGTAAATCACAGTATAGTTGTGAAACAAATGTGCTGTTCTCACAAACACTTCCAACCAGAGGGTTCCGTCATATAGTGAGTGTATAGTACTGGATTTGAGCTGAAGGTACAGCAAACCTGTACAGTCTTTAAAAAATCGCCTGAAAAACAGCATCCAGCATCTAACAAACCAGTGGGCTGTATAATCCTGGACATCATCTTCAAAGTAGGTTCTGACAGTAAACCTGGCCTGCAGGCCCTAAAGAGCAGGACGATAAGTAAAGCCCCAATAAATGGAGATTCATTAATCTTAACAACCGTGCATCCATCACCACTCAGCAGTCAACATGAGTCTTGATAAGAGGGTCAGCTGGTGATGTCCTATCAGTGGATGATGTGATGAGGGTTCACGTTTAGAGACAGTTTCCCAGTTCATTAACAGCAGAGCTTTTACGCATCGTAAACTGTATAATCAATTGCACCAAAGGCCCTGCTGTATTGTCCACCTGCACGGTCATCTAGAGAATCAAGTTGAATTTGCCAATTTGGGCAGAACTGACTGAATGTATGCTTTTCAGAAGGCTTATGCTTAAGTGCTTGAAATGGGCTGATATCTGTGAATTTATTTCCAAAACAAGTATTTAAATATATTAAAGGCTTCTCATAAACAAGTAGTTAGTTTCCACATATTGAGTGTACGGACTGGGGAGTGAATGGTACGTACTGGAACACTGACAAATGTTTAAATACTACTTCAAACTACTTTATTTAAAAAAAAGTGAGTTACATTCAGTTTTTCACGATATGCATCTTTTAACACATTTAAAACACCTGTTGGTCGCTGCACAATGGCATTTGTTTACTTTCATATTTTTGATGTCTCCACGATCATTAAAAAAAATGTGAAAAAGATAAAAATGAAATAGATTAAAGCTTTCTATGAGTAAGTGTGTCCAAACTTTTGACTGGTAGTGCACCTGTCTGCTTTAGAAACCTAATCTACTGGCTCTGGTTGGTAAAACCCAGTGACAGGACAGGAATAATGCAGCATCAGCTCCGCACGGGCAGGCTGAGCCTGTCAGAAGGTTTTGAGAAGACGTGATTTATTACCTGTGTGGGTTTGTTGCACGTGATGCCCTGAATCTCCAAATAACTGAACGTCTGTTCCACCTGAAATAGACACAACATGAATAAATCATGACATCAGATTTTTATCAGAATCAGCAGCCACTGAGTTCCTACACAGAAAGTGACTATTAATAGAGACAGAAAAACAGCGCAAACAGACAGTAACAGTCTGACTATGCAGAGTTAGAGTTATTTCACTGTCTCTCTGTGTTTGAGGAATTCTAACAGGACTGGAGATCAGCAGATACTGTCAGTGACAGAATAAACAAATAAACTGAGCTGGGTGGGTTTGACATGTGGAGCAGTTTAACTCTGATCGCCAAAGACCTCAATAATGACCCACACATTAAACCCCTTACAACACAGAACAAGAGAGAACGACAGAGAGAATAAAGAGAAAGAGACGAAGAGAGAAGAAAGAAAGAAGAAGAGAAGAGAGAGAAAGAGAGATAGAGATAGATAGATGACTAACAAAGAGAGGAAATTAGTAGTAAATGATACAATGGAAAAACAGAGATAGATCCAACAGCAGCAAACACACACGCACACAAACACACACACACATAAACACACACACACATAAACACACACACACATAAACACACACACTCAAATACAGAGTGTCTCACTCCTTAACATTTTGACTATGTTTCAGTCTTTTTTTTTTGTTTGGTTTTGGGGTTTTTTGACATTTAAATGAACAGAAAGTGTCAGTAACACATTCTCGAACCTGTGGATACGGAATGATGACTATAAATGTAATTTATTACATGACCAACTATAACAAATGACAATAACCCTCCACTTCAATGGTATAATGTGGTTAACATGGTATGAGGAGTGATGATGAGTTTAATTTTTAAATTAAAATCAGCTGAATGATGATCTCATGATGATGGACAACACTGAGAAACAAGACAAAAAAAGCAATTCACTGAGTTAATTTCCTCTGTTTAATATACTCTGTGAGTCAGTTGAGGTTACTAAGCTTTGTTTGGCCAACACATACCAACACTTGCCCACAACTGTATTACAATCTTTATGGAGATTTTCCACCTAATTATACATATTATAGTGTAGAACTGTTACACCCAAACCTCAAAACCAACTCTACACTGGACCTTCGTTTCTAACTGTAAACTGTGTATCTCCTGTTACTATAAACCAGCCACTTTATTAGAAACCCCAGCCTTGTAGCTCCACCTCGCCGGTGTACAGTTGGGACTGTACCAGGGATGTCCTGATCTGATCCAGATGTATATTAATAGATAAGATGTCGGCTACATTAAGTCTGATCCTCTTGCATTCCTTTGCCTATTTTTGCATGAGGCTCATTTTCAGAAGTTAAGAAAATGGTGTACACAAAATACACTCCCACCACATTTTTCACTTGCGAGTCATATCTGGGTAAAAATGAAAGTATCTTGTATATATTTGATTACATTGCAGAACTTTTAAAGTGACCGGTAGCTGAGTAATCAGAGAGGTCAGTCAAACTGGACCATAAGCCAGTATTAAACAAAAAGGGCTTCTACTTTTTTTTTTTTTTTATAGGCCAAACACAAGCATATCCATCAAGAAGGTCACACTGTGCACAGAGCATTAATTCTAACAGCTGAGAATATCTTACGTGACTAGCGTGGCTGTATAATCTATGAAACCTCAAAGATCGGATGAGTATCGGCCAACGTTACAATACTCAGATCGGGGGGCCAAAAAAATGTCAAAAACAGGCCATTAATGAAGGACTTGAGGATGGCTGACACAAACTGTACATTAACAGAGCTACAGTCTCTAACTGCTTACCAGCAAGGTGGAGCTACAATGTAGGAGTTTATAGTGGGGCTGCATGATCGTGACACACCTTGTAATATATTAACATTGCATGGGTGATCCCAGATATGGTGTAGTTAAAAACCAGCCTGCACTACTTTGACCAAAATGATTCTGGTTGTTCAACAATGTGAATGCCTTAATTAATCCAGATGCAGAACAGAAACGCGTATAATTAGTTGTTGTGTGATTATGTTAAAATGTAGTACATATTCAAAATAGTCATCTCTCAATTTCAAAGGCCAGTATTGCAATAATGCTTAACAAATGATGCATTGTACAGTATTAGTGGTTGATGGCTGACAGTAATATAAGACTGAGACACACAGCGCAACACAGCGAAACACAACTCTGCTGTGGGAAATCTGCCAATCACCTCAGAGCTAATCAAACATGAGCACAAGCACACACATACACACACATACACACCCAGATCAGCACACTCACACAAAGGCATACACTCTCACAAACACACTGACACAGCACAGCTAACCAAACCATGCCAACCTCTGCCTGGAGTATCACTGTAAAACAAGCAGAGAACAAAAAGAGTCCAGAGACCAAACAGAGTCAATGATTATAGACCGTCAGAGAGACAGAGAGACAGAGAGAGAGAGAGAGAGAGAGAGAGAGAAAGAGAGAGAGAGAGAGAGAGAGAATCTGTCAGATTGCCTCAAGATGGGTTCAAATGTAAAGAAAAAAAGAAAACAAATCAATATTTGAAGAGATGTGTGTGTGTGTGTATATATGTGTGTGTGTGTGTGTGTGTGTGTGTGTGTGTGTGTGTGTGTGTGTGTGTGCGCGCGTGGTCTCTGTGCGCATGTTGCTCTCCGGCAGCAAATCTGCAGCACCGAGGCTGGACTGAACCCAACGTCTACATTCAATAAACCTCTACTGCATAAAGCTCACAGGAATAACAGGTTCATATTCTCACACTATTACAAACACAGGTCTATATATTCAATATATTCGCTGTGGGAACAAATTTTTACTTATTTATTTCTTTTATATACAATAAACTACATTTAAAAAGCTATTTCAGTTAATAAGCACTTATTTTCTCAGAATATTGCACATTTTATACTACAATTAACAAATACCTATCAATACACTGAGGAGTACATTTATGTGCGTCAATGGCCGGGTTTCCATTCAAACATTTCACAAATTATATCATTTGATATGATAATTTAAAAAATGCAAATTAGGCTGTGTTTCCATCCACTGCAGTTATGCAAAGAACCTTTATGTGACGTAAGTGACCATGATGAGGGGCTGCATCGAAACGAGCAACACTGACAGATTTAACTCGGTTTTTGCTTTAAGTAGAATTAACTTTACAGCCATTTGCCATCTTTTTTATAGCTGTGTTGTTTGCAGTTAGGAGAAGCCAGACAGGACAAGCACTGGCCCATCTAATGAGGAATGGAACCTCCGTGCCACCCTGACTATATCCACCTTGCATCTGGGAACACAAACACACCAGATAATTCTGGAAGCACACTGTCCAGAGTCATTTTTCAAACGAGCTTTGGATTTGACATTTCAGAATGTCGAAAGCACCCTTGTTCAGGCTATGTGCCACAATCGGACCATCTGTAGGAGCCACGGAATCATGTGACTTACAGCTTGATACATCACCGTTTATTATTTATACTACACACATTACAGCAGTATGAAATTGCAGTGTCTCCATAACACAATAAAACGGCTATTTAAAAAACAGTTTGTTTATAATTGATTATGCTGCAGAATTTTAACAGAAACTGTGTGTTTTTTGAATTTCGGGCTTCTTCTATTCAGGTTTTTGTCTGCACATTTTCAAAATTCGCAACCAGTGGATGAAACACCTCTCCTCATGGCCTCCCAGTATTAATTGTATTTGGTTTGACTAATCAGTGCTTCATTATGTTAAAATAGATGTGCTGGAGTTTAACAAATCTATGAGATGGCTGGAGGCATTAAGGACCAAATTTTATTCTTCAGACTAGCTCACAAGACATTAGCTAGAAAACTGAGTTCATTCAAAGGAGTCGATTCTTCAAATGATTCACTAAAACCATTCAGTAATCCAGTTGATCGGCTTACAGCTCGGACACACAGCCCCACTGTGAGCAGACTTTTAGGCTCATCTGAGATACTAATTGGGCTCAGCTCAAGAGGTCAGAAGTCAAGGGTGGTCGGTAGGTGTCTCAGAGCGGTCAGACTTTAACTAGGGCTTTAATCCTCAGGAGCAGAGAGAGGACAAGACACACACGAGAAACACTGTGAGCCACGGCTGCTCATTTAGTCCTGGTTTCAGTCTGGAGAATAAACTGTAAAACTCATTTTATTTATAACCGAGTTAAACATTTACAGCTGTTCATTTAGGAGACTCCTCTCCACAGTGACTTACGACATGTGGAAACTGTAGTAATAAAATCAATACAAACAACTATTCAGACATAGTTTAAATTTATGAGCAAGACAAGAGATGCTGGCACAGCTTGACCTAATAAAATAAACACAACAGTACAAACTGAGGACAAATTACAGCCTGAGTGCACATCTGCTTATCAATATGTCCACTAATATTATGACTAGAGATGTTCCTTTCAGCTGATTTTGTTACTGGAGTATCCACAAGTGGTGATGAGTGGATAATCGGTTAACTGCAGGCTTACTTTCACTGATATCGATAAAACCGCAGGTCGTCATCATCAGCCTATATTGTCAGTAAACTGATACATCAGTCAGGCCCTAATTAGGATGATGGTAACAATAATAACTCCACTAAATCTATCTTTCCATGCATTGTAAATGTCCAAAGCAAAGGTTATTACAAATTGCATAATTGCAATAATTGTTTTATTGATTTTTTAAGTGAAAATAAGTTACACATCCTCTAGAGAGAACACACTTCTGCACAGTATAATACATTTGAATACACAATTTCTAGATCTCTGCTGAATTTAATAGATTTCAAATATGTTAAACACAGTAAATAAACAGAAACTGTACCGTAAAATTGACAGAAAATGTCATATTTAAGTGTGTTCTCTGTAAAGGATGTGTTAACTTTTTCACTCAGAAAATCAACACAATGTAATGTGACTGGATTTTCAAACGTCTACATAAGACTTTAACACACATTGACACAAAAAGGAGAACAGAAGGACCACATCTGTAATCAGCTGACATCATGTGCAGCACCCGAGAGAGAGAGACGGAGAGGGAGAGGGAGAGGGGAGAGAGAGAGAGAGAGAGAGACGGAGGGAGAGAGAGAGAGAAAGTGAATTTACCTTGGCTGGGATTCGTGCAGTAAGGAGGTATCCGCGATGTGATGCCAGTGCCTGCAGAAAAGAGACACACATCAGTACACACACAAACACAAACATGAGTGCAACACACAGAAGTAATTGCCTGTCAAGGAGGAATGCACTGGAAATTTGGCAACAATAAAAAAGGTGAAAATGGTGAAAATGAGAAGTAGTGATTAAAAATGCTGTTCTTTGTCTGCAAAGACACATTCAAACAGCTTGAGCAGCAGCAGATCAACAATGAAAATGTGTGGATGTATTTCAGGCTTTCTGTGAGGGACACTAGACAAACCCTTTATAATCTCTGTTCATGCAAAAACCAACACGCAAGAACTTCTTCATTACAGGTTTAACACCACCTGAAAACATGACCTCCCTCTCGATACACACAATACAGCATAACAACAGCAGAAAGGAAAGTCCATCTGCAGCCACGAAAAATATCACAAAAATATTACTGTGCAGGCAAAAAAGTTCATTACAGAGGATGGCCAACCGTTCTCAGCTGTCGAGAACTCTGGCTTTAATGGCACATACTGTAGCCTATGTAACTATTTATATTTTATATACGTTTATGTAAACTGCATTGTTTGTCCATTTTTTTAAATTTTCCGTTTCTGTTTTTCATCCAGCGTGTTCGGAATTTTAGTTTTGGCCAAGAATTTTCATTTCTGATGAATGAAAAGTAAAAGTACTTTAAGTTATTATATCTTACATAATATTATTTTGATGAACAAGTTCTATGAAAGAGGCCTGTGTGACTGCAAACATGGAAACTGTTGTTGAGTGCAGCCACACAGCTCTACTTACTAAAATTCATTCATCGAAATATTCTTATAACTCAAAATCCTTTTACTTCTGATATTTAAATAGACATTTCACAAGTAATTGTGTACTTTTATTGAAGTAGAAATATAGATGGAATACTTGCGCTTATACACAAGTAGTGATTTACCAATTTTACATCTGCTTTCACTTCTTTTAAAGCAGCTTTTTGTGAGAACTGGTATTTTATGCTCTTGGGCTCCCCCTACAGTTGCAGAGTGTATTTCACTGTTATAACACTGTTGTAAATACAAGTCACGCTTTGAGGGCAGCTGTACAAGTGCATTTGTTGACAAGCTGAATGATACAGAATCTTACACATCTCTGCATGCACGAGCGTCACGCAGGCATATGGATGCTACAGATTACACTCACGATTTGGGTGCTTTTGTGTGCAAATAACTGAAAACTGAAACAGAATTTATTATACAGAATTTTATTACAAGATGTTGCAAACTTTCAAGGCTTATTTCAAATGAGACTGACAAAGTCTGACCAAACTTTCTGGCGTGAGATGAACTTATTTCTTTGCATGCCTACTAAGCCTGAAACGGGACTGAGGTTAGATGACTTTTGGCATCCGGAAAAACGATAAAACTCTGCGAGACAGGGATGATACAGATAAGGTTACAGCCCACATCACAGCCTTTCATAAATAACACTGGGATGAACACTCCACTGAGGGACTTTCACTGTTTTTTCCGTTAGCCGTGAGTCTTGTATCCTTTTAGCTCTTGCAAATGAGTAAAATCCAGCTCAAGATCTACTCTTGTCCAGTCTCTTACTCGTTCTTTTCTCTTTTTCTGTTCCTCGCTTCCTCTGACAACATCTTCTTCGGTCATTCGGCAGCCGCTGCCATGACGTCCATACTAAGAATACTGAGCTACTTCTTACAGCTGGCTGAGCTGTTGTTGTGTGACGAGGTGTCATGTTACATTACACAGTTACGTGAGAGGTCTTATGCCCGCTCCTCCAAAGTTACATAGCGCTATAGCAGGCAATCCAAGCCTGCCAATGATGGAGATGTCCAAGTGGCAATGATGGAGATGTCACTCTCCCTATTCATTGTACTGTAAGGTAAAATTATTACATAATGTTGCTTTAATACTTTATGTGTCCAGGAGAGCAAGAATGTGAGATATTGATTTGGTCTCCATGGGAATTTTGAGTCATACTTTTCCAGCAGGGGTGTGACCTGTGATCTATCCTGAAAGGGTCTGGTTTAAAGCCTTAAGGGGGCAGAGCTAGTGAATGATTTAAAACGAAACCATCCGAAAACAAGGGCACAGACCAGACGGTTTATTTTGGCTGAGTGACCTGCAGAGTGAGCTCACAGCGGTTTTTGGGTGGAGAGAAACTAAGTGGGGGATTATTTGTGTGTGTGTGTGTGTGTGTGTGTGTGTGTGTGTGTGTGTGTGAGTGAGAGAAAAAGAAAGAGAGAATTGTCCAGCTCAGAGGTCCAGCTGTCCTTGACATGCCTCTGCAAGACAGTACGTGACAGACAAAACAGTGGTACTGTGTCAAAACAGTGGCTGATTTTGTGCAACAATGATTACAAAACGTTACAAAAAGATTAATAACGGCAGAAAATCAGCACTTCTGAAACCCAGAAGAAAACAAATCAGCTTTTTCTCGCCCCATTGATTCTCCACACCCTCACAATGTCTCCTTCCTCCATCTGTCTGATCCGATAACCTCTAGCAAAACTGCTCCTTCCACACTGATCTGATAAAACAACGACCGATCGATGCAGTGGAAAAAGCAAACCTGAAAGAATGAGTTAAGAGTCAACAAAGCTTTCGTTCACCCTCAGCAGTCACAGTTATCACCAGAGCATGTTGCAAATAGTCACTTGTAGCTTATTAAAACAAGCAGAGAAATTCTGTTGAAAGTGTTGATTCTACTCTTTCAATCAATACCACATTCGTGTTTATGAAATTTGATCAAATGTTATTGTTGTTTCTGAGGAATGGAAGAAAAAAAAAAAACATTCTTTTTTAGCATCAAAACAGAGAAAAGGTATAAATACAGACTCAAACTGGTCCATACTGAATGTAAATCAAAAGTAAATGTAACTGAAGTAACTCGGCATGTACCGATTAAGGATAACAAGATTTTGAGTAGTGGTGAGAGTAAAGCTTAAATAAGTTGACCTAACTGCCCTGTAATTCAGTATTAGCTTAAAAGGAGTGGAAATACTTAATTAACTATTTAAGTATTATTTTGGAAGATTTGTACTTTACTCAAGTATTGAGTGAAGTACAAATGAACTGAAACTGAAAACTTGTACTCGATTACATTTCCAACAGAAAAAGCTAACTTTTCACTCCTTAGTTAATTAGCTGCACATTTTAGTTTATTGTAGTTTACCCCTCACACTTTTAAAAATATATAATCACCCCCAACCAAATTATCTGTACTTCATTAAAGCATTTATATTTTTGAGACTTTAACTTTAAGCCCAGTACATTTAAAAGATCATTTGTTTTAAAAACATCAGTTTAGGACAAATACTGTAACTACGAATTGATTATTCTTAATAATTTCAGCTCCAGACCAGCACGTCCTCCTTTTTTGGCTTCAGGTTCAAGCGCTGGTGCTGGTCATTTGTGGATATGTTGTCATTTACACAATATGTGGGTGTTTGGCTACTTCTGATTGGACTAACTCGTCGACAGGCAGTTCACAAGCTCCATGTTATTAGGTGAAAAATAAAGTCTTAAAACTTGTAAGCTATGATTAAAACTGCAGCACTCTTAAATTGCACTTTTGATATAAAAATGATGAATCTTACAGACCTACTATTTATCCTTTTGGAAAATTGATGTCCACAGAACCATAAAAGCCCAATGTAGTGTCTAACAGTGGAGCAGTTTTTAATGTCCAACACATGCGAGCTGTAGCAGCCACACTGCCATATCACATGCCAGACTGTTCATTTCTAATTTTGAGTAAAACCAGACCCCCAACATTAAAGTACCCCAGTGGTGCTGATAGGAACCAGGGGTCCTCATGTCTACAACACAACAAAGACATTTTATTTACTATTCAAATTATTTGTCAACCTACATGTGACTTCGGAGTTTTTATATCTAATATTGATCAGATATCCCTGCATGTCTCTCTAGGCCATCAATGGATTTTAGGCCAAAATCCTTTCAAAACTATCATAAAATAAAGTTGTATTCATAACCATTTCAAGTAATAAATTTCTGTGAGGAAGGTTTTAGAGGTATGAAACACTTTGGACATCTGGTTTCTGTCACCACCACTGTGAACAATTCTGACTCATTTCACACCAAACCGCTCTGAATGACTTTGTGTTCATCTTAACAGTTTAAAAGTCAAGTGAACTCCCCTTTAAGTGCAGTGTGCTTTTTTCAAACCCATGTAGATCAACAAGTGTTTTGGGCCGGGGTCACTGGAGGCCATCAGGATTCCCCTGGCTGGTTTTGAACTGATTTGAAGAATGTAACGAGGCCGAGAATCATTACGCTCAACTCCAATGAGGTCGTCCAGCTGAATCGGAACGTTCCGGATTTAGCTCCTGCCGAGGGGCCTGAGTGAGACACGTTCGTGTGAAGTCGCTCCACAGAGAGAGAGAGAGAGAGAGAGAGATTTAAAAGCTAGTGAAAGACAGAAATAAATCACAGGGGAGATTCATTTTGATGAGAGAGAGAGAGAGAGAGAGAGAGAGAGAGAGAGAGAGAGAGAGAGAGAGAGAGATGAAAAAGCCTGTAGAAACCCTGAGCTCAGGTACTGTAACGATGTGTATCAGGACCCAATTCTCCACTGCACTTAATTCTAATACATCAACCTCTCAGAAAACGGACTGTGCATGACAGAGTGCAGCACGTATGACTCACTAATCATCATTTTCCAAAGAGGAAGACAAAAGGCTACAGAACGAGAGAAAGAGGAAGTGAGTGAATGCAGGGATGAGTAAAGTGGAGAACTCAGTGGGAATCGTTTACAGGTGGTGTGTCGGCCTCTGGGGGGAGTGGAGGAGATGAGCTTCATCTCTCAAATGGCACAAGGGGCAACCATCAAGAGACTGATATCGTCACGGTCTAATGATCCTTTTCTTGTTGTATTAAAGGAATAGTACAGAAAAAAATAACTATGTTTACACTATTTTAGCCCAAATGTGGTCAATCAGCTAAAACATGTTTGTAAACTGAAGTTTGCTTCTTTACTTTCTCAATACA